CTCCATGTGGAGCTTCCCCATCTCCAATTTCGTTATGTGTACAACATAAATAAATATATTCATAGGTAAATCTGAGTTTTAGCGATTTTTTACTCAAATAAGTTTAACGAAATCATCAACGATGAAGTTTATGTTGAATTTTAGTGTTTACAACCAAAGCAAAAATCATGCAAAAATCAAAAATACGTTTTATGTTAACATTCATGTAAAGTAATAAAGTTTATTTAGATTAAATTCGTTCGAGTTCTTATATTAAACGTTCGCTGAGATTCCCATGCGAATCATACATTTTGCAATCAATTGTTACTATGACCATTTTACGGGATTAAAAATAAATAAAATAATCTCTAATAAACTAAAAAGAACTCATGATATAAAAGTCAATATTTACTTTTCGGGTTTTAAATCTTTGGATTAAGCGTCAATATTTGAGTTTCATCGGGATAATTAACACAAAATATTCCAATAAAAAATTGGTAAAAAAATTAAGAATTTATAAATAATTGACTATCTGCAAAACATGAAGAAACAGATCATTGACATTCTCAAGATTTTTGGGCGAATGAAGCATTCAACAAGTTTACTTGATGAGGAATCTAAAGGCACGTCATAAAAGAGAAATAAATACTTTTCTCATCAAAATCCCTCGAAAGCATTAAAAAGCGAACTTTTTTCTGTGCGAATGGTTCTTGATAGACAACAAGTCAATAAAGGCAATCAGATCAAGCAAGTATAAGAGCTACAGAAGCTTTTTCGCAACCTCACTTTACAGCCTCGCAATTTATTGGACTCACAATATCACCAAATCGAATTCGACATAAAATAAATATCATTGGAAAATAAAATAAATTTCATTCGAATTTCGAATGGAGCAATAACAAATGGTTTTCAATAAAACGATGATAATATTTTTTTTGCTCCACTTTTTTTACAAGTCACGTTTATGTTTTACATTGGAGATACAATTTTCTGTTAGCTTTTGTTTCGTCTCATTCTGTTTTTGTTGTTGTTTATTTCTACTGCTACTGTTGAGCTTTCGATTCTTGAGAACAAAAATATTTTCAGAACTCAATGAATCCTGTTATGAAAATAAATAATTTGATTTCATCGTCTAAAGTCTGCAGTTGATTCACCTTTGTAAAATCGAAATCTTTCTTTTCACGATTAGACACCACAAGTGATAAATTTTCGAGACATAAACTTTATGAATCATTCTTCCCTTTTTATTTTCAAATAATAATAACAATGACTCATTCAAATTGAATGATGAAATTTCAATTAAATTAAGTTTTCTTGGTTATTCGCTGACATTTTTTTAATAGATAAAATTCCAATAAATCAATTCTCGTAATTTTTCAGGATCAAATTTCTATCATTGAATGAACTTTTTAAATTAATTTGATTTAAGCATAGTAAATTGAGTTTCTTTCTACTAAAATTCTAGATATTTATGAGCAAGAACTTAGATTTGAATCACACAAGATGCTACTGTCTCAACCAATTCGATAGTTGAGGCGATGTCGCGTCTGATTTTTATGTAGATAATAAAAGAAGAAAAAAGTTTTAAAAATTGATTATGAAGCAATGTATAATAATGAAAATGTCTTCTTTGATATCGTAAGATAAAGGAAATTTTCATTCACAAAACTTGCAACAGCTGTAGACAGAATAAGGCAGACTTTCTCAGTTCTCCACCTCAACACTACACCACTGATATTTCCGATTTTATGAATGCCGTCGCCAAAATGTCGACAAATAAAACTACCATCAATGCATTTATTGCTTTTGATACAACAAAACGCGAGAATAAAGAATAAAATAATGAAATCACATGAAGAAATCCTTAGCAACAAGCTTCGGAAATCATTGAAGCATTGAGCAGAGTAAGGAGAAAAGTCGGAAATAAAAAATATTTTATTGGTCACAAAAATTTGTCATCACACAAAGAAGTTGAACATCAAGATTATCGTCTACTGACTCGCCATAAATCAATAAAAATAAATTGATCGAAAGAAAATTGTTAGAACAGGAAAGTCTGTCTTGTTGTTGTTTGATGTCTTCAAGGATATTGAATAACTTTTCATTTTGTTTTCAAGGAAGTTGGCTTTTGAATTTCAATGATTAAATTAAGGAAAATGTTTAAAATTCGGCAACCATATGCAACTAATTTTCATAGCTGAAACTTTAACCAGAAACGCTGGGTTTGATAATAACATAGAATATTAAAATATTTAGTTAATGTGTTTGTTGATGGTAAAGTTTGCTGTTAAGCTCCATTTTTTTGCAGTTGATGAAAGCTTGAAAAATTATACAAAATTAAAGCTTTTGTTAGGTAATTTGATGCAATAACAATTTTAAATTTGACTTAAAAGAGAGTTTGACATAACAACATCAGAGAATTAATCCTTAAAAATCAATAAGTCTCATTTTCGCCTCTCAATAACAATAATAGTTTTGGAAACAACAAAACATTTTTGTGATTGTTGAAAATAAATCCTGTAAAAGAATAAATTAAGCCGCACGAATAACTTTTTAATTTATTAAATTTTTATGAAAGAAGAAACGATTTTTTTAGCTAATCCAAATTTTAAATTAAATTGATAGCAACAAGCTTTGGTGACGTTATTTCCAAATTATTATTCATATATGGGATCAAGCTTTGACAGCTTGTTATAAGAATTTTGATTATTAAAATAAGTAGAGTGATAATTTAGGTGGAATAAATCCTTAGTGGGTGTTTGGATGACTCAGTTTAAGAGATTATAAAATGATAATTTTCACAAGGTGTTCATTAAACAATGATGAAGTACTTAATGTTTTAAAACTATTTGATAATAATCATGTGAAAGACATAAGGAAGCAACATACAGCTAATGAAATGTCAAGACGAACACTCATAATCATTCATTGTTATTACAAGTTACTCGTAGTTCGATTGCAAAAGGCGACATATCCGAACAATAACAATCATGAGAAAACAGTCTAAGGAAATGTTTATCCAAAGGATTTCCATCGTCTTCATCCTCTCATATTCTTCCTCGTTCGAAAAAAAGAGACGTCTAATAAAAACAAGAAGAAGCACAACCTAAACACTGATGTAAATCTAATGTCATGTTTCAATTCACTCAGAAAATCTCAAATTCTCTTATCGAAGATAATTTCCTCTTTTGTAAACAGCAATTGCAAATTGATTTATCGTATACTGAGCATAAAGGATTATTCGATTTATACTCTATGGCTTTAACTCCCAATATTCAGAAACGTTCATGCAGAATGTTCATACATCTATGTGTGTCTATTTATGTATAAAATTTTATTTGTTCTAGAGCTTTTTTATTTTCAGTTCCGATTATCAATAAGCAGTTATGCACACAGACGGTTTAACGACGATTGGATAAAGTTGAATGTTTTATTTTGAGAGGAGACTGAGTGGAAATTCTTTTGCTTTTCTCACTTTCCCATCTGATCATGAATCATTGCAAGCGCCAACAAGCGCGACCTTAGACTTTGCTTCTTCTTTGTTTCCAATACATAAACATTTTATTGGTATGTCAAATATTGTGCTCATTTTACGATTCACTTCCAAAGGAAAACAAATTTTCCAAATCAGCAACAGATCAAAAAGCTCTTTCGTTCGTTCTTTCGTTTTGCAATCTTTTCTCTTTTTTTTCGCAAAGTAATTCATTGAGCAAATAAAGTAAATTACAAACAAAAACAAAAGTTTTCCCCTCGATGAACGATTTTTATCAAAAAAACATTTTACGGCGGAGAGATGTCGACAAAAAGAGAATCTCATCATTGGTTAACGAAGCTTGATATTGTTTATGATGAATAATCAACTTTTACTTTGTTCAAATGTAAATATCTTTTGAAAGTTGCTTCAAAGACGATGAATCAACATCAATTGCAAAGAAAGATTTGTTAAGGTGAGTTTAAGACGACAAAATTAGTCACATTAAAATCACGTGTTCTAAACTGAAATTGCAACAATTTCTTCCTGTAAAATTTTCAATTATTATCAGCAAGCTTCAAACCAACGTTTGATCATAAATTAGTCGGGAAATAAAAAAAAAGAAGAACTTGATAACTGAATCTTTATGAAGCTTCGTAAGATGTGAAAAATGATTGGCGCAATTTGCACCTTTTTCTGTCACATTAATCCTTCAAAAGAAATTAAGGTTTCAATTAGAAAGGATAAAAATTAAAGAAAAAAAATCTTTTCTGTGCTAAATTAGCAAGCAAACAAATATCTTTTCTTTATTATTCCTCGAGAAACTTTTCCTGACCATATCATTAGAAAGAAAAATCTTCTTGTTCTTTAAAGTATGAACCCAAATCTTTTACGTAAATGGCACAAAAAAAATGACAACTTTTTTTACGATATTTTAATTTGTTATGTCGGAAGTAAAGAAACCCTTTCAATGTTTACCAAAAAAAAAACGAAGAGAATCATAATTTGAGTCATTAATCATTTTCCTTCACCCCATGTTACGTGAAAATCTGTGACGAAGCTTCGAATAATTTCCAAAGCTTTTTTATTTTTGACGTTTTGCGGTAGCTTCCATGGAAAATTTTTATTGAGATCTCAACGCTGTTAATTTTGATTGGTTACATAAATTATTTAATGATTAGTCTCTATAGTCACTTGTTGACATTAACATTTAAGTCTAAATCATTCTCACAAACATCAACAACGAATAAAAAATCGTTAATTGACTGCTGACAATTTGTCTAATTGGATTTTAAATTTATTTAATGGCATATCGAAATTAAACGAAGAGAAAGACAAAATGGAAAAGAAACCACAAATTTATGAGCTTTCCTTTTCTATTTTTTTATAATCATGACAAGACTACGATAACCGGAGGGGAAAAATGACGAAAATCTCATAAGGAATTATAAATTAGATTAAGAAGTCGCAACTGCGGTGGCAACGGGAAAACGAAGGAAACAGCGGCTTTAAAAAGGAAATTATAATTTTAGATTCACATAAATTCTAAAGTGTTGATGAAAAGAATCTTGCGTCATCAGACTTTCACGATTACATTATCTCAGATTTCTTCAACAAACATGAATCAACAAGAAAGTCTGAAATTATTCTTCCCTAAATTTAAGAAGGAAACTCTTTTAATAAACACTCAAAGCATGTTCTAAAGTGACGATGATGCAAATGACGGTTTTTAATAATCTTTTAATGATGAAACAGCGGAAAATAAAATTCATTGACATTTACCACACACTCAATCAAGATTATTGGTTTGAAACTTGATATTAAACAATGATGCCGATGCTGTGAGTTTATTAGATTTTTATGAATTCAGCGTAAAATGTCGGACCTACAATGCACTCTAATCTAATAAAAATTCTTCATCAACGTCAGAATATTTAAGTGTGAGCCTTTTAACATTTGTCTAAAGAAATTTATTTTATGATGCTGAACATTTTTAACTGCTTTAACTTGTCATAAGCTTTATATTATGTAAGCTCGTCTTTTAATAAACTTTTAACATCGGAGATGTTTCCAGATTTTCAGACAATAACCTTTGAATTTCTCCTTCGGGAATTTTATCGCATATTCCTTTTCATGTGCTTACAAGCCTTGCTAGTACAATTCCCAGTGGTGTCAACATAAAGCAGTGATCATTAAGAATTTACATCAGGATGTAAAATTTAATTCAGTCTCTAAGGATGAATGTGATTCTTAATGAAAACAGCGGAAATAAATTCAAGGAATAATTTTTTTTACTTGCACTCAACGTCACATTAAATAGGCAACGGTTCGCATTTACATTCGATTCTCACTCTCAAATCTCACTTCTAATCAAGGTCAATAACCTGAACAAATAATGAGAAACGGCACTGATCAATTCAATAGAATTTTATCATTTAGTTTTAAACTTTTCTTCAACTCACACGTTCGGAGAAATTTTGGTGACGAGCAAATAACTTTTGAAAACTTCAAATTTTCAATTCTATGAGAGGTTTGTTTGTGAAATTTAGGCATCTGTGAACAAATTTAATAACATTAAACATTTTAATTAGTGTAAGATTATTGTAAATTTCGTCGTATCGATTGTAATTAATTTCCTCGATTCGAGAATCATCGACAGCCACGTTTTTTTTTGTTCTTCACGGAAAATCACTTAAATTTCGAGGAAAATTTTATCAACAAAGATTTAGGTGAGTGAAAAAATTTAAATATTAAAATGAGTTATAAAGTTAAAGCAAGATATAAAGCAAAATTTAAAATCAAACTTAAACCCAGAGGTTAAATTGTTGCTTTGAATTTCTTTATGATGAAGTCCAGAATTTATTTAATGAAAGTTTAATTTGATCTTATTTTATCCTATATTTTGTATTTTATAACTTTAAATTCATTCATAACTGAAACTTCCGATTAACTGATTGATTACATTAACCAAGATTTTTTCCTCTTTCGCGCGCGCGGGAAACTTATCCAAGCAATTACCGAAATTAAAATAAATTAGAATCTTTTCGAGTTTTTCTCTAATAATCCTTACTGATAATTTACTTCTGAGTATATTTGCATTTAAATTTAAATTTTTCTTCCGAAGTGCATGCAACATAAAGTCAAAATTTGTTCTAAGCCTTCGCATTAATGGCAAATTTTTATTTTTCGTCTCCTTGAGTTCTTTTTTATGGTTTTGGCACTCCACGCTTGGACACTTAATTCTTTTTTTTTATAGCGTCGACTAAGATTTTTGTCGCCATTCTTCATCAAAGAAATGATGGAGATTATTGTGAGCTTCCCCACTCATAGCTTTGGCATCTTCAGGGTGAAGGGAAGAAGTGGAATTGCCAACTGAGGATTATACCTTTTCACTGACTTTGGGGTTTTCTTTTCTTTTCAAGTCTCAGAAATTCTCACAAAAGGCGAACAACTTTACGCTTCATGACATGAGAATTTATTCAATTTATTAAGCGATCTAGAAAGTTTTCCACACTTTGCGTGTTTTATACAATACAATTTTTTTAACTTGAAATTCTCCCTGTTCAATCTAAACGAATTCAAATGCCGTTCCTTCAGTGGATCGCATCGTCATCATAATTCCATTGACACAAAAATTATCTATGTGGTCTACTTAGTTTCTTCTTTTGCCATTCATTTTCTCATCCTTAAAAAATATTTGTCTATTTTTAAATTAAAATTTCTTTTCATTTCTTCCACCTTATCTTTTTCGCACGAGTTTCTCATTATTTCAGAACACCTATAAGTTGGCTCAAGCGAGCAGAATTTCAATTGTCCGAAGAAAAAAGCTGATAAGCAGATTACAATTTCGTTTCATTTTATTTCTGTTTGTGGTTGAAACGCGTGCTTTTTGTTGAAGTCTGAAGTTTATTTATTTCCCATTTCTTTGTTATTTTAATCGTATCAGGTGATTATAGCTTAAAAACTTTAAAAATATTATACGACGCACTTTATACAGATATGATGGCTTTTATCAATACTTCAGGAGTGTGTCATTAATAACAATAACTAAAGTTTTAGTATTTAGTGAAAATAGTTAAAAGTGATTGATGAAATTATTGAATAAATTATGTAAATAGATGTTTTTATTTGAAAGGAAGTTCTCGAATGATTCATAGAGAAAAGCTTCATAAAATAATCACGAATTAATTGCCCAAAATAATCTCATAAAAATCTCGATTATTAATTTATTTTTTTTTGATGCTCACCTGTGAAATTTGCACACTCATCCGTAATTTTTCTATTTACATTTCAGCGTAATGAATTCAATCCATTTTCCACATAATACCATGTCGACTACAATTCCTCCAGGAATGCCTTATCCATTTATACCTCGCTTTTCAATTGCGGGATCTTCTGGTCCACCAAGTGAAACACCAAGTAGTGAATTTTCTTCGATTGAAAGTGATTTTTCTGATTTGAAATCAATCGCTGCTGGATTAGGAATCACTGATCCTGAAGAAGTTTACATGGAACGTTTCAAAATCGATCGGATCAAGCTGGAGGATATGATTAAAAGTAAGTTTCGTAATAACTTTGTGAAAAAGAAATCTCACCTATGTTTATTTTTATTTTATAGCTGAATCATACTGTGAAGGATTGAATCGTGCTGAATATTTCTTCACTACAGTAACTCCTTTATAATAACAAAATTAAACAATTTCCCTGATTGAAGTTTCTTTTAACAGTTAATGAAGGAGAGTTTAGTTCATGTTTCCTGGCCATGTCGTTTGAAAATCGGTGCCAAAACTCGTAAAGGTTAGTTAAAAACTCTTTTAATCTCGCGGGAAAAATATTTTTAAAAAGTGTTTGTACATTTCAAGGACAAGTTTTCAAGCAAAGGTTTTTGACCTTATGCAACTTAGTTGCATGCCCTTTGTCCAATACATACCATTACAGCCCACACATTCAAAATCTGACTATCAAACTAATCAGAAGTGTTTTCAGTGACACTTTTGAAACAAGAAACTTCTAATTTTAAACCTTGAGAAAACATTTCAATTATGAGCAAGAAACATAAGACTAAGAAAACATTATCAGACTATTTCAACGAGGATAATTATGACGAACTACTTTCAGATCCTCACGTACGAATTGTTGGACGAAAAGAAGATGTTCTACGAGCTAAGGACAAAGTCATGGCCGTGCTTGATGCCAAAGTGAGTCACGAAGAAAGTCACTTATATTTTTATATTTACTTGAGTTGTTACAGGGCAATCGAGTTATAATGAAAATGGACGTTTCATACACGGATCATAGCTATATCATTGGACGAGGCGGGAACAATATCAAACGCATAATGGACGAAACTCAAACGCATATTCACTTTCCCGACTCAAATCGCTCGAATCCTACTGAGAAGAGCAATCAAGTTTCATTGTGTGGATCACTTGAAGGGGTTGAGAAAGCTCGATCAATGGTTCGTGCTTCAACTCCATTGTTGATCTCCTATGAACTTCCGATTATGATTCCTGGGTCAACAAGTTACGATAACAACACTCCGTTTGTAAAAGAAATGGAAAAGCAATACGGAGTTCAAGTGATATTCAGCACTCGTCCTAAACTTCATTCATCAATGATTTTAGTTAAAGGTTGTGAAAAAGAACATAAAAATGTTATGGACGCAACTAAGCGACTTATTGAGTTCATGTTTGAAGACATCGCTCAACAGATTCCTGTTCAAATGCATCTTGAGATCTCAACACAACATCATCCGGTTGTTCTCGGAAAAGGATCACAGAATCTCCGTGAAATTATGCAACGTACAAGTACGAAGATTATTTTTCCCGATGCCAATGATATGAACGTTCGACCAATTAAACGTTCTCAAGTAACAATATCTGGTCCAATTACTGGAGTTTATTTGGCACGTCAACAATTGTTGGTAAGTATCAAAGAATGTTGAATTGAAAACATAAATTTCATTAATTACTTTTTTATTTTTAAATAGGGAAACATTCCGATTGCATTAATTTTTGATTATCCTGAAATTAACATCGATACTGACAGTATCAATAAGTTGATGGCATCACATGATGTGTACATAAATTCACGTCAAAAATCACGCCAGAGCACGATGTGCATTGTGATTAAAGGAGTTGAAAAATATATTACAAACATTTATGATGCTCGTCATCAATTACTGAAACTTACATCCGAAAGAATAGTTGCTGCTATTCCGACAAGTTATTATGGACCGCATGATATGGAACACTTCAAATGCAATTCAATTGCACAATTGCTGGCTGGGCCAACGACTTATGGATCGATCTCGCCACTTCAACCAATTCCACCAATTACATGGTCAAATAATCCAGATATAAATAATTGGCGTTCTAGACCTCAAGTGTCGCCCTTGACATCGACCGTTCTTCAGCAGCATAATAAGATGACTGGTAATTTGCAAGTTCCTTCGAATATGACAATACGGAGTACTATGAGTGACTTACATTCGAGTGGCTATCATAGCTTCTCTGGTGATAGTTCAATGATGAAGACAATAAATGGCGGAAGTAGTAATCATTCCTCACCAGACAGTGCAATGCGTTATGGCAAATATAATCAAAATATTGCAAATTTGATAGAGAATCAACACAAACATCTTGATCATGCACGTTTGAGTGCATTTAATGAGTCGATGATGTACAATTATGATCCAAGAATTATTGCTGGTATTCGTGCTATGAATGTTACTCCAAAACATGGAGAAGTTCGCATACCAACACCGATATGTGAGTATTTTTTAATTATATTAACTTCTAGAGTTAGATTAAAATATTTTTAATCCTTAAAAATGGAATTAGATTAATGATTTGTTTTTACATTTTCCAAGGGCAAGGAGCTGGAATCTCCCGTACATCGCCGACACCAATAGAGAATCCACAATCTGGAAATGTTTGGGTTGACTCTGCACCACATGAAAATAATATTGGAGGAATATTTAATAATGTGACAACTTCTTTGCTCGAAACAACGCCAGTTCGAACACGTGATCAGATCTCAAAATATCAAGATATCGAAACATTATTGACGGGAATTAGAATGCAACATCATGTTCAAAGCTTTATTGATGGTGAAATCGATATGACAGTATTTCCGACATTGAATGAAGTAGACTTATTGAACTTAGGGATTAAACCATTAGGCGCTCGACGTCGCATTATGATGGCAGTTCAGGAGGTTGCATCACGAATCAATTTGCAGCATGAATTGCAACAACAGATTCAACAAGCATCGCCTCCGACGCCTCTACGTTTCAATGGATCAGTTGCACCAGGGGATGAGCGTCGATCATCAACCAACAGCCATTAACAATGCGTCAAGTAACATAAATTTTAACTATTTATTGAATTCATATTTCCATATCTGCCCACACACACACAAACTTACATGCCTTGTCACACGCACACACATTTTCCTCATTTAATTTAAAAAATTTCATCCGTGAGACGTTCGATGAATGATTAATTGAATGAACGATCAATTAATTTTTTTCTTCGGTCATTATGAATTTTTTACATACCACAATCGATTGAGAAATTATCCTCGCTCAAAGAGGATAATGACATCATAAACAAAAATTGTAACTATGAGAATTAACTAAAAAACCAATCTGAATTTTTTCACTTCTTTTTACACAAAACATTATTGTTCGCAAATGATTACATTTTAGTCTGTTAAGTTATTTGAAATTTGCATGAAAGTCTTAAATTTCATCACTAAGTTTTGTTTAATATTTTCTTGTCATTTTCAATTGAAGATTATTAATTAAATGTGGCTTTATTTCCATGGCTTCATTCACACAAATATTTACATAATGACATAAATTTACTTTTGTATTGATATTAAATATTTTTCAAGGCTTGTGCAAGAGAAAATCATCATGATCTGAATAAATGTTCTCTTTCTTTGTGTGAATATTGAATATATTGTAAGATGATGATAGAAAACTTAAAGAATTTTGTACTACATGATCGTAAACACCCGTAAGCTAATCATTGTACAACATTAAGTGATTAAGCTGAGTAATTATATTTAATTGCAATTTAATTCTCGCTTCTTTTATTTCAATTATGTTACCCAACATTTATTTACTTAAGATAGATTTAATTAAGAAAGGAAGTTACGTTACATGAATATATTTTTCTCTTCTTTACCCATCATCACAACATCTAAAACAGAAAAGTTCTTTTTGTGCATGCATAAATTTCAACAATAACAAAAAGGAAAATAAAAAAGTAGAGCAAGCGGAAAACAAAAAAATATTTTTCAACTTTTAGAAAGAAAATTGAAACACTTTTGAAGTGTTTTTGTTGGCATGGGTCGTTTGTAAACATAAAAGTGTTTTTAAAAAGTCCATGTCGCACATTGAAATAACAGTAACAGCAGTTGCAACAAAGGATACTTTGCAGTGTGAAAACTGCAGAGAGGAAAGAAAAACTTCTTTTTTCCACACCATGGAACTTTTGTTTTCTCATTTTCCTCTTTCACCTTCGATGTGTTTTAATTCTATTAACGATTCAATTTATGTCTCGTGCTATCCAACTCTTTAAACTTTGCACTTTCTTTCAGTTCCTTGTTGAAAATTATTTCCATTCTTTATTGTATGACTTTCCAATTCTGTGTCGACTTCTCTTGCCCTCACATTCCTTGTTGAATCTTTAAAAACGGAAAATATATTTACGTGGCTGAAGCCACTTTAAAAATAAAATTAAAAAAATTAGAAATTCAATGAAAATCAAATTTGAATTAAAATCAATATCAATCTTTAATCACACTTCTACATTTAACTCTTCCATTCATAAAATAAACTGTTCCCAAAGTCTCAGGAATGAAACGACATAAAAAATGATTTTTTTATGTGTAAACGCACAAAGTCTTATCACGCTTTACGTCGTGTTTCAATTACCCCACAAATGACATCTGACACTCAGTGCTTTCCATCTGCTGACAGAAGGCATTTGAAATGACAAGAACAATAAAATTATCAGACACAAATCTACATGAGATTGTTGTTGGTTCGTTTTCCTTGTCAGTTTTTTTTTTGGGTGAAGGAATGGGTGGATTATGGATTCAACAACATTCCAGCATTTTTCTATACGGGATGAAGCATGTGCTTGTGAAATGTGTTGATTTGTGTCGTTTTCTCTTCAATGTTGAAGTTTTATCATCCTTCCGGGTCTCAGTGATCCCTTTGCTGTAAATAAACAATTTTTCTTCCCAGAATTCCACTTTGATATTGATAAATAAATTCCAATCCAAGAAAAAGGTGATAAACTCAACCAACCGATGTGATGTGGCATATGTTGTTGTCACCTGGCACCGCATAATATCTGCTCACATATAAAACCACTATAAATTGTTTTCAGAAAATTGAACAAATGAAAATCAACAGATTACGTGACTTTTCATCGTCATCAGTAGGTTTTTGATTATGACGACATTTTTCATTTAATGAACAGAACTTCAAACGATTTTAATTATCTTCTTAAACTTTGAAGTTCGCAAGTTCAAATGTAGCATTCCGATTCAAATATTGACAACATCATTCACTTGAATATTAGATTATGAACTATGCTGTCAGAGAAGTTTAGTTCAATCATATTTGATCAACTTACTTATGCTTCTTTTTCATTCTTTTCTTTCACCATGACAGATATTAATGTTGGTGCATAATTCTTTGATGTTTATGTGGGATGTGAAGAAGTTTAATAAATGATGTGAAAATTTCGATGCCTTCATACTTATGTAGATATTTGTATGATAGAAGCAAGTAGCATAATGTAACATCCCACGCAATTTAACTTTACACCCTTATGAAATGGGAAGAACAGGGAGCTGATCTATCAAGCAGGTTATTAAGCTGAGGGAAAACATCCGCCTCAATATTTAATCCTGTTGATTCAGGCAAATTTCATTGCCATCAACTTATCCTACTTTTTCTCCTTTCTTCTCATCCCAAATCCTTGCACAATCAGTTTTCACTTTGCTTACCAAGAAAAGATTTTATCGAAGTGAAAAAATCATAAAGTTCAAAGGAGATATGAAAATAAACATGACGACGTAGATAATCATAATGATGATGTTGGCGTTTAAAAAATCTCTGATGAACATAAAGTGAGAATTCAAAAGCAGGTAGAAAGCAAATGTATCTGATTAAATCATTAAAACTTTCTCAAAGACTGGTGAAGCGTAACAAAATATTTTCTTCACAGACATCTGCATCAATAATGAACTTTTTATTTTTTAAAAAAATTATAAACTTTTTGTAGCTTTCTGAAGTTTCTTTCAACTCCAATTTCTTTAATGAAGACAAAATGTATGAAAAGTTTTAAAAATTTGTAGTTTAGAATTTCAAGCTAATGATGAAGGGAGGGAAGTAGTTAGAATAAATTAATTATTTCTTTCCGAAACAATCACGAAATAAGACGCATGAATACATGTATGTTTTCAGATAAATAAATACGAGGGAAAATCATCTTTCATAAGCAGGAAAAGAGCCTCAAGTAATGAGGCATGTTGTTTAATTATGAATTTATTAATTATCCAGGTTATATTTTAATGAAATAATCCTTCCTATATGATGATGGTAGACGGTGTGAGATGAAAAGCGTAACAGAGAAGAGTAATGAGAAGCAATTTCCTCCTTACTCAGGGATAAATAATAAAGTAATAAAAACTCGCTGCTGCCATCTGTTGCAAAATGGGGGAAAATTACTCAATTCACTCACCGCTAACAAATTACCTACAGATTGGGAAAGGAAATTTCATTTCAATATTTTCACATTATGCACGACATCATGATAGTGAAAGAAACAACAGAAGAGAGGATAGAGAAGGTAGAGGAAAACTCTGAACACGTTTTAATTTCAACAAATTTTCTTTCTTCTTCTCTTCTTCTTCTTCTTTTTATTACATCGTCGAAAATGATTTTTTGCCTTCTGATATTGCGAACAAGAGGGAATAAGTTTTTCATGATTAATGTATTAAGTCATTATCGAGAATTATAGCGCGATTTGGGTAAATTCTCCTCATGAGAGTTAGCGTATGATCGAGATCGAAAACAAATGCAATAGAAAATCGGTATTAATGTCCTGGCATTTAGAGTATTTTCCGCATTGTTATTAGCTTTGCTAGATGACAAAAACAGCGAAAATATTTTTGTACAAATGTAACATAAAATCTCTTTTTCCTGTTACACCATTTCCATCCCACAAACAACAAACAAGCTTTGACTAACAAATTACTATCCTAATGTCGCCTTCTGTATAGGACTTTCTCTAGAGTTGTGAGTGTAACCGTTCACAATGTCCTCGAAAATTGCATAATTTGCATTCCAACAAAATTACCACTGAAATGTGTGCGACTGAACAGATGACACGCTTAAAATCTGCAGAAACTTTTTATTCTTCTTCATACTTTAAATTATGAAGTTATCATAAATCTCGACATAAACTTGAGCGTGGATAGAATATGTTGAATAATTTCAGTTTCATCTCCATGCTCAGTTAAAAGCATTGTCGGTACAAACATTTCTATTAGCCTCAAAAGATGGAAAAAAAAGATTCCGCCCGACAACGACAACCCTAAAATTTTCGCTTCAATAATTCAAATTTTTTCATGATATTTTCAAAGAGACTTGAATGCAACGTCCGATCCATTATGTTAGCGCGGAATGTTTTCCTCACAAAGAGTTAATTGTTATCGTCCATCGCGTTAATTGTTTTCATATCGTTCTTTTGTTATTTCACTGGCTTGAATTAATGTTTAAGCTTTTTTTTTCACAGTAATAACTTTCTGAATCTGATGTTACATAAACATAAAAGACCAAGGAATGAAAGCCTTTGTGCTTTCACTTTAATTTTATTTTTTTTCTGCAGCATTTCTCTTAAAAGCATTTTAAAAGCTTCTTATTTTAATATTTTCCTTTTAAGTATTTTTTATACTTATTTCCTTGCTCGCTTCGGTTTTCACAATAAAATTTCTTCAAACGAATGCATTTTAATGCCTTCATAACGAATATTTATTATTCATTTTAAAATTTAAATAAGAGAACATTCATAGCTTAAAATAGTTTTCTGTTCTTGTTATTGTTGTTAAAGATTTAATGTCGTTGAATTATTTAGTAAAATGATTGTTCTTTAACAGTCTCTACTTTTGATATTTATCGTCAAGTTTTAGATTCATCCAAATGTTTTGCGTTTATGAAGTTTTATTATGTTATCAAATCTATATGTGTGTAGCATAAAAAGTGAAATTTTATTGTTTTGCTATCAACTCAACTTCTTGTTCAAGAAAAAGTGTTTCCTCTTGATTTTATTGCAGCAAAATAAAAGATTTCTCACTCTTCTATCAACATAAAAATATTACGAATGATGTTTCTCAAATTTTACGGCAATTTAGTTGTTGAATTCATTTCAATCAGAAATTTATGCGAATGTTAGTCTTTTACCTTAATAATAGAAGTATTTTGAGTTTTTATGTCCCTCAAGCTGATGTAAAACATCTCTCATGTTGAAATAAAAAATGGTTTGCATGCTATTTCTAAATGAATTTTTATCCCAAAATAATGAAAACCCTGTTGTTAGACTAACTTATAAAATATTTAATTAAGTTTTTTAAAAGGTTCATATTTCCATTTCATAATTCAGCCTTAATTCTTTTTATCAACGATAAAGCTACTAGTTTAGTTACTAGAGAAATTAAGTAATTATGTGAAATATTTTCATAATTTTCATAATGAAATATTTCAGCAATTTAAAAAGTTTGATAATTTTTATTCTGCTTATCCGATACTTCTTTTTCATTCTGCGATGTTTTGCGAGGAATTTGTTTAGCATTGAGTGAATGAATTAATCGATATGGACCCATTTTTAAGCAAAAACATTTTTTTTAAACATCACAATTTTATTCCATGCTTATCTTTGCACAAACAAACTTTAGCAAATGCCTGGTCGTGTTAGGAATTACATTAAATATTCTGAAATGAAAGACTCCTTAAAAATACTCCTCTTTCACTCATCAATGAAATCAGATTACCATTTTAATGTCAATATGTCAATATTGACAATGTCGTCTTCGAAACTATCTAAAGTTGATTTAACACATAAAAGAGCAACGACCGATTTTGTGTCAGGCAGATCTTGACCGCAGAAATAATGTTGTTATAACAATTTTCCATGAAGCTGAAGACAAGTTTCCATTTGAAACCACATTCAAATTATTTTATTTACATAACATCTACTGAAGTTTGCTCTCATAATGGCACTTTTAGAAGAGAAGACCATTCAGCATAAAATTGAATTCCTCTGTTAAAAGGCAAAGTAAAAATCATTTCTGACTTTATGGTATAAATAGGATGAAAATAAGTCTCAAGCTTTAGTGTATTCATATTTTAAATTTTAAATAGAACATTGAGATTTTTAAAAATGAAACGAGTAAGTCTAGATCAACCGAGAAATATTTTTTTCACAAATTCTGTCAATGTTAAGACAGTTCTCAAGTCTTTAAGAAAATCTCATAATATTCTTCTTAACTTAAGACTCATTAATACAAAAGTTTCAGAAGAAACTTCCTTATATTTATCATGCATGACATTAAGTATGTGAAATCCCTAAAGTTTTAAGTAGAAGCTTTTCAACTTTGGGTTCAAATTCACGAGAAATTCACCAAAATACTATTCTCATTTATTTTAATATTATAATGTGTAAATCCACTTAACGGCGAGGCTGGAACAAGAAAAATACGAACAGTAGGAAAACAAGGAAACAGCAAAGATGGCAAATAAATCATCATTCGGGAGAATATAAAGAGAAGATTTATGCATATTTTATTTTCATAAAGCTCATGATGTTGTGCTTCAAATATTTTTCTCCTTTTTATGTTCTCTCTTGTCTCTGATAAAGACTCTCGCTTCCAAATTTTCCATAATACGAATGAAAAAAAAGGAATTCTGTATGTGGAAAAATATTTGGAAAATTTCCATCAATAGCAAAAGTATAATAAACAAGGCACTTTCAACATTAAGTTATGGAAGCGGAAAGCAACGAAACTTCATTATTTTTCTATAAAAAAATTCAGGAAGTGGATGGAATTCGTTCAATCATCTTTATTTATGTGTAAAAAAATATTTGCTGTTTGGTTTCATAGGAATTTAATAAATAACGATTTGTGTTATATTTTTGGACTATGCTGACTGTAAATTTTCTTTATAATTCGCTATAACTTTTAAAATGATGAATTTAAAAAGGCAAACAGCTGATGCAACTTCAAAATTGTAATTCTTAAATTAACAAATTTTTAAAGATTATAAACTTAAGCAGAATTAATCAAGTTTCTTCAAACATTTTATCAATAATTTATCTTGAGGATTCTAAATCAATTCTCATGTTTTATTTATAATTAATTAAGTTTCCGCTTTGCATTGCATCAATGATGTTGTATGATATATCAAATAATGATAACAAGAGACTGATGTCACTAAGTACAAAAGAAAACTCAATGCAAATTGTTCAAACCTCTTGAAAATTTCTTTCTTCCTTTTAGCAAAATGTATCGAGACTCAATGTTCAAGAACAAAGGCGTATAATCGACTTTTTTTCTTCTTTCATCATGCCATTTCACAACTGCAGATACATGATGATAGCAACAGCATATTTTGCTCTTCTTTTCAATGTTGTTTTGTTTTCTTTTTATTGAAACTGATACATTGTGCTGAGAGCTTTCCAATTATATCGATTCGATTAATGATACTGTCAATATAACGTCAGTCAAATTATTCGTGTTCATTCTATGTGCTTTTTGTTCACAGATAAATACAGGCAAGGTTTGAGGCCTTTTTTATTTGGTTTTTGGGGTTGTAACAGAAATGATTGTTCATTTCTTCATCACAGTCATGTCAAATTTCCTTCATTGTTAAGTAATGTGACGTTATCTATGAACATTCAGAAGCAACTTTAGTTTTGTTCTGTTCCAAATGGGAGAAGGAAAAAGAGAGAATAGAACGTTGTTAATTTGTCGAGAACTTTCGATTCTTTCATTCAAGAAGTGTTCAACACTCATCATTCTGAATGACATGTAATATCACATGTTTCTGGTGAACACTTATCTATCGAACCCAATCTACAGATTTCTTTCTTTTTTCGAGCACTTGTTAATGCTCTCAAAATTTTGTCAAGCTTCCAATCCATTGTTATCCTGAGATAAATTCGCGATAAGTTTGTTTCTTGTTCCTATTTTCAACGATGGGCGTTGAAGGAACAATTTCGAGATCTTTGAGGCGTACATACCAAGAAATTTTCAAGTGATACTTCCAACATTTGAAAACCACAATATCTAGGGGTTGCGGGTGAAAAAAGTGATAAAAATGAGCAATTTTCGAAGTAAATAAATTGAGATCTTCAGAAAGGAAAAAATATTGTGACTCGTTGAAAGCACTTTCAGAATCCTTGAGCAGATATGCTGCTTATTTTTTAAGGGAAGCTTTCAGGAATAGACGAGAGCTTTACTGAAGTATCATAAAGTTAAAAGAGAATGAACGATGTTTAGGTGGGTTTTATTGTGTTGGAGTAATTTTCTTTTGTTGAATAAATTTTAATAACTTGTAATGTAAGCATTCCTGCATTTTCAGAGCATATTTAAAACTTAAACGCTTACAAAAAAAAACATTTTTGAGTTTTGAAATAATATGACTTTGCGATGAACGATCAATTCAATTAAATATATTTTTAATTTTAAACATAAAACAATTTTATAAGAAATGTTAAAGAGAAGAACGAAAGAAAATTGAAGTGATTGTTCGACCTCACTTTCATCTCCTAAAGGTAAAGATGAATGTTGACTTAAGTGAGTTGAATGTCGTCTTACAAAAAAATATCCGAAAGGAACTCTGCAATGATGAGAATAAAACAATGAAAAGCAATCTCATCTTCAAGATATCATTGAATGTACAAATACTCAGCAATAAGTAGAATTAGAAATAGAAAAGCTCGTAAGAAAACTCAAGGTGGGGCTGAATTATACTAAATCAAATGATTAATTAAAAAAAAGATATCGTGAAGACTTAAAAAGAATACAGAAAGAGATACTTAAAAGACAACAAAGGGGTTTACAGGCTGGGGTCGGCTTTAATAAATTTTTAATAAACCACAACAAAGTTACAGCAATTTTATATAACTAATTTAAGATTAAAATTCATGAATGGTGGTAACATCTTTTCGTGATTTACCCCTCAGAAGTAAGTATATTGTCTTTCAATTAAAAGAAAGGACGAATCAAATGAAGGAAAAGACAAAAACAACAATGATGAACTTATTGCTCAAGTTAATGAAGAGTTTGTAAAGAATTATGAGACAAGAATATTTCTATCGACGATAGCTTACTTAATCATTTTATTTTAGCTTTAGTACGTTCAAATATTAATACTACAATATGACTTCAACAAAAAACATAAAATAATACTCGAAATGGTAAAAACGGAAACACAACATTAACAAATTAAATTTCTTTTTGCTGTTTGCCTTTTTGCTCTCGGGGAAGGAAATTTTGTTTTCTTGTTTCCTTCACAATGATTTAGAATTTCAAGGCTTTCGCAGGAAATTTAGTTGTAGGAATTTTCAACTCAGTATTTTTACCTTTTCCATGATACCTGCCGCAACAATATTCCTGGTGGCGTTCTAGCATACTTGAAAAGCAAACAAAATTCAACATTTTCTAAATTACTTGTCTTCGTTGTGTCGCAAATTTGTTTACATGCGACAATTTACCCAAGCACATTTGAAATAAATTTCAATCCTTTGTTCCTATTTTATTAATACATTCTTTAATTTAAAAAAATATCGTAACAGCAAACAATTTAATTCGTAATGAAAAAATTAACAGAACTCTCAGACGTTAATTAAATTTTCCTGAAAACGCCTTTCTGAGTCAAAAGAATTTTTTTTTCAAAATGCAACGAAGCGAAATGGAAAATTGGCAAGAGAAAGAAGGCGGAAAATGAATGAAAGACATTAAAATTATTCATGTTTCAATTATGTCTTACAAAAAGGGGATGAAAGACAGGAAGTTGATTGGGGAAATTGTTTGCTGATTGCATGAAAAAGAAAAGATTAAGAAAATTAAATGTTTTGGTAGTTTGCAAATTACATTACTAAATTCTTTCTCAATTTTAAAGAAATAAGAAAATTTGTTTTACTTTATTAAAAAAGGAACAAAAATATGTTAATTGAATCTCTCTGTGCTTCTTAAAATTTTCAAAACTTAAAAATTCCTTGAATTTCATGCTTAGTTGTTGCTGTCATTAAATTAATTACAAATATTTAAGAGAACAATTTGACACTCATCTAGCTTTAATTAATACTGGACGTATGACGTTTCATTTGCTTGAATGCGAAGGAAGATTTTAATGACAGATTTAATTTAATTAACGACACAAATTTAAGCTACTTCTTGGTTTATTATTCCTTTATAAGAAACCACAATAGGATAAATATGAGGTTTCCATCTCATTATATAATTATTCTACTCAAAGAGTGATTAAAGGTAGATAAGAAGGAAATTATTATATTAAAGATTGCTGAAAATATCTCGGTTCATTCAATCATCATTAGTTTGAGGTTTTTATAGATACTCAAATTAATTTTCTTTTAAAGAAGTTGAGGCTTCCTAAGAAACCTTTTATCTCGAAGCAAGAAATCTTTGAAAGTTTCACATAGAAACATGATTTATAACAAGAATACTTTTGTAAGTCTAGATGACAGATAAAGAAAATTTATCCGATTACATTTAAACTTGATGTCATGCCAATCGTTCTAATGGATTTTCCATTGTCAGCAAGTTCTTTTTGTGAATAAAACTTATTTTTAAATAGATTTTTTAAATAGAAAGAAGAGAAGAAGAATTTTAATCAGATTTGAATTTCTATTTTTTAAATTAACTTTAATTAAAAGTTCAATTGAATATATTGTATGGATATGGATTCTATATTTAATGAGAAACTTGACTATTAAAATTATCACAAAGTCTTGAGGAAACGATTTGGGTCAAAGATAAACAAAAGAATTGCAGTTTTCTTAACAATTCAAAGAGCGTGCGTTGAATGAATTTTTTTCTTATCTATAAAATCGTGCATCAGGTTAAATATTTCTCCTTCTCACATTCAACGTTTTTTGGGTTTAATCCATGAAAATTACGATAAAAGAACTTTTAATGAACGTTTTAATATTCAACTCAGTGTAATCTCGTCTTCGTGCATCAAAAGTGAATTATTAAAGTAAAGTTATTCAAATATATTTCATCATTTAAGAGTTTAAATTTTATATTATTTTAAAATCCGTGCTATGGACAGGAAAAAAATAAAAAACTAAGCTATGGTACATAATACTAAATGTCCTGACTTCAAATCGTAATCCTAAGTATTAAAAACAACTTTTTTACGATCTTGTAACTTCAAGTCTGTGATCAATGTTTTCCCCATCCTTTCATTCTCATATTTAATAATCTTCCTATGGAGAGAAAAAGAAATTATTATCTTCCTTTGAAGAATCTTCTCATAAATCTTCCAATTTTCTATATGAGCAGAGTTCTTGTGTTCAACTTTCAGTATTTTAAATAATGACGTTCATATTAAAGCTCATCATTTTACAACATGGAATAAATTTATCTAAAAATAGCTTTTTGAGTTATCATTTTTGTGACTTTGGGTGATGCTTGGAATCCTTCATTCGGAAGAAACACATGAGAGAAGAAGAGTATCAAAATATTATGACAGTTATGAACTATAACTTAAGCACAGTATGTTTAACATTTTTATTACAATTTAATGCTTTCGAAGCTCATGATTTTCTTCAACACTTTTTTCCTGTTCTTCCGATTAACGCATTCAACAAACGTTTCATTGTGCTATTCGGGTAGAAAGTGTTTAGCAATGAATCTACTAATAAACATGACATAATCACATGCCAACGACATTGACATCTGAACTCTCCGCTATTCATTAAAATCTATTGAAAATAATTCTTCTCATTATATGGAAACTAAATCCCTTCGGCAATTTATTTGTGAGCCATAAAGAAGGAGAAGTAATAAATTGGAAAGACAACTCCTTTCTTTTTTTTCTGGCGTAATTCTTTAGAAATGTAATGAGAGGCACGATTTTATTCTCTTTAGTAAAACAAGTTTTTTGAAAAATTTCCATATTGAAAATTGAGAATTTGATTTTTCTTTCCTAACTCAAATTTTTTCTTAAATTGAAAAAGAAATTAGAAGCAATGTGAATGTAAGTATAAAGATTTACAACTATCCCTCGAATAATCATATTCAACATAGAATTCTAGCTTCGATTTTCAACGACTCATATAAAGAAAATGGTTCGATAACTCTTTTTTCATTTTTTAAACATCGACAGACATGTTGGTGCCTCATTATGCTGTCTCCTTTGATACATTACAAAACTCTGTAGACATTCTTTTCAAACTTAAAGTCAAGCATAAAATTAAATCATCTGCATGTACTGTTTGTGACTGTTTCATCTAAAATGAGAAAATGAAATAAAATATTTTGTATGCAATGAATAAATTAAATGAGTTGAATCATTTCTAATAAAAAATAATGAAGTTATTTAAGATTTATCACTCTTACATTATTATTTATCAGATTCTAAATAATTTAAAACATTTCATGGTTAAAAGTCTCTTGTATTTGATTTTTTAAAAATTGCCATCATAATTCACTTTATTTTATTAACATCATCAGTTTACAAAGTTTATTTATTTGAACGAGTTTAGTTTTTTTGATCATTAAATTCCATCTCATCGCCTACGAGTGGCTGCAGCAATAATCATCAACAAATCGCATTGAAAGTTGAAATATCTCAATTATTATAGTTTTTTCAGTAAATTAATTTGATGTTAAGCTTTATTGTGGTTCGATCATTTTTCTTTTATCATAATGCGTATCAGTTTACAGTCAATTTCTTTTATGAAATGAACATTTAATTTATGTCAAAACCAGAGCTTTCACAGTTTTGATTTACCACCAACTGCACAATTTTCTCATTAATGAATTTTTCGATGAATCGACAAAAAAAATAAATGAAATGTGAATTAGTGTTCATTATTTGTTACATATAAAATGCCCTTAAATCTGATGAATTATTTTTTTAATTTGATTCATGAAACATAAATGCTTTTTATGTGACATCTTTAGTAAAATAAAAGGTCGAACAAACATTTTCCCAGTTGTAACAATAACAATAATTAAACATCTATAAATCCTTGTGCAAGTTGATGTAATGATAAGAGCCAATAAATTGCGAGTCGTCGGGTGATTTGAACGATTTATTGAGTTGCTTTAGAAGCTGTCAATAAGGTCGATTTTGAAAATATGAGTTTTCAACATTATGGTTTGCTTTCTTAATTTAAAAAAAGGAGAAAACGATACAAAGAGGGAGAGAGAGAGAAAAGGAAAACGCTCACGATGGAAATAAATTAATTGGAATCATAATCGAGTTTCCTATTAAAATCATATCAATGATTAATGACTTTTTGAGTTAAATGAGCGTGAAATTTGCTTTGTTTCTTGAGAAAAGTTGGTTTTTTTGGCGTTTTAAGGACTAGATATTAAATTGCCATTGAAGTAAGTGTCGTTTCTTCGATTTCTTTGTTATGCTGATGGGTATTTTATCTTGAATAATGATATCGTTCTAATATTCATGAGAAACCGTTAGACACTCAGTTGTCGTCACGATCAAATTTTTCACACGCAATTTACGTCTCCGCTCATTTTTCTTCTCTAATTTTAATTTTGACTTCTACTGAAAAGCTCTTAGCAAAGAGATATTCATTAGAAAAGAAATTTTCACTTGAAACTTTACCCATGACAAGTTGATGTTTCTAAAAATGTGATGAGATCAATTGGATCAAAATTTGGCATTTATTTAACATACATACAATTAAGCTATAATTTCAAAATGTACTCTATGTAATCCTATTACAAATTATCATTTAAAACAATGTTTACAATCGTATTTAGATCAACAAACAATATGCTTATGACTTTTACGTACATATTTACCAGTATTTACATATGTGCTGCATTTTATCTACAATTTAACATGTCCAATTAAACTAATAACAGACTTTTTTCACTTCTTGGTGTACATGAGAAAATGTGAGAATCTGCTGTTCATTCCTGTTCTGTTTTGCACACTTTGGTAGAAAGTTGTCAGATGTTTTATATCTTAACAACCTCCTTCAAGTAGTATAATCAGGAAATTCCAACACGTAATGAATAGAATAATATTGTGCATATTGTACAGATGTAGAAAGTAATCCAGCATATTGTCAAATATGAATGTACCAACGATTTTGAAGGGGATGACGATGACATATCAGCTGCAAAATGTAAGATAAAATAGGAATCATTATTAGACATTGAAATAATTGACAACCAAATCTCTTTTGCACACTTGCAATAAATTGCATAAAAATATTGTTATTTACTGTTACACAAGAATCAATAATGATGTCTGAAATGTTGGACAGAGAATTTATTAAGCGAACAAATGTTACTCGATGGAAATACAAACTTCTAGACTGAAATACTTAGGCATGTGCCATGTACAGCAAATCATGGTAAATTGTAAAGAAAGTTTTTTGACTGTTTAAAATTAAATTCTAATTAGGTATCTAATCGAAAACAAATTTTAGTTTTTCTTTAATGTTTTCCATGTTTAGACAGCTTCAAATATGATATTTATCTACCTACGAAGAAAATTATATTTTCATCAAATGTTTTATCAGAAGAATAAGAAACTGCAAACTTTGATAACAAGCAAATATCACGAACAGAAAATTTCCTCACTCGATTCGAGTTATTTTTCTTTACACACTGTTGGCTTCTGTTGCTATCATAATATGTAGACGTATGTTGAAATAAGTGGAAGTTTGTTACGAGAGAGTTGCCAGGTGAAATCATACTAAAGTTCATAGAGTCTTACTTCTTACAATATTCTTTAATATTAAACATTGCAAGCAGATAGAAATAAGAAAAAAAGTATGGCATGGTTCGAGTGATTCTGAAAAGTTATTTCGAAACGNTTCATGGTTAAAAGTCTCTTGTATTTGATTTTTTAAAAATTGCCATCATAATTCACTTTATTTTATTAACATCATCAGTTTACAAAGTTTATTTATTTATTTATTTAGTTTGGTTTTGATCATTAAATTCCATCTCATCGCCTACGAGTGGCTGCAGCAATAATCATCAACAAATCGCATTGAAAGTTGAAATATCTCAATTATTATAGTTTTTTCAGTAAATTAATTTGATGTTAAGCTTTATTGTGGTTCGATCATTTTTCTTTTATCATAATGCGTATCAGTTTACAGTCAATTTCTTTTATGAAATGAACAATGTGAGTCATCCCCAACCATCCACACGGTCATCCACGCTCATCCCCAACCATGAAATTTTTCGATGAATCGACGGAAAAAAATAAATGAAATGTGAACTAGTGTTCATTATTTGTTATAAAAATGCCCTCAAATCTGATGAATTATTTTTTTAATTTGTTTCATGAAACATAAATGCTTTTTATGTGACATCTTTTGTAAAATAAAAGGCCAAAAAAACATTTTCCCAGTTGTAACAATAATAATAATTAAACATCTATAAATCCTTGTGCGAGTTGATGTAATGATAAGAGCCAATAAATTGCGAGTCGTCGGGTGATTCAAACGATTTATGGAGTTGCTCTAGAAGCTGTCAATAAGGTCGATTTTTTGAATTAAAAATCAACATTATGCAACACATTATGGTTTGCTTTCTTAATTTATAAAAAGGAGAAAACGATACAGAAAGAGCGAGAGAGAGAAAAGGAAAGCGCTCATGATGGAAATAAAATAATTGGAATCATAATCGAGTTTCCTATTAAAAAAATCATATCAATGATTAATGACTTTTTGAGTGAAATGAGCGTGAAATTTGCTTTGTTTCTTGAGAGAAGTTGGTTAGGACTAGATATTAAATTGCCATTGAAGTTAGTGTCGTTTCTTCGATTCCTTTGTTATGCTGATGGGTATTTTATCTTGAATAAAGGTATCGTTCATGAAAAACCATTCGACACTCAGTTGTCGTCACGATCAAATTTTTCACACGCAATTTACGTCCCCGCTCATTTTTCTTCTCTAATTTTAATTTTGACTTCTACTGAAAAGCTCTTTGCAAAAAGATTTTCATTAGAAAAGAAATTTTCACTTGAAACTTTACCCATGACGAGTTGATGTTTCTAAAAGTTTGATGAGATCAATTGGATCAAAATTTGGCATTTATTTAACATACACACAATTAAGCTATAATTTCAAAATGTACTCTATGTAATCCTATTAATAACTAATAACAGAATTTTTTCATTTCTTGGTGTACATGAGAAAATGTGAGAATCTGCTGTTCGTTTCTGTTCTGTTTTGCACACTTTGGCAGAAAGTTGTCAGATGTTTTATATCTTAACAACCTCCTTCAAGTAGTATAATCAGGAAATTCCAACACGTAATGAATAGAATAATATTGTGCATATTGTACAGATGTAGAAAGTAATCCAGCATATTGTCAAATATGAATGTACCAACGATTTTGAAGGGGATGACGATGACATATCAGCTGCAAAATGGAAGATAAAACAGGAATCGTTATTAGACATTGTAAATAATTGACAACCAAATCTCTTTTGCACACTTGCAATAAATTGCATAAAAAAATTGTTATTTACTGTTACAAGAATCAATAATGAAGTCTGAAATGTTGGACAGAGTATGAATTTAACTTGATTTTGATGGAAATACAAACTGCTAGACTCAAATACTTTGGCATGTGCCATGTACAGCGAATCGTGATAAATTGTAAAAAAAACTTTTTGACTGTTTAAAATTAAATTCTAATTACCTAATCGAAAACAAATTTTAGTTTTTCTTTTATGTTTTCCATGTTTAGACAGCTTCAAATATGATATTTATCTTACCTACGAAGAAAATTATATTTTCATCAAATGTTTTATCAGAAGAATAAGAAACTGCAAACTTTGATAACAAGCAAATATCACGAACAGAAAATTTCCTCACTCGATTCGAGTTATTTTTCTTTACACACTGTTGGCTTCTGTTGCTATCATAATATGTAGACGTATGTTGAAATAAGTGGAAGTTTGTTACGAGAGAGTTGCCAGGTGAAATCATACTAAAGTTCATAGAGTCTTACTTCTTACAATATTCTTTAATATTAAACATTGCAAGCAGATAGAAATAAGAAAAAAAGTATGGCATGGTTCGAGTGATTCTGAAAAGTTATTTCGAAACGCTTGAGGGAATCTAAGTGCAAGTAAGAAAAAACAAATACGATATCATGTGTTGGAATATGGCGAGAAATATTTTTTCAGTGAATTGAATAACATGAATAGAATATTTTGTGATATTTTTATAGGATATTTCGCCTTACAACCCATCAGAATATCTTTGCATCTTCAAATATGCAGAAGAAAAGTTAAAAGGATTCGTTCATGTAAATATGCTGAAGTAAGTGGCAAAATAAAGAAAGACGTTAAAACTTTCATCGTAAATAGCGTTCATTCACCAAGATTGCCCTTTGAAAAGTAGAAGAAAAACATGCGAGACCTGTATGCAAATAAAATGGAATTTTGATTTTGTTTTGGGATTTCGTCTCATTCCTTTGGTGATATTTGGTTTTGATTTTACCACAAAATCCATTTTTCTGGCATTTGTTTGAGATTCTTGCTTGGATACCCATCGATACCAATGACTTCAAAAAAGCTCAGAAAGAAAAGGAAAATGAATATGAATGAGATTTACCAAACTCCTGAATATTATTTCGCTTTCATTTTACATATAAATATCAATATTTAATTAAAAAAAAGCGAATGTATGAAAATGACTAGTGACATCATCCTGAATTTAAACGATGGGTTATTTATTTATTTATTTATTTCAATTTTAAATTGCAACGAATTTGAATAAAAGTTCATCGAATATTTTATGCATACGAAATTGAAATAATAATTCGACATGAAAAAGCTTGTGAATAAATATAAAATTTTACCTTTGTAGTGTGTCATTCCCACATTCGGATCAGTCAACTGTTCACCGTCATACACGCTGTGATACATGTTCATGTTTGATGTTCCAGTTGCAAGAATTTTTGGACGAACTTCTTCTATCACGCGTTCTTCAGTCTGTTGATAGATTTCATGAATTTTTGCTGTACATTTGAGCTAAAATAAATATAATGAAATAAACATTTAAAATTTTTTCCTGGAACTTATTTAATTAAAATTCCCCAATCGTCGTCAAAGGTCGCATAACAAGACTTACCAATATCTTCACGCAAAAAATCAAATAAGAAAAAAAAAGGTTTTGTGTCAACGCGTCAAGCGCGAAAGTAAATGAGTGAAAGAAAAAGAAAATTTAATTTCATCAAGTTTTTGTTATTCGACCTGCTGCCTTTAACACGAGGAAGAGCAGAATGTCGTAAACACATAACAAAAATCATGTTGAGGATTGCTATTCGCACCTGGTGGGGAGAAAATTTAATTGAAAAAGGTGCGCGATAGGGAAATTTAATTCAAAAAACGAAGACGAAAGAGGACAGAGTAATCTGAAGAGCTTTACCTTCAATTTCCCTCGCACGAAATGTTGTTGAGTAATTGGAAAGTGTATACCTAAAATTGTTGATTCTAAATTGCTGTCGTTTCTCGATAATTTATAAATTATCAATTGTGAAGCTGGCGCCTGTTGGAGAATATAAAACAGATATCAATATCAATCTTTCGCTCGGTTGTCAGGTGAAACAGCGGCACGAGGCTGATTTTCAAACAACAAAATTGTGATTTAATGAAGTTTACTACAAAATATTTTAGCAATTTATTATGAGTCTGGTAATTTAATAATGCTAGGAAATGTTGGTGGGAGCTTTCTTATCTAAATATCTGCATCAATATTCATTCTTCATCCGTTCTCTAAAAGTAATTTTCAATTAATTTTCTGCCTATATTTTTGGAATAATAATGAAAGGTCTGTTTACAATTATAAAAGGAAATTAAGATGGTCAGATGTCATAGAAGATATTTTAAGCAGAAAATAATTATCAAGCCTGTTTTCAAACTACGTAAATTTCAATCAGATTAGCAATTTTTAAAGAAGTGTAACTAAGGATGATATTATTCAACTCTTCTGCACGAAACTTCAAGTGTCGGCAACGAGCTCTGAAATTTTGTTAAGTAAATTTTATCATTTGATCACGTTTTATCGTTTTTCCCGAACTTCAAAAACAAAACTTCTTTAGCTGCCTTTCCTTCGCTCTCCCATTTTATGTTTTTATATTTCTTTCATTATATTGCAAGTAAGAATTCAATGTCTACGATTTAGAACAATCAGCTACATCAAATTTAAAGGAATAACATTGAATATTTAATTAAAAAACTTTTTCTTCATTCTTCCTATTGTGTTCCTCGTTAAAAGGAGAAGAAAACTTTTTCTCGTGAAAATAAAAAAACGTTTTTATATATTTTTTGTGAAAATGATGACGAAAGGGATGGAAATGAAGCTCAATGCTTGTTTGAAGACATAAAAATTGAGCCATAATCTTTTATCTCTTTCTTCTTTTGGATTGTTTCATCATCCATTAGAATCCACTTTAAAATCGATTGAATTCTTCATTTCGTACTTCAAATCCATGGTAATGAAGAAAAAGGAACGTTAGCAGCAAATTTAAGTGAAAGAAATTTGAGATGAATATACCGATTTTTAAGCTTTCAGATCTCACTCAATTTAACATGGATTTCTTTCATTCTTTTTTCTAATGCTTAAAATTTATTCGAAGTGCACGTTGAAAAGGTTGAACTGGAATAGAATGAATATGAGAAAACAGAGATGGATGAGATAAAAAATCTATTTGCTTAAATATCAATTCCACCCTCAAAATTGCAACATAAATAAAATCATTCATCTCTCTAGCTGAACAATGATGATGTTTGAGAAGCAAACATGAGAATTGCATTAAACTGAACGTTATTTGTGAATAAGAAGAGTTAGTGCTCTTGGTCGGTTTAAATCTGTTAGAGGTTTCAGCTCAATTCATTTTACTTCACATCAATTGATTTCTAAGTAAACGATCGAAAGGCAGATTAAAAATTAATGACTAAGTATTGATTGAAACTCGATTAAAAAATTATTGAAAGACAACAATACAAACCAGCACGTCATTGACTGTCCATGATAAATTTGCAGCTGGTTTGGAAAATTGGCTTGTACAATTTTCCTTCAACTCATCACCCGGACGATATCTCGTCATTATACCGTCAATGAATGGCTTCGCATCTGGAATTTCTGCAAAACAACGGCAAATAAAATATTTACTAAGCGAAATTCTTTTATTAAAAGAAAGGGAATACGATGAAATTCAATTCAATTATCCATTTTCTCTTTGTTTTGATGCTTATGGCTACTGCGTCTGCTGTACATTGAATGTCAATGGGTAGGGTATAGATTAAAATAAAAAAAGATGAAAATAGCCAAACTGTTAATTAAAGATAACAAATTGGTAATCCACTTCCTTTACTCATCAATGAAAATTAAACAATATTAGCAGCGAAAAGCGTACGATTGAAATTCATCAATATGAAGAGAGTGAGCTTAATCCTCTGTCGATTCGGAAATTCCAATTGGATTAAAGTGCCAATTGAAAAAAAAGTGCCAGCTTTACAGCAGCACTAGGAGTAGAGAAAATGGAAAAAATAAAATAAATGATTGAAAATCGATGAAATTAAATACAACACCAGAGAAAAGCGCGTGAAAAAAAGCAAACAGTTGGCGTGAAAAGGAATTTTAAATAGCGAAGCTTTTTTTTCTATTTCTGCTCGAATTCCTTGGAAATTCAAATTTCCTATTTCAAATTTCAAAACTTCTAAATAAATATATCAAAGGAAAATACAGTTGAATATGTCTTTCATACGGTTTAACTTACCAACGACTTGCATGTCTCCCGACACAAGCATCGTATTGAAATGAGGAGCATCGGCAGAAACTGTGGAAGCGATAAATGAAAATATATCCGAGAATATTATATTTTACGGTTGTGATTTTTTTCCCGAGGCAAGAATAACCTTAAATGTGAGGGTTGCTATAGTAAAGTTAAATGAAGTCTACCAAATCCTGACCCTGTCACAAATGAAACTCAATTCTATGGATAAAAATGACATTACCTTCGCATGAGAATTTCCCTGAAATATTTGTGTCTACTTGTGATATCACAACCTGCGTATCGTTCGATGAAGTCGTCTACGATGAGAATCACAGAGGGAGAAGAAAAAAAAAAGAGAATTTCAAAGTCAAAGAACAATTTACGAATTTCATTACACATGATTGTGTTTTACCTCAACACTGATTCCAGCCACGGGAAATGTTTTAATAGATTGCGGTTCTTTCGGTGTGTAGCGATAGAATTCTCTCTTGCCTTTGTACCACTTTATCGAATATAATGAATCTCCTTCCATGTCATAATTACAAATTAAGAGGGCGTTATCACCTCGTTTGACTGCTGCTGGAATCGTGACGCGAACATCACGTAATCCAACTGATATATCTGTAAAGGGATAAGGACGTGAGTTTGAGACAGAACAGTACAGCGATTAAAATGAATTATTTGTAGTGAAAAATGGTGAATTGTCGGAAACATCTCGAGTTTACACCCCATCATCATTATCTTATATGATCACATCCACACATAAACAGCATCACCAGCACAAATAGTAGTGACTCAAAACGAGGCTGAATGGCTCTCAAAAATTATGATGACACTGTCACTGACAGCATAAATGTCTTTGTTATTTCATATCCCCTTGTTGTCAGCAAATTCGTGTGTGACGATACACAAAACTTCATAAAAAGTCTTTTAAATATTTAAAAGTATATGTAGATAGATATATAAAGCATTCTTCGCATATTTACTTTCTTACTTAATGCTTCACCCTCACGATTCGCGACTTAAGGATCTTTCGTTTTGGCGCCTCTTTCCATAAACTTTTATTAAAGCTATCATGTTCTGAGATGAGATAAAAATCGTAATGGATTTGATTCAAGGCGCTTTTCTCTCATGAATTTAGAGCGCGAGACTTCATAGTGATAACAATAATAACGACGAAATACGATCATCGAAAGAAATCATCATCAGATTCATTTTCTTTTAAAATTCATGAGATGTCGGTTGGGGAAAGCTCATAATAAATGTCTCGACAATACTCATTAAAATAAGCTGCTTTCCGCTATTCTTGTTTTGAAGCATCCGATAAATTCATTCATAACAACTTTGACATGTTTTTGATTAAATCGATTCGATACATGATTAAAAGGGTTATTGCTTCTCAATGAACTGATGATGGCGCTTAACGTGGATAATTCTCTCAATAAGTCAGGAAGTCGTATAAAATATTCAACATTGCATCAAATGAAATAGAAGACAAATATACAAGTTGAAAAGTTTGTTCAATTATGATCATAAATTAAAAACACCATCAAGCAAATATTTTCAGATTTATTGCCAAGTTTCAAAAAATATTAAAAAGAGAAAAAGAAATGAAGAAGTTTGCAAGCCATAAATGTTTTGAAATAGAGAAGAAGCAGCAGCAAGCAGGCTAGATAATGATGATGATAAAGAGTCGAATGAAAATGGTTTCCGTTTTTGATGTTACGCATTTTCAAGTGAACACGAAGATTCTTCGAGTTGAGAAGGAAATTGGACCATTGCGGAGAGAGGGGATCACAGAGTATTCAAAAGACTGAGGGTGGAGAAAATTTTTAAGCAAGCAAACGGAATTGATAAAAGCGATAAAGATAATCTCATGCCATCCATTGCGTCAATATAAAAGAACAGAATGTGCTAGCTTTCAAGCTTTCTATTCATAGCTGAGATTTGGAAAAGCCTTTTTCCTTCAAACATGATAAAATTAGACGAAAGGCTCGAGGGAACATTTGATGAAGACGACAGTCCCTTACTGTATAAACTCTGTATATAAAAAGTGTGATGAGATCTTGTAGAAAGTTGAGGAAATAGAGAAATGTTGACGTCTCAAAGGGACAACGAAAGATATATTTGAGCTTGTTTACATAAACGATTTCAGGTAAGATGAATTTTGTATTTTGGTTGCTCAGGAAAATTTTCTAAATTGATTGCTGTTCCTTCTCTTTTGCTTACACATGAGAATATTTTATCTTTATGATTAAGTAAAAGGAGGAATGTGGTATCAACTTTTAATTGAACCTCGGTCTCGTTCCATTGGATCTCGAAATTTGATTTGTTTGTGAAGTATTTAGATCAATTTTCTTAATCATTCATTCAGTCTCAAGTGACTTTGAAACAAGAAAGTTGGATAAAGATTCAGACATATGAATTCGCAATGAATCAAATACAACATTCTTCAGAAGATTTAATTTAATTAGAAATCAACTTCAAACTTAACAGCTTAGCTAAGAACTTTTGACACTAATTAAACTCATTTGAGTGAAAAAATTAGAGCGAATAAAAAAGATTGTTGAATTTTGTAATCAATACGCTGGCGGAAGGAAGTGAAAAGAAGACAATGATAATAAGAAATAAAACTCATTTTGATGTCAGTTAAACTAAGAGCAAATCCTTGTACGACAGGGCGAAAAAAAGGCTGTTAATTAAAACTCTGGAATTTTAATCCATTAATTTTTTCAATTTATTTCTTCCGAGCAATTGTTTTCCATCAACCCGATATACATCACATTCAAAATGTATTAAACTTGATTCTGTCCTCCCGCATTCTTTCACCGAACCTTTTTTTCCTTCTGTCGGTCTCAACTTCAAGCTTGGGACTTGTCACATTGTTTCATGGAATCCATTCGTCTCTTTTACGATAAAAGAAAACGGAACCGAAATGAGATGATGAAGAAGAAAAAAAATAGAAGAGAGAACTGTGAATAAAAATTGGGGGCTATCAAGCATCATTGCGAAGAACGAACGGATGTGGGGGTGGACTGCGAATACACATTTTTTCTTCATTCCTTGGGTGATATTGCTGAAGCTAAACTAATATATATTTTATGGTGACGAATGAGTGTTGTAGCAGAAGCATTTTATTTTCCATGATTTTTATTTTCAACACGATCCTTTGGTGTCATTAGTTACTACACTTGGGCGGCCCATGCCCCCATGAAGTTGTTGGGGTGCGTAGGCACTTTAGTGAAATGTTGTATAAATTCATTTATTTTGTAACTACAACACATGAATAAAAGCATTATTTGATTCATTTTTTATGTTAAAGTGGCATAAGCCCATTTAACATGTTGCGAGCGTACATTTGCTATTTTTTATACCATCCGGAGAGCGACTGTATCGGAAGAAGAAGGAGTTTAGTGTGTAAGGTGACGACGAGAATGGGTCACAATCACAAAAATGTATTTCATGTGTTATTAGAAAGTGTATTCTCAGGTTATTTACAATGTTTCTTTTTTATTATTATGTTACGCATTGAGGAAGGCAATGTGGTTTCTGTGTTTTCAACACTTTGGGTGAGTACGTAAAAGTTTTTTTTTCTGTTATATAACAAGTGACGAGAAGTCCACTACGTTTACCAATGAATCGCATTAACGTTTGCTTTCAACTTTCTACTTCTCATGCTCATGAATAATCTCATGAAGAAATATTCAACGCTGTAAATACAGAAGAAACAACATTATAAACGTCGTATTAGTAAGTATGTACATCAACGGATATTTTCTTTTTCTTTTAGCATCTTCACTCTCCTTTAATGTAACGTAAAAAGCTATACATTTTGTGTGCATGAAAAAAGTTTTTCATTAACAAAGTTCACGTTTTCTTCTTCCTTCCATTTTTCCTCGTTTTTATTTTATTTCTGACATTTTCGTAAAATGTGATGCATGACAGAAACCGAAGTAAAATGCGGAATTGTGGGGTGATAACTTGCTTAATAATTTAAGTAACCATCTTTAGATGGTATTAAGTTAATTTTACTTATCTTGAATCGTCGACTGAGGAAAAATTATCAACTCAAAGTTTGAAAATGTAAAGTAAAAGCCGAGTTAATAATGAATTGAAATCTTTGTCAAAGAAAAGAAGTAAAAAACCATTTGCGATAAACGAAAGCAACATTTTCTCTTCCTGTTGCTGATATAGTGTGATATTGAACATTTTCACTTAATTTGAAAAGCATTTTTTATCCACAAATAAATCTTCATTTCATGATATCAATATTTAATGGAAAAGAAGCACATGAACATGAAATACTTCATATGAGGGTTTTCAACTGACAAAAGGGAGGAAGGGATAAAAAAGGTTTTCCTGCAGTCGTCGGGACGTTTATTTTATTTTTTACTTTTCTCGACCTGATAAGAATTCAAAGTCAGTTGGAAAACATCCTGGGGGAATAATGAATAGTAAATGTTAGATTCTAAAACCAGACACTCCGATTTGAAGTTGAAAACCATACTTTAATGTTCACGATAAACGATCATTCGCATTGGTGGGCATGGTAAGCTGTAAAGTAATAAAGTAACTGAAAGCTGAAAGCCATAATTCTAAATATCACCCTAAGAGCTCATAAAATGCGAAAGGCATTATCCGTTATAAATTCAACAGAATATTGATTTCAATGAAGCCAAAAGGATTTTTGTGACATATTTATGGAGCGACTTCTCGCATATATATGAATGAATCCAGAGAATATTGGGTAAAACAATTATTGTTTCATCGTCTCCTATTGTTTCACTGAGTTAGCTGTCAAAGACTTGTGAGACACAAAAAGGCTTCATGCTTTCAAAGATACCAAAAAAACCTTTTTTTTTTCGTTTGGCTAATGTATATTTCTGGATTCATACAAAGCATAATGTGTCCCTTGAAAGACATATTCTGATGGAACCTCGAAATCTCTCTCGAAAAGGCACACCAGAAATGAAATAAGATTGCAAACGAGACGGCAAAAGAAATTTATGCCCATTTTTCTTTCAAACGAACAGAATCATAAATGTTTCTCAGAAAAACTTTTTTTTGGGGAGCTTGTGCGATGAAAAATGTGAGTGCGTGTATGTGAATGTGGTAAACAAAACAGAAAAAAAATAGAAAATGACAAAAATGTTATTTATGTTTTATTATTGGCTTCCATTTACATTAAGGTTTCTAACGGCCTTAAGTAGCTGTGGCAAAAAAGAAAGAAAAATTATAGGAAAAAATGAAGATAATTCGAGCTGGGGATGTTTTTCTCCTCTTTCATCCGCAACTTCTACAGCTGAATAATGTTAATTCGTTTTCACAAACAAGCACCACATATGAAAGAATGCTTAAGATGAACGCACATATGTAAATTCGGGTAATTTTTCACTTCGGAGAGGAAAAAAAAACGAAGAAGATAATTTGACAGAGCTTGAAAAGAAAGCGACAAGGCTTTTATACTTGATGTGTAAGGAAGGAAAGCGAGTTGAGTGAAAACTTTTTATGTTTTATGTCTTTTGACACAGGAAATAAGGAAGAAAATTTGATAAATATATTTTTATTTTGTTACAAAATTAGAGCAAACAAATTTATTGCGATCGAGCTTGTTCTTTTTGAGTTGATGTTTCCTTCATGTTATTTGCGTGATTCGTATTTCTTTGAAGTTTACTTCAGGCATAAAAAATTTTAAGCTTCCGAAAATACCAAATGTGAAAAACCTGACATTATCTCAAATAGAAATCTCGTCAACGTCATTTATGAAGAATTGAAAAATGTTAACATGACAATAACATGAAACATTTGAATAAGATTTGATGTACTTTTTTTTTTGTATAGAAATTGGTTTTTGGAGAGACTAAGTCAATCATGTTTGAAATAAAATCATTCAAGTTGTTATCATAACAGATATTTTTGATAATTTAAAATTCCTTGTTAATATTTAATAAGAAACTTTCCGTTTCAATAATTTCGTCTAATAATGGTAAAAAGCTTAAAAGTTGCACTTCTGCAGCATATTAGAAAAGGTTTCACAATTTCGTTGAAGCAAAAAATCTAATTGATTTAAATTCTTTGCACATTTTCTGTTCTCAAACTCAATCGTCGAAGAATTTTTTCTTACTTTTAATCAAATCTCTAATCCATCTCCTTTGGAATATCAAATAAGTAAAATGAGAACACTTAAAAGCTTTTCTGTTAGTAGATTTAAAATTAATTTTAGTATCACATTACGTCTTACGTCAACGAAGCGCTTAATCCTCAACCAAATTAACTCAAAGATTTCTAATCAAAATTTCATTCTATCTTTTCTATGCTTTACCGCAGCAAAAACAAGAGCAAACCCACTAAAAATGGGTTTGAGGTTCTGCGTCTCTCCAATTCACGCTTTTCGAATATTTATTCTCAACGCTTGAGAACCTAATCAAAATTTCATGTAATAAGATTAATCATGATAATAAAATAAAATGAAAATCAGATTTAAAATATGTACATGCTGTGTGGTTGACGACAGCGAAGGAAGCTTCAGGAGATGAATTTCTGATTAAAATATGTTATCAGCACCATGAGGAAAAGACATTATTCAAGCCTCGAAACTTTACATGATTACATATTTTTGCTTAAATTCTAATTATCACTTTCCAAATTAACACACCAACTAACTTCAAGCATATCAGAATGTACAAAGGAATTTATTTTAAATAATTGAACTTGCCGTTCAATCTACAAAAGACTTTAAATTGGAGATTAAAATGTATCGAAACAATAAAATTTATTTTTATCTTATCTGAAGATTCTTCTACAAGTTTAGATTAATTGTAATTGATTGAACAAAATACTTAAATTGAGAATGGATTACACAGAATAACATATAATGATTCATGCTTATTTTTTGTATACGATAAAAGTTCATGATTGAACAAACAAAGACTAAAAAAAGTGAAAGCCTTACATGAAGATTCTATTTGAATTATAAAAGTTTAAAAGTTTTAGCTTTAGCGAAAACTTGTTACAAAATAATCCAAAAAGGCAAAAGTTCACTGCTATATGTTAAATGCTCGAACGAGTTTGAAAACTTTCAGGTTTTCCGAACGAATCATAAACAGCAAACATCAAATTACTTAATCCACTTGCATTTTGTTTTCATTTCTGCTAATATTTATCGGAATTTATCGTATTTAATTAAACTTTCTTGACATTGATTGGGATATATAAACGATTCCAACTAACAACATAATTCGGAGGAAACTTTTCCACAAGCTTTATCCTTTCTACTTCTCCAAAGTTCAAATCGTTTAACAGAATAAAATTTTCCAATGTATGTATAAATGTGATGGCTTAACAATTCTGAAAGCAAGCAAGCGAAAAGAGAAAGAAAAAGCTTTAGCAAAATACCAAACATGTGTAAACTGACCCAACTAATTCGGTAAAGAGTCGAAGCAAATATCAGCACTGAATGTCGGTTTGAAAATAGAGAACATCGATTGAGTGAAAGGGAGATGGATGAAATGTGATACGTCATGATTCTACTATCTCGAGTAAAAGAAAAAGGGAAGAAAAAGGAGATTATCTGGTACTCTTGGAGAGAAGGGTTCTTTATATTTCTTCTTTAAGAATAGCCTACATAAGTAGCTCCCAGCTCATGAAAGAAAAACAACAAAAATACAATCTCAATATTGTTTGGAATGTTACACAAATAATGCTTAAGGGAAAAAAAATGCTTGATCAGATATCAAACTTGATATGTAGTAAAATTTTCAATGATTTCAACATATTGGTTTGGATGTCTGCATTTTTTTTTGGGATGATGATTAAGGCGAAAAGGCCTTAGGATGACGCATCATATTAGGTAAATGATATTCGTCTCTAACGCATTCAAAACAGATACGCATTCAGTTTCTTCACCCAACACTTAAACTTGAGAGGAGCTTCAAGGGAAAGAAAAACAGATCGTTTGAATCACTCAACTTAAGTCGTGAAGATTATGAACTCTTGAAAGAAAAAGATGAAAATTATTTTGAACGAGCACGCAATTTACCCATCTTTTAAATCTTTTAATGCATCTCAATTCTTTTTATTATATCGTTGAGGTCGCTCGTCTGAACACTGTGAATGTGCAACAAATATTATTATACTTAGAAGCTTTTTCTTTCTTTCTCTCTTATAGTCATGTTGTGGATGGTAGCAAATTTTTACTCTTATATTTTCATCTCCGATTCCGTGCACAATATTTGCTGGTTGCAACTGAAAGAATAAAGCAGCTTTTTCTACATGATATCTAGTTGATGTTTCATGAAAATAAATTGCTTTCAATTTATTTCAAAACAACTTCAAGAGTAAAATTAAATGCTTAAAGGTGTTTTTTTCCGAGAATTTTTTTCTTTATTCGCTATAGCGAGACAAAGGAAATTTTAGCATAAGAAAAATTCTTGGATAGAAACAACAAGAATGAAATGATTCCCGACTATATCATTATCTATTTTTAAAGTCATTGAAGTTCTGCAATTTGCTTTGCACAGGACATTATCACAAGTGGGTGGAAGACAGTTTGCACTCAAGCGCATTTATCATGACAAAATGACTTCTCAGTCACTTTTTTGTATTTTCAATATGTTTACTTTCTTTTTAATATTCAAATATTCAAAAATAGATTTGAAATTTAGATTTGATCTTTTATTTAATTTTCAAAGCTGAAGAACTAAAATCTGTCTGATTTGAAAAAGGCTGTCAAGAACAGTTTCAGTTCTACTTCATATTTTTGGTTCTTTTAAGAATTAAAACGAATCCAAGTAAATTTTTATGAAATTTATGAAATTCACAAGAGTACTTTTAATAATTCATGCAAACACAACGATGTCGTGTGAATTTGTTTTTGATGTTCAAATGCATTTATTACAGTGAGTGTGAGAGGATAAAATATAAAGAATTACCTGCTGCCAAGAACAGACACAATAAAGGGATCCATAGTCGCATCTCCACAAGCCATGAAAGCCACATTCTGAGATTCTCAACAGCTAGTTTCAAGACTAGCATTTAGCATATAAAGTTTTTCAATGCTGTCTGTTGCAGTTGTGTAGATATATCCACTTTACTTATGTTTAACTGTCTCCAAGCGATTCAATGAATTTTATTCATTTAATTTTTTGACTCTTTTACGATTATTGCAACTCTTCTTCATGAATAACATTTCATTTCTCTCAAATTTGTCATTTTTTTCACATATATTTTTATTATTTCATATTATTGTGCTTGCTTTTCAATGTGGAAATGCATAGTGACTTCCTTCCACTTGTTTTTGGTGAATAAATTTGTTTATGTGTTCATAAATATACGATTGAATTAAAGTTTAATATGTTTGCTTTTATATTAAATCGTTTTTAATTTCATGCTTCTGATGATGCTAAGTATGAAATTATTTTTTACACTCATTTCTGCCATCTCTTGAAACCAGCACAATATTTTTCCATTATAGTTTTACACATTTCTGTAAACACATTGAGCTCATTGCTGAGATTGCTGCTTGCTGTTAAACTTTTTTCCTTTCTTTTTGTATGTACAAAACTAGCTGAGTTGAGCTAAAACATATTTTTTTTCTTTTTATTATTTCATCACTTAATTTATTCATGTTTGTTCATAGCTAGGAAAAAAAACAGAAAAAAACGTTTCCATCTTTCTCCTTTTTTACGTATCAGCAAAGAACAAACCAGAGCAATATTGTGAATATTTTATGTATTTAAATCCTTAGATATATGTAAGACGCGGTGTTACAAAATATATGAGGTTGATATTTAATAATTTCAAAACAGCTTCCGTTTTCTTTTTCCTTTTGATACGTGAAATTCTGGTAAAAAAATGTTTGAAAATGCTCCAAGCCAATTTCATCCAGTGATGAAGTTAAGTTAATGTCACTTAGTAAAAGTGAGGGAAAAAATCTACATAAGCAGATGAATGAATATAAGAAAAGTTTAAGGCTTATGTAATGAATAAATGTATGCATGTTGATGTGTTATGAAATTATTATATGCACCAACATGTGTGAGGCGACATCAAGTTGATACTTTATAGATTTATGTTCATAACACTTTCATGCTTACGAGTCGGATAGCAGCGTAAGAAAATATTGAAGAGAAAAGAAAGAAGAAAAATTTAATAAATTTTGAAAACATACAACGAATGAATATAGCGAAGCTCGAAACAGTAAAAGCTGAGTAGAGCAAAAAAGAAACAAAAAAGTCCTGAATCGACTGATATTTTATCATAAAACTTTTCATATTTTTCAATCATCTTGTGATGAGAAGGAATGGTAGGACGGGCGTCTAAAAATTCCAAGGACTCTGCTGCTTCAACCACAAGAAGACGAAATATTTAAACCGAAAGAGAATGTGGCAAAAAAGTGATATAAAATAATATGAAGCATAAAATAACGCACTGGCTCCAGTTTCAGCGTTTGATAGAAAAATGAAAAGTTATTTTTTATGCGCTGTTACTTAAATATGAAAGAATGATAAAGGAAAAAATAAGAAGAATGGAGAGGGAGAAAATTACAATAAATTAAGCCTCGAAAAATGTGTAATATACATTTTCTCCAACTTATCATAACAATTTTCGCGTTCCGTCCTCAAATTTAGGAGAAGCAGATTGAATTCTAAGTAAGTATAAGCTGAGAATGACTGAAACTTCTGAAAGCTTTCTGTTGTTATTGTTATTTTGAGACACTGAGCTTCTTCAGCTCGAAAAATCAACATTCATTCAAACGCCCTCATTATTTTCTCGTCTTAACTGAATTTCTTTAAGCATCGCCTGAAAACTTTGCGTAGTTGTCGGTAAAATTATGTGGGGTTACGAATGGTAAAATACGATAGAGAAATATGAAGAATGTGCGTATGTTAAGGAAGATGAATAAAAAAGTCCATCGGATGGAGAGAAAGCAAAAGGGCCGCAGTAGTATCAAATTTTGTTTGAATTTATGTTAAAATATCCTACCGAAACACCACACACAAGATTTTTAACTGAGAAAAATATGAAAGGGAAAAATGAAGAAACGGATTCGAATAAATAAAATACGAAATGGTCCAGAAAAATAAAAATATAATAACAAAATTATCCAGTGCTTCTCGTTTGTTTTACTGCCGGCTGTTTCCTGTTACCCTTTCTGTTCGCCTTTCCTTTCACAAACGGAATTAAATGCTAATCCGTTAGCATCAAAATTTGATCCTTTTGCTCGTATAATCCTTATTCGTTTACCACTGAGAATTTATGAGCAGATTTCACCGCAAAATTTCACATTCTTCTACACACAGTTCAAAACAAAGTTCCTTCATAATGCGTGCTGGCGGCAAAAGTCGTCGAATATAATAAAAATCATTACACCAAAAGTTATGTAATCAATCAGCACAACTATTTGCTTGCCATATCAAATATATTTTCCAACTGATTCGTTTTAGGCTTTCGTTGTCAGTGAAAGCTTATTCGAGGTAATTTTTACAAGAATGGAAATCAAGGATTTCCTTAAATCGCTCAACAATCAATCACAAAGTTTCTTCTTTCGTCCGGTACAACACTGTTGTTAAGATAAGGAAATCAAATTTACGGGGATTTTATTCATACAGATATTATTTCTCTGTCGTCTTATTTAATTTTTTTTTGTTAACACGTAGATCCGAAAACTTGTTAATTAATCATTTATTTCAACTTGTCTGTTATGTAACATCAATCAATTATCCATTTCTTTGTGGTTTCTCCTTTTTGGTTTCCTGTATTTGATTGATAAGAAAAAGTTGTTGAACTTTTCTGTTTGGTTATAAATATTTTTCTGAAAGAAGCTGCAAATGAACAATCTTATATACCGAAGCGCTAAACGCTGACTATGGCAGTTTCCAAAAGATATCTGTAACGATATCAAAGAAGAACATTTTCTCTTATATAAAATTCCAATGAAAACTTCCAGGATGATGGCATGGAAAGTTCAGTCTCAAAAGCACAAGAGAAAAGTTTACTTCATATTCTTCTCTCATTAGCTTGAATACTTTGTAAGTCATTGATTCTGAAGGAAATTGAAAGTTTCATAAAAGCTATAACCATAGCTATAGTATGCAGTTGATTATGTGCAAATGTGCATGAAATGTTCAAAATCATTTGACAAATTTTATGACCTCGACATGATCTTAAAGCATGCAGAGAATGAAGCTTTCATATTTACAGTTGTGCTTCATTGAAATGCTAATTAAGAGCATAATTCTGCATAATTCATAATTATTAATTAAAAACTTTTCCTTTTCGGAAAGCTAAGGGAAGATAAGAGGGTCGAGACGAAAACAAAAGCATTGAGAAAAGTGAAAAAGTTTCTCTTTTAGTTTTTGTAGAATTTTATTTTTGTTTTGCTTCAACAGAACATAATATTTGCTGAGTAGGTTGGTTTGTTGCATGAGAAACGATGCAGAAATTCTTTGCATTCTTTACGCGATTTATTCACAAACTTCTGACATTATTTCAACTTAATCCCTGATGGTATGAACTCCGACTTGACTTCGTTCCAAGTATAAGTAGCAGCAGCAGTATTTCCGACAAAAACCTAATTTTCTTACATTCTCATTTGCATTTTGCTTTTGATGCATCTTTATTACTTGATGAAAGCGAACTTTTGTTATTTAAATTTTCTAATTGTTCCTTACAATTTTTCTTCCTTGCCATTGAGGTAAAGGAGAAGATTTAGGCGGATACCGAAAACATAAATTTCAGCATAGTACATATTTCATTATTTTCTCTTTTTTGCAAACTAGCTCAAACAAATATGAAAGAAACCCGAATCTAAGATCATAAACTTAAATTTTAATGAACATTTGTATTGTTGGAAAAATATTTTAGGACAAGAAAAGTTTCAGTGCTCGATTTTTTTTTATTTGCTGGCATTTGTCAGGTGAAATTAAATTTCAAATCACTTTTGCAACATTTTTATACGTTTTCTAGTTTACTTACTCATTTCATTTATTTCAGATATTAGAAAAAGATTCAATTTTAAAACTTTTTTACATCGATGGTTCAGGAAGTATTTCATTTTTATTTAAAGATTTGGTTTGTTAGTTTACATGATGTTGTGGAATCGGATTGTTCAATTCAAAAACATTTATCATACAAACCGTCAATTGTTTTTCCATGACACTCTCTCCTGGAAGCTCTGAGAATTTCAGTTGCGCATGATTTTTGAGGCACAATTTTCAAAACACTTCCAAAACATCAGAGATATGAAAAATCACAAATAAACATCTATGCATGTTGGAGACTTAAACAAAAAAGGATTTTAATCATCATTTCATGTGGACTTGGAGTGCTAGGAGGGGAAAAAATAACAAAAACTTTATTCAAGAACTTGTAGTGAAGTTTTCGACAACATAAATTAAGAAGTTGAAAAAAGTTGAAACACTTTTCATCTTCATTTTCTTTGACTCTTAGTTTTTATTCACTTCAACGCGTTCTTGTTAATTTACAACATAATTAATTATAAACTTTGCCAGACGACAGGAAAGCTGGAAAGAAAAACTATTTTCCCCCAGTTCATTCTATTACATACTTAAATTCGTGAAAAAAGTTTTTATGAAGTGCCTTGATATCATTTAAAAGTTCAAATAAAGCCACTATAGAAGAAATCTAAGAACTCTTCCTTTATCACTTCACTAAATTTTTCACTGAGATAAAGTTGACGCTTTGACAATACTGAATCTTCATTTATGTTATACATGACATTAGAATCTATAGCACTCCATTCTGCCAGTAAATATGGCAAATAGCAGAGACAGAGATGAGCTGCCAAAGAACCGTTTCTCGTCAATTCCACATTGAGATCGAGAAGTGTTGGAGGTTCTTTATCGTAGCCATAAGTCTTGAGACTTTCCTTAAACGTCTCATAGTATAAAAGTATGATTTCTTTACGATATTTCTTTCGATTTTTCAGAGTCATCGATCCATAGAGCGCATAAAAAATATCAACAGCTGGTGAAGCATAAACGCTCAACTGGAAGTCCAACTGAAAGTGAAAGGAAATACGCTAGCAAAAGGTGCTTAAATTACAATTGGGGTCGAAGTTTCATAACTTTTAAACTAGCCCCAGATTGCGATTGATTATGTTTTATGTTGAGCAAAAAAAGGATAAGTAGGTAAGTAAGAAAGAAAAATGTTCTCTCTTTGAATCTTTTTTCTTCTTCTTCCTGTACTTACAAATTGCACATCACGAATTTCCCCATCAATTTTTTGGAATAGCATATTTCTCAGTACGAAATCACCATGATTCAAAACATTAAATCCACCTGCTGTGGGGGTAAAAGCTCGCTTGCCTCTAATAGAGCATTTTTCAATAACTTCGTCGATTCTGTCGACATATTCAGGTTTGTTCAATTCTGGCCATGCATTCTCAAGTATCAGAGTTTTCAAGATATCCAAGTTGTGTCTGAAGAAAGACTCTTGAATCGAATCAGGCATATGATAAACTGAAAAATTGTAGTTGGAAAAATCATTTTTCTGAAAATAAAAATTATCGAAAAATAACAGAATAAGAATTTAAATAACTTTGTCACTCACATTTTCCAACAAAACAAAAGTCGCAGCATGAAATGCCGCAAGACGTGTAAAAATCAATTTCGATGTTTCATAATCTTCAGGAACTTGAAGTGTTGTGAAGCCGCTGACACTTAAATCCTCGAGAACAATCACGGCAGGTTCGGTCGATTGATAAATTAAACTGTAAAAACATTTATCACCCATTACTTTTCATTAAATATTTCCCATTGCTGTAGCATAGTTGTTGGAGACATGATAAAGAACAAGATGTTAGCACAAGCTACTAAATATACCACGCTAATTGAGTAAATAAATTTGTTTCTGGCACCAAAATGAGACAAAATAATGTTGAAATCAGTGATGTAAGATCACAATCCATGCCCTCGTTTACTGAAGCAACAAAAGCACTTACGTTGGAAAGAGTTTCACGTCTGCGTTTGCTTCAACCAAAACACGATTTATGTCAATTAAAGTATCGCCGTACATCTTCATTTCATTCATGAAAAGACGCTTTCCATCGATGTCGCCTTCTTCCTTTGAAGGCATCATTTTCACAATAACTGATATTGATTTAGTCCCCGAAACGGTCAAATAATTTATGGAGGCTCGTAACAAGTCACTCGCAAAACTTTCACCCGGTTTTGATCCTGATCGGATCACAAATTCCATCACTTTCGCTTCTTCATCTTTACAGTAATGTTTGATGACCTTCTCGAAAAAAAATATGTTGAGCCACTTCGGATGTCGGGAATCCATTTCGGTTTGTGACATTTTTAATTAATTAAACTTCCGAGAGCTTTTTTCTTCTTATCTTCTTTCACTTTTTCCCACTTTCTCCTTTTCTATTTATATTATGATGCTTGATGCTAGATTCGAGTGAAAAAAGAAAAAAAAGCTTTTATATTATTAGCGAAACAGACGCAAACTAAAACTCGCCTACTTATTGCCTAAATATATGTAGTCATAAAGATTTTTATTTCCGAATCACTCTTTGATAAGATTAAATGCGACTACAGACTACAAATACGCTGAAACTTCAACAACATTCATTAACTACTTTACGTGAAATACGAGGGAGAAAAAGCAGAATGATTCGATGATTTTTGCTGGCTCGTGTGTGTTGAGCCATAAATTAGTTAATGCGTAATTCGTGATAAATCTGACTTGAATCAGTTACTGCACAGATCGCAATCATCCTGCTACAAATCCCTTCCTCCGACCGCACATGATTGTTAATGATGCTTAATATACAACATTTTAATGGCACCAAAACTTGATCCCAAAAACAGCACAAAATAAAAGTTATCCACAACCTTAAAAGCAATGCTTTTGCCTACTGCTAAATGTTGTTTGGTGCTATTGATTTTTTTTACTACCTCAACATTATTATCTCTCATTATTTGGCAGTAAAATTTTTGTGAACGTAAAAATGTTGCAAATAAAAACAAAATTTTTATGTCACATCGCAGCATATTTTGCCTCTTCATTCATTTTTTTTCCTTCCAAACGATAAATCGAAATTGAGATTCGACAATACTATAAAAAAAATACGTAAAAAAAGAAAAACACAAATTGCTTCAAATCAAAACGCTTCTATTTTAAAATAAGATTCATGGAGATTAAGTAAAAATTTATTGTAGTTACTGAACATACATAAATCTTTTTGTCTAGAGAGTCACGATCCAAAATCATTTTTATCCCTTATTTGTTCATTGTTCAATGACAAGCGATTGAATTTTCTTTTTATTTTATTTTCCATCTAAATATGCCTAACAACGATAGCTATTCAAATATTTTTGAAGTGGAATTCACTTCCATTCTCTCAAGTTGCTCGTTGCTCTTTCTATTCTTTCTTAAACATTTTATTTTATGAAAATATAATATTTTTTTTGGTGTATCACCACCCCCAACTTCCATCGAAAAACGTATAAAAATCATGAGGCCATAAATTTCCGCATTAGTGAACAATAATAATTGAATGTTAATGCTTCTTGCCATTGTAGAATGTTTGATATACTCAGAGAATCCATCAAATAAAAAATCCTTTTTTTTCTTTCTCTCTCTATCTCTCTCATTTTCTCACTCCTTTTCACTCCGACCAACTTTATCAATCACGCACATGAGTGGCGGGTAGAAAACACACAAACCGAATTCATTGAAAGTTCAGTTTTGTGGAATAATTGGAAACGAAGCCGGATGTGAGTTCTGAGGTCGTTATTTTAAAAGTGTGTGAAAGCTTTTCAGCATCTCGCATGCGAGATGAGAAGCATTTTGGCTTCCTTGAATATATCAGCTTAATCGAGCGTCTCAATTTATCATCGCCATGTCGTCTTGCTCTTGAAGAGGTTAAAGGGGATCCTTTAAATTTAGTTACAAAATGAAAAATATTTAAATGAACACAACAAGTAATCCTTCGATGATAACGCAGCACTCTATCTTCCCTTAATTTGTTTTTTTCCTCAATAAAAGAGTTTTCGAGTGTAAGAAGCTGGATATGATCGTTCTAAGAGCCATTTACGATTTATTACCCCCGCAATATCTCGAGGCAAAAAATGTTTTTAATATTTTTATCTACTCCCACCTTTTTTTTTTAAGAAACGAAACTTTTCATTTATGATGCAAGGGTTTGATGACCGAGCTAGCTGATGGGATAAAAAGATGTAGAAAAAACTTTGTAAGCAAAATTTTTTATTCACTTTAATGGTTTTTGTTCATAATCATGTAAAAATCATTAAGTATCGAAGATAAAATTTTCCCATCTTTATTAAATCCACAAAAATTACTTTCTTATAATTTTCAACAACAATGAAAAATCAATATTTATTAAATGCTAAAATTGATCGCAAGAGTTTAACGTTTAAGACTCACAATTGATACAGTAACTTAACAAAAGAATTTTGTTTCATACCATTGCTGTCTGCTTATCAACGTTTAATAGAAAGCACCTCACATCACATTAATTTCAATTACAAATACTAAAAGGTGCGATAAGATAAAGCTCCGACTAAATGTATAGTTAATTGAGCAAATAAATTTAACTGAAAACGATTCTCTCACAGTATTTAGATGTGAAGAAGAAAAATGAAATAAAAAAAACGAAATCGCGTGACGCGAGAGTCTCTTGAGCTCCCTGGTAATCTTTTTTCTGTGTTTAAGTTGATAAGCGTGTCTAGTAAGTATACGTAAATGTGAAGTAAGAACGTGTGCTATAAGAAGAGTTTATTTGTTGTTTAAACATTTCATATAAATGGTGATGATTAAAACCTTAAAACCACCCTTTATACATCCATTCTTTCATCTCGTTTTGAAGTAGAGTTTTTACAGCTGGAATTTCAAATAATTTCTTTTTAAATTCCTTGGCTTTATCGCCATCAGTTGCCATCATATCTTCCACTTTCATTGTACTCCAATCAACAAAGGCGAATGGTATGAAACAAACTTTCAAAAGAATTGTTATCTGACCATGTTTCAAAAGCTCAATATTTAAATCAAGCAGTGAAGGAAGAGTTTTCATGTATCCAAAAGCTTTTAAAGTTTTGACAAACTCTTCGTGATAAAAGACAATCAAGTCATTCATTGGGACATTTCCATTTTCATCTCGCATTATAATTCCAAACACATACGCAAGGTCAATTGCAGGACTGCAATAAACGCTTATTTGATAATCAATCTAAAAGAAATAATATTTAATTTGTGAAATTGAATGCTGACATGTAATTTTATACACACAAATCGGAATGCTTCCAGGCGATTCTCAGAGTTCATCTTGAACAGAATATTTCTTAAATGGAAATCTCCATGGTTAAGAACGTTATAGCCGTCTTCGGGCTTGTTGGCAGTATAACATTTGATACCAATTTCTCCCACATGTTCCTTGAAGGCATCGAACCTTGGAATAAAATCTTCATATCCTTCCCATGTTATCAAAATTTCACGAAAAGCTTCCAAAGTATCACGAAAAAAGGTTTCAATAACAACATCGTTCGAATAAATTGTGTAATTGTAATTGCTGAAATCATGTTCTTTCTGGATTCAACTAAAATTAATAATCAATTTTTACTTCAGTGACTTTTCACTTACAGTTTCGCTTAAATAGAAAGACGCAGCATGAAATTGTGCGAGTCGTTGAATGATGAGCTTGCTGTCTTCTATGTCAGCAGCTGGCATACGTGGAGCGAAATATCCCTCCGGGCCAAGATCTTTTAAAATGATGACAGGAAAAGGAATATTTGTTGCATAAATTAACCTTCAATAAAAAAAAGAATTTTTACTAAAAAGGTTTAAAACGAGAAAAGATGGAAAAATTGTCGAGGGTTGTGTGAAAAATTAAGTCAATTTTGGATGAAGTTTTACAACTTACTCCGGTGCTAGTTCAACTTTCATCCCACACTGTTGAAAGAGTTGATTGATTGCTGGAATGGTCTTTGTATACATTTCTATCTCAGTTTCGAACAACGGCCCACCGGCAACGACGCTCATTTTTAAGCCATCGTTCACAGGTTTTGCTTTAATGACTACATTTAATGTTTCTTCTTCTAGTTTTGGATATTTCCTTGACCTAAACTTAACTTCAACTTGAAACATGGAACTTGCGAAATGTTCAGTGAAACCTTCTTTCTTGAAGTATTTCACAATTTCGATCGTCTTATCGTGTTTGTAGTTCTGAATCGCAGTTTCAAGAAAATCTTTGTTCAGATATTCTGGTAATAATTCTTCAGGTTTTTCCATTCTAATTTATTAAACTTTGAACTTGATTTCGTGACGAGTATTTAGAAAATTTTTGTGATGTTTCTTATCGGCACTTAAACGCACACTGAAATTTGTTATTAAAAATATTACAATTCACGTCTCTACACGCATCAATTGAAAATGTTTCCATGTATTTATGTTGATACTCTATTTGTGGGTGAAGAAAAACTATGAAATTGATTCTTAAATGTATTTGTAAAATAAAACATAACAAATTATTTCTAAATTTAGACATTTGCCCATTGACTTGAAGATAAATTGTGACGAGGTACTTAATGAAAAATAATTTATATTGAATCATAGTTTTCTCGTATTTACTATCAGTTTAATAAACCACAATTGGCTTTAGCCATATACACTTTCGTATTAAATAAAAACTTATTCTAGGAAGGAAACGAGAAAGCAATTTTCTGAAAGCGCAACAAATGGAAAAACAAACGTGCTCGACGTTGATTACAAAACTTTGTCTGTACAAAGATGAATTTTGTCAAACAAAAGCAAAACAACAAAAGTAATTTTGAAATTTTGTTAAAACTCACCTGACATTATGAGTTATGAGACAAAAACAAAAGAAAATAGAATTGGGAAAAGCAAATAAACTAATTTCGTTTTTCTGCTGCTTTTGTTTTGACACCAGAACTTTCCCTAGAGAAGAAGAGAAGAAAGCTGCGATAACTTTTCACTTTAAAGATTGTTTTATTCTTTTTTTCGCAGATATTTTCATTTTATTATTTGTGAAGTGTGGGGTAGACAATTCATCATGATGAAAAATTGCGTTCATTTTAAAAACTTTTAGATATTTATCGTTCTGTTCAATGGATCATCTAACTTGTCACTTACCAAATCATAGTTTGAAGAAAGCTTTTGTAAACGTGAATGAAATAAAAACAAAAAGCAACAGGAGAGAATATCCGGGATAGGATATTTACAACTCCAAGGCTGTTATTGACTTTATCTATCAACACTGAAAACTGCAGAAAAACAAAGAATCGAACAAACTTTCAATGTTTTCGAAAACTTTTTCTTTTTCCATTTCGATACTTTGAAATTTGTTGTGGAATGTTGTCGATAATGTGGTTATGCAGATAAAATGTTCTATTAGAAGATGTTTAAGGAAGAGTTTTAACATTGTTTAATTTGTATAATCTAAATTTTATCTCCATCAATTTATAAAGCGAAAGAAGAAATTTTACCATCCTACGTAACAAAAATCTGCTTTTAAGTTTTGATAGGTTTCAAGGGAATTCATATCATCACTATCCGATAAAATGATTCCAGAAATTCCAATTCTCTTTTTCAATTTAAAAGATCAAAGGCCAGAGGTTGAAATAGCTCGCCATCACTCACAGAAACCGACATAAAACACATTTTTTCGATTCGGCGCCTTTTTTATAATTCAACCAAGAAAACCTTTAATGGTGAAAGGATCAGTAGAGCTTGATAGAATGTTAATTGTCATCTTATGTGAGATAGATGGGGAGAAGGAACTCTTAAAACGTTAGAACGTGATTCATGCATTAAACATTAAGCTATAAAGTGAGTACGTGCCAAAAATGTCCAACATTAGTTTTCATAATTTATGTTTTCCATTACAGTTCTGATTTTCCTACTTTTATATCATGTAAATTATCTCACGCTTTTATCATTGGCGTTTTCTCTTTCTTCTGTACTGTCAACATCTTCTGTCGTTTTGGTAAGTAAAGGTGTTGTGAATCATTCAAATGAATTTGTTTTAAAAGAAAAGCAAATTGAAGAATGAAATAAAATTTTTGGGATTTTAAATTAGACCCAAGTCTGCATACAAATTTCTATCTTTTGTTTTACGTTTCTTACATTTCTCGATCTCAACTGCTAATAAAAAGGGAAGCAGAATAAATAAACAGAAGGAAAACGTGACAAAATGCTCAGATAATTTATTTTCAGCATTTTTATTACGACGGAAATGAGAAAAGGTTTGCAAATAAATGCCACTGACTGTGAATTAACATGTAACAACTCATTTGTCTTCGTCTCTAAATTCATTCGAAGAAAGTTTTGGGGAAACATTTTTGGGAAAGTTTCCAAATAATTTAACGATGCTTTCACGTCTCATACACCGTGATCTGATTTTATGATCCGATTTTCTATTTCGAATTAGAAGTTTAAATTGAATCTGAGATAGAAAGAAAAATTGTTTTTCTTGAAAATTCACAAATTGGATTTGGGGAAGATATTGGAAAGTTTTAATAAAGAAAGTTATATGTAATGACTGTCAAATGTAATATGTTTAATCCTATCGGCAGGATACTCCCACCTTTATCCATACTTTCTAGTTTTGATATGTAATGTTAATAAAATTCGATCAGAAACCTGTTCCATTATGAACCACGTTGGCCGACAAACTTAATTAAATAAATTGAACGGGAATGAAGAACTTTATCAGGTTAATGTTAAAATAAAGAAAACTGTTTATAAATAATTGAAAAACTATTTGTTAATAATCAAATCATCATTCAAAATCAAAATAAGAATTTGGTTATGGCATCCACCACATCATTAAAGTTAAAGTAAATAACTTACTCAAAATCTCATGCTTGTGTGATTGCATAATTCATCATTTTGATTCTCTATAATGACAAAGAAGCAACCAAAAATTAAGACAAGAAATCGATTGAAAAGCAAAATATTTGTTGAGCTTCGCTCATGTTCTCTGGCGCCTTTCTGACGACAATTGACCACCACCAAATGATCAATATGAAAGCGCAGAAATATAATTTTGGAGAAATTTGAATATGAAGACAAACAGAAAACGAAAAAATTTGAAAGTCTTTTTTTTACCTTTTTTAAACTTCAGCATAAGAGACAAAATTTTTTTTTAAGAAGTAGCGAAGGGAATGACATTTCAGAAGTGATTAACATATCAACAAACTCGGCTTATTTTAAAGTCTGACTTCACTCCCCAAAGGCAAACTTTCGAACCCATTCATTCATTCTTCTTTCATTTAAAATAAAGTGATAATTAAATATCCCGTGAAAGATTAAGAGAAAAACTCTCTGACGTAAGCTTAAGTTAACTGAAATACGATAAGCTTTTATTTCTTGCTTTTACCTTACATTAACATGAGAAAATAAAGTGATTCCATAACATCCTTTAAATAATGGTAAATTTATCGCTTTATTACATTTTCCGTTTTCCTCCATTCCCACATCAGAAGGTGAGATTACAACGAACTTAAAAGTAAGAAAGAATTGAGAAAAGAAAACAAAACGAGAAGTATTTAACCTTCTCAACTCTCCCTTTGTCTTAACTTCACCAAACGTAAGCCATTTAATCCTTATTATGTTTTAGACAATAATTATGATCTTGTTGCTACTGCTTGTGCTTGTGCTTATTGCAAAAGAAAAGACGAGAAAGCTGAAAAGAATTTCAAGGCGAAAAAAAATTTTAAATGAAAATTTATGAAAGTTTTACTGTTGGGTGAGAAACAATGGAAGAAATTAAGTAATTAAAGTGAATGGAGTTGAGTTAATGCTTAGCTTTTATAATTAATTGTGCACGCGACCTTTTTTTTTTGCTTTCTTTCCCTCTCACATTTGATTTCTCGCAGTGCGACTGTTAATTAAAATGTCATGAAAAGAGATTTTCCAGTGTAAGCTCTGATGAAATCTGGTAGAACGACTCTAGAAATCTGTCACGACATGTTCTTAAAGATTTTCAGTTTCATTTTCTTGTGAAATGAGGTCGAAAGAGCAGGATGAGTTTTGTGGTTGGAAGAAAATTGAAATTTCTTCTAATTTGAGTTTAAGAGGATTTTTCTCAGAAAATTATTTTAGCTGCTCCCGAGAAACGACTGACTAGTCATCAAGTCACATCTTGAAAGGAGAACAAAACTCTAAACATGTGCAATCGACGACAATTTGTACGTGAGATGGAAACTTTTTCGAAAGCTCGAACCAATTTCTAATTAAAATTATTAAATTACAGAGAAAGAAGATGGCATGAAGCGAGCTTTTTCATCTCTCGACTAACTATTATCAGAATGAAAAATCAACAAGACAAAAATGTCTTGTGTTGGTTTGGTCTTCGAAAGATTAAAGAAAGGAAAGAACGAACATGCAATTCATTTCGTGCTTGTGACAAGTTGTAAAGTCACATTAATGATAGCACAAAAAGGAAAGAAAATTGAAGAGAAAACTTTTTTTTGCTTGGTCTGCGGCAATCCCAAGAAAAGAATCCCAAAAAGTTGAAATCAATTTTCCATCATCATCAAAAAGTTTTTCTCTTCTTATTTATGTTGCTTTTGGCATCTCCTGACTCATCTTCATCATCGTCATCATCATATCACGGGAGCTGTTTCTCTCTTGGGAATGTGTTTGGGAGTAACCCAAGATCTCGAAAGTAACTTTTTCTCGTATCAGAAACCAGCGTGTTTTAAGTGTTCTTCAATCACAAAGCTTTGAACTCTGAATGAAAAACAGTTCAATTTGCCCTAAGTAAAAGCTTAAGTAAAATTATGAAGCATATTAGTAGCTATAAATTATCATCAGGGAAAATAGAATTTCCCTTGAGACTTTCAATTCACGATTCTGCTCTTGTTGACATTAAATTTTCTGAGGTTTCCATTGAGGGTTTTCAATAAAAGGTCAATGAATTATATCGCCATGAGACTAATATAAATTTATGTACGATCGTGATGTCAAATTTGTAGGGACATGAACATTGCATGGCTATTGAATAATTTGAGATCAATAACAGTAACAATGATGATATTGCAGAAACGAGATTCATTACAAAACGATCTTGTGAAAGTTTTTCTTCTCATAACTTCGGATCAAACATTACCACTCAAAACAGATATTTATTTGTGACATTTCATTATTTTCCATTTTGTTGTTATCAATTTTCATCTTGAGTGAGTATGATGCGCAATAGGAAGTTGAGACTAAAATGAAGAAGAAACTCAAATGTAATCATCTGAAGAATGAACATTTTTGTCACATCAACTTTGTCGCAGTTTCAGTATTTTCTTTTTTTGGCTTCGCGATAAAACATTACGGGAAAAATGTCAGAATCACTTATCATAATAATCATCATCTTACATCATCATTTCAGGCTGATAATGTTGATGTTATTTACAATGCATTGTGGAATGAAGATGAGTGGCAATGCTTTGGAGTGGGAAAAGAAAACAAATTTTCTGATTGATGTTTAACTTTGTGTTAAAACTTTGTGAAACATCATTCAACAGTTCATAAAGTTGTTTTCCTCCTTATCTAATTGCTTAGATAAACGATTTATTTTTGTTCGACCTTGAAGTGTGTGTGTACTTATCCTCTTAGTTAAGTAAGTATTTGAGAAAGAAGAAGAAAAATACTTAAATATTACAACGAGGAATCGAATAAACATTCGTACACGCAAAATTCGAGTTGACTGAAGTCTCATCATTCCAACTCATTTAGCAATTGTGGGCAACCTATTGAGGCACTTTAAGTGTCGTTCTCGTGTTCCACGAAAACATCTCGACAGTGATTAACGGTTTCTTCTCTGCTTTTTCATCTTAAGTAAATATTTGGTTGATTATGTCGAATGTTTGAGGGAAAAATGATACTCTCCTTTGAGGCTGAACTGATATCTTTTGTTGTGATTGCGGTGAATAAAATTGTCCACATTTTCAACCGTCAACCGACATCAAGCGGTTTTCAAAAAGTTTCAAAATTTGGTCAGCATTTGGCCCACGTCCCAAAGACCTTTTTTCTTGTTTCCATCTCAAGACGATTTAGAATCACAGAGCAGAAGAATATGAAGAAGCAAAAACCAAAACCAAACAGTTTCTCACAATTTTCTGCTGTCTCGGTAAACTGAATGTTTGCCGTTTTCCAGAGAGAAAAGGGCCATTTCACAACACGACACGAAAAGGTGACATAAATAAAGAATTTTAATAGAAAAATCTTTTTAATTTTTATTTTGTCACGTATTTTTTTTTTCATTTGAACCTTTCGTTCTGAATTATGCATTTGAAGGGTGGACAAGTGAAAGGAAAAATTATCGGTTGATTGGTGTAACTTAGAAAGTCAAAGTTATTTCTCTGCTCTCAAGACCGAACCGGTGGTTGGTATTTATAGCCATGAAAGTAATACTTTATTCGTGGTATTTCATTTTAAACGGATGATCTTGCTTTTTCCAACCCGTCACCAAAAAAGAGATTAAATGAAAGATTGAATGGAAAAAGACAAACTTGTTACGTGCGATGATCCAAATATCCAAATCGAATTTTCTTTTTATTTTATTTCTTAACACCAACACCCAAGACAATAGAAAATGAAATAGAAATGTAAATGTTCGATTATTTTCATGAATAACAAATGAATTGAATTTATTAAACGTCTTTGACTGGCAGATATTCTTTTTTTCCGATTACCACCTCCTCTGCTTCTGCTTCTGTTGCTGCATTTTAACGTCCGTCAAATATTGAATCTTGATGGAAATTTATGGCCTTCTTTATTTTGTGTTTCGATCTAATGCTGCTTCAATTTTACGAAAGCAAATAAGGAGTGGAAAAAAATTCTCATCATCGAATTTTAAGTTGAAGAGAAAAGAAAGAAAGTTTTTCAATAAATTTTCAACCACTCATGACTTTATTCATCCAGGACTCAGGAAACATTAAATTTCTCATTTTCTGTAATAAACCGTGATATTATGCTGATAAGTGGAGCTTTTAAAATCTCCAGGTGTTCACTGTTGATAAAAAAAAAGAAGCTATTATTAAATCGAGTAACCATCGAGTGAAGAACAAGCGATTATGTTAAATGAAAAAGTTTTTCAATTTCATGAAATGCGCTCGTTGCTGATGGATGCAAGTCAGGGACATCATATCAGAGATAACTTTAACTTCCTAAAAATCATGGCAGTGGTAAGTAAAATATTTTAAAGTATTTCGAGACTTGGTTCATGCAAGATGGAAACATTAAACCATTCAGGTTTCTGGTTTCATTGTCGATATTTCTGAAACTCAGCTTTTTAAAAGCTTATATTAAATTATAATTAATTATTTTAACGCAACCCAAATCAGACACAAACAAACTCTTATTTAATTTCTATCTCTTCTTAACTTCTTCTATCTACACAATGAAACCAATGAAAATAAAAAGCGATGACGTGGATGAGAAGCAGTTTTCTTTTTTTAAGATTTTTTCCTTCATCTTTGTTTGAGCTGTGGCGACAAAAATAATATCAACGTTTGAGAAAAATCTTTAGCAAGAAAAGGTCAAAAGATGATGTGGCTAACTTTTTTCATTTACATTTTTGTCCAACTTCTGTTCGTCTTTTCTAAAACTTTGTTTACTTCGCTCATTTTTCGGATAAAGAACTCTTATTCATGTCGTCTCTCTAGTTTTTTTTTGTTTTCTATAATAGAAAAATTCCTCGACACTTAATTCTGTCACGTTTCTCATCGTTATTCTTCCCTTTCTCATGCCACGATGTCTCGATGTCGGTTGATGGCTACTGTTTACAATATGCAAGCAAAATCGGTTCATTGAACATTATTTTTAATCTTAGAGATACGTTTGCCTGTCTTTCAATATCTATCCCAAGTGGGTGCTAAAAATTTACATGCACTAAGATTCGTTTATGGGCTTTTGTGTCGGAAACTGTTTTCTCTTTGGCCTTTTGGAGTTTTCCAAATTTAATTGAATTAAAGTTTTTTATTGAAATGTTTCCCTTTGCCAATGATCGTTTAAATAAATAGAAAATAGTCAAGGGAATATTTTTATATGGACCAAAGCTTTTAGGATTTGAAAAGGAAGAAATTTCTTGGAAGAGATGAAAAAATCCTTTACCGTGAAAATGTTTAAACTTTGACCAATTTCAGGAGAATATTTGTGAAAGTCGAAGCAGACAAAACATTTTTTTTGCTGCACTTTTAGAAGCTTTTTTCCATTAAATGTGACATAAAAACAACATTCTCAAGAAGCACGTTTTAAATTAGATTTTTATTTGCATATTTGAAAGAAGCAGCGGAAGAATTTTTCCATCCCATCGTAAGTATTATTCGTTCCAGCTTCAATTTCCAATTCGAGAAGATTTATTCAAACGATGTAAATCCTTTCTTGAATTTTAATGATGTTTATTCTGCAATTTAAAGCTTCATCGGTATTCAGATTTATGCTTCCTTGTTTGGACATAGTCGTGTAAAGCGTTTTTCCGCGTGGCGCGTCAGATGGCTTGAGAAAAGCTTCCACTATCCATTTAGTCTCTGTGGTTAGAATGAAAAATTAAAATGCTTCTATTTTTTCACTTCCTTTATAATCTTCATCCTACTCAACATCCCAAATTCGTCCTACGATAACGGATTCAATCGAGGAAACATATTTCACAAACTACGCAATTCCGTCTCTTGTAATTATGTAAATTATTATGCAACATGAGTTGCTCAATGAACAGTAAACTCATTTTTCCGTTTCACCAAATATTCAACAACTTATCAGGTTTAGTCTAATGCTGCTTTTATCGAGAGTTGGTGGTTTAATTAATTTTTAAATCGATTAAAATCAAATTGATTTCTCGAGTTTCTTTTTTATTCTCACTTTCTGGTTTTTGTGTCCAAAGATTTTACGTCCTTTCATATTTAATTTTGGTGCTTTATAATTTGTTCGCTTCAATTCCCTCGCTCCATCAACTTTTTTTTTGTTAACGACATTTAATGTTCGCATTTTCCTTGAACATTTAATACGAGTCACTTGATCAACATTAATTACGTGGAAATGTTTCAACATCAACCAAATGTTACCTTTTTTTATGGCCATCAGGCTACTGATTGACAGATTGCTATTTAAGCGGGCAGATTTTTGTAACATCATTAGTTCCTTCCTCTTCAGCATTGATATAGTAGTTGAATCACTTATGAAATTCTTAAGAATTTAAAAGTTCAAAAATCAAATTTTTCATGCTGATTGGGGAAAATGATTAAATCCAATATTTGTCAACAGTCTAGACTCATCCACGATCTGATCAATTCATTTCTTTGACTCTTCGAGATAAAAATTAACAGCATAACACGATGCTTTGTTAATTGCAAGAATGAAGCACCCCACAGAGCTTTTGTTAATTAACCACGAAATGAAAATTAAAAATAGCAACGAACACATTTAAGCTTGTGACAATAAAATCAAGAGATTATCTGTAGAAATAATTATTAAAGCCATAAAATATAAACATAACGAAATGATTATAATCCAGTAGAAACTTTTACAGTCATGAGAAAAACTTGAATGAAGAGTCGAAAGTTGGTGGCATTTCAGCAGAAAAAAAAGAAATTACTTAGAAATAAAGCCACCCTATTAATGCTTCCAAGGGATGTTATATTGGATTTATCATTTTTATTAATTATTGTTATTGCCTTAGGATAAGTTTTCAGATATTAAGAGAAAACATTTCATAATAAGATTTTATTGCTTGTGTCCTTATAGCCGGAAAATTTATTTTTGTTTAACCGTTAATAATCCCCACAATTAAAATTGTTAGAGCGACATCTATAGTGATATTTAAATTTTTTGACTTTATATAACGAGTTGACTCTGGTTGATCAATTAACAACAAAAGAAGGAATAATTAAAAAACTGCCTAGAAAATAAACAAAAAACTTTCAGATAATGGAGAAAATCCCAAGAAAAGTAGAAATAACTCATATTATAAATCCTTCGCGCTTCTATTGTCGTGATTTATCCTTGATAAATGAAGAAGCCGAAAATACTAAAAACATTGAAGAAAGTCTTATGGAATTAGCTGAATCACGAGATAAAAATATGTCCAAATATTTCGAATTGAATAAAGGCGAGGTTTGTAATAAGGAATTATTATATTAAATTCGATTTCGCTAGAAAATATTTCTGTTTTAACAGTTGGTGGCATTTTTCTGTGACGTCAACAGAAAATGGATTCGTTGTGAGGTCGATGAATGCAAAACATACAGTGGCATCCTTACTCTGATTTTATGGGCTATTGACTACGGATTTCCTTTTTACACTAAAAATTTCAAGAAGATTTTTCCATTACATGGTCGCTTTCGTTATCCTTGCAGTAAGATTTTTGTTGCTGGGTTGGAAGTTGTACCAGCAAAACCTTATTTTGATAGCGTAAAATGTAAGGAAATAATTCAGTTCAACGATGAATGGATGGATCATGCAGTTGAAATATTTAAAACAAACTTAAGCACTGTTTCGGAAGTCTTCTTTTTATCGTCGAAAAAATTTTCACACACAAATGTCAGCATTGGTGATTTGCTTGTTTCTGAAAAAATTTCCATTGACTATGGAATGTCTTCAAAACTGGTAAAGGATCATCTCGCTGTTTATGTTGCACCAGATTACTTTCAAATTTATTACGAAAAACTCTACACGAATCACATTGAACGATGGAATGACAACCGTCGAAGTGGCGGCGTTTTGAAGCTTCCCGAAGGAATTGCCGCTCCTTTGATCGTTAAAAAACTGTCTGATATTGAAGATATCGAAGAAAGCTCAGTTCTTGGTGCTGTTAACAATTCCATTAATCAACGAATCATGCAATGGATGGACGCATCAGATACTCCAAAAAATTTTGAATCCATTTCTTGTTCACGAACTACTAGCATTTCGTCTTTTCAACAATCAAACTCAAATAAAATGTCAGCATCGGAAATCTTGGAATCTTTTGAAATGGATATGGAAGAAGAAAATACTTCAAAAAATCGAACATTAACTAGCCCCATTTTTATGCCAGCTGGTGCAATGATGAGCATAAAACAAAAAAATATTACAACAGACCATTCTAAAGGAAGTTCCACACTTCAGGATGAACAATTTGTTTCTGTCTCTGAAGTTGGCTCACATGCAGCTAATGATGAAAAAGAAGAAGACCCTTGGAATTAAAGAACATCAACATATCGTAAAGTCAATTTAAAATTTAATTTTTACGAGCAAACATAAAAATAATAAAATAAAATGTGAAACTTTCCATCGAAATCAAATTTCGTTAAATAAAAATGAACTTACAAAACAATTTTCACTTCTAGTTTAATTCAATAGTCGTTTCTTATGAAAGTTTGATATTCTTTTTTGGGACAGACATTTATAACATTGTCAGATACTCATCACAGCATTCCTTTATTTAATTCATTTATTTATTTGCAGTAAAAGAAAATTCTTTTCGTTTGACATTTTGATCTATTTATATTTTATAGGAAAATCAGTTGAAGACAAAACATAATTAAGAAATTGTAAGTGGAAATGAAAGAATAATAAATTAGTTATAAAAAAACATTTAATTAATTTTATTTTATTTATTAATTTTCTAATTGAGTTACTGTCATTGAGATAAAATCAAAATCTTCATCATCATCATCAGTTCTTAAATATTGCATTTTCTTTTTGTTTTGTCTGAGAAGAGAACAAAAAGTTTTCAATTTTTTTATCAATCACGTTAAATATTCAACGGCGACTTTAGTACCTACAATTACAAGATTAAAACTTGACATTGACAACATATCTAATGACGACGACGACAAACATAAAAAATATAAACAAAGTATTCAAAATTAAAGTAAATTTGTGTTGAGATTTCCAGCATAGATCGTATTAGACTCGAAAATTTGCTTCGTTGTGTCAGCAAATGAAATCGCTTGTGGTTGCTGCTGTTGTTGTTCACTTTTGATGACAATTTTCTTATCGGATTGCGAGTAAACACCTACGACTGTAAAATAAAATTTAATTAATTGAAATTTTTCTTATTCAAATATTTTTTACTTTGTAAATTCGAATTGCTGACACTCGTAACCACTGGCAAGATTGCTGATGATGTTGGAAATATCAAAGGACTCATGGTCTTCAATGAAGGTTCTTTAACGAGAATTCTCGGATGATTTTGCTTTATCTGATATTGACCATTGTTGTTGCTTATAATGCAACTGTTAATGGAACTTTGTTGACCTTTTGAGATGATCGTTGGTTGTTGATCTAAGTGACTAAAATCTTCATGTTTTATCACGGAAGTTGAAGGAATCGCTGACTTATGAATGTCTTTGACAATCGTTGTTTGCTGTTGAATTGAAGCGAGAAAATGTTGTTGCTGTTGTTGTTGAGTTTTAACATCAGGTACGTGATGTCTCATCTAAAAATCAAAAAATTGATAACTTTAAACATAAAGCAGACAAACTTCTTTTCTCACCTTTTTATGTCCGTCAACATAATGTGGATTCCGACACCCTTTACATTTACAATCAATACAAGCCTTTGAATCTACGTAGCAAGGACATCGCTGGCCACAGCAAGTCAATTTTCCTGGTGCCGCTGTTGCATTTCCACATCTGCATCCTCTTCGCTTCGTGGGATCATTATTGAGGTTTGAATTAGATGATGTTGTTGATGGAATTGTTGTGATCACATTTGCTGATGTTATTGGTGCTGTATTTGATTGAGTTTGAAGCGTTTGTTGTGATGATATTTGAACCGGAGGCCGCTTAAAATTCGAGCTCAAAGTGTTATTTTCAGTCTTGAGAATGGTCAACTAAAATTCATTTTTAAGATCAATTATATGAAATTAAATAGCTAAAGAATATTATCACTTACATTATTTGTGTTTACAGGTGTCACGACGTCTTCTGGTGGCTTGCGTTTCAAGGTAATTTTGTTGCCACTTCCCGTATACATCACAGAATAAATTGTTGGCGATGATGAGGCAAACGTCGATTGCATTTTCATCGTTGACATGATTGGCTTTCCCGTCGTTGACCCTAGAGGAATTGCTGGGGCAATTGGATTTATGCGCATTGGTGACGGTGGTGGATATTTAACAAAACTTGGAGATATCTGTTGGTGATTTGGTGGAAATTTCGATGTGCTTGGAACTTGTGGTTGTACAATCTGTGGATGGAACTGAACTATTTGAGGAAGAGGCGGTGAGGATGCTGGTATGACAGTGAGAGGTGCTGGCATTGGTATCACTGGTTCTGAGATAATTGTGAATGGTTCGGGTGATTGCACGATCCCTGGTTTTACTGGTGAAAGCGGAGAAATGTTAGGGAAGATTTGAGATGCGTATGGAGTTGATCGAAGTGTTGTCGTGGGGTCTTTGTTGGAATCGGAACTGTTTGAATTTTCATCACTGGATGTGTCATCCAAAACAATCGAAACTCGACCATAGTTCATTCCCGCATCAATAATTTCAATTAAACTTGTTTTATCACTTTGACCCGTGTCATGATGCGCTTGTTTCTTTACATATTCATAGATCCAACTTCCCTGCACAATCTCACAGAGTTCCTGGAAGCACTTTAGCAGTAGGTTGGTCGAATTACTTTTCTCGAAGAGAGTATAGTCAGAGCACATCTTACAATTGATTTGTGACGCTCTTTTTTTACCTATACAATCTAAACAAACACGATGCTGGCATGAGAAGTGGTGTTTCTTCGGTATCACTGGATTTTTTAGAATCTCACGGCAAGCGTTGCACAAAATCGAAGAATATAATTCACGCAAAGAATCTTCAAATTCATTGTAATTAATCCAAACTTCCGATGGTTGTACATTAAATACAATTCGCGAACATTTGATGTATGAAGTCAGCGGTGAATTTGTCATTTTGCTGACTTTTTATGCAAAATGTTTTGTTTACTTTTTAAAGTTGCGCTTTCTGAGTTTCTACGAATGATAGGTTGTGTCAATGTATTGGAAATTGGACTACCGAGTAAATTTTTTTAAAAAGGTTGTTGCGTGAGTTAACGCTGTGACATAAAAACGCTGTGACACAGCCGTTGCCAATCCCTGATTTATCCGTTGAAACTAAAAAATAAAATCGCTCAATTCAATAATTTTCTTTTTTAAAAATAAATTAAAATGAGTGAACAAAATGAATCAATATTGTTGGAAATAGACGACTTACATCGAGACGATCTAGTGGAGCAGTATAAAAACTTATCCAAAGCCTATTTAAGAGTAAAAAATGAAAATGATGATTATAAACAACAAATTCACAATAATCTGTTGCAAACAAAAATTCTCATTTCGACACAAACTGATTTACAAAGTGAGCTCGATAGTATCAATGAATCACATAATCGTGAAATTCAAGAACACAATAAGAAAAGCTCTAATTGTATTGACTTGTTAAAACAAAAAATTTCTGAATTGGACGAAGAAAAATCGCAGTTGGAACAAAATCTAAACGATGTGAAACAAAGATTAAAGTCTTTTGTGCAAGAATGCGCCGACATGAAAACAATTCTTCTTAATAAAACTGTATCCCGAAAATCAGACAGTTTTTCTGATAATCTTCTTATAGAAAATGAAAATCTTCAACAAATGTTAAATGAAACAAAAAATTGTTTAGAGCAGAAAATTGCAGAATGTCATAAGAATACTTCAACAATTGAGGAGCTAAATGAAAGGATTCTATGTTTAGAAGATAATCTTGAGTCGAAAAAGAATGAAATTGAAGAGAAAAGTTTGACTTTCGAGAATCTTCAAGAAACTTGTAATGAGATGTCAATTGAACTTGCAATGCTTAAAACTGTGCCAGAAAATTCTGGTAAGTTCCTTAATTCGTTGCTTAAAGCTTTATTTAATCTTTTTATCTGTAGATCGCAAGGGAAATTCACTGTTTGCTGAAGTCGATGACCAAAGACAAAAGATGAAATCAATTCTTCAAGGCGAACGTTCACATTATTTAGAAATGAAAAAGTTATTTAACGCAAAAGAAATTGAGATTCGAAGATTGAAGCGAGAAAATATGAACATAAAGTTAGAAATACAATCATGTTCAAATATTTTCAAACGTGGTGAAAAAATTGCTAATGAATCTCTAACCGCACAAATAGCAAGTCTGAAAAATGAAAAAATGATTCTTGAACGACGATTAGCGACTACAGAAACTCGCCTCATTGATCTCGCTAAAAAACAAAATCTTGGATGGATAGAAACTCTCATAATTACAGCAAACGACGAACAACGTGAGCTTAAAGATAATCAATCTAAAGCAATGTATGAGAACTCGTCACTTGCTAATTGTCTGACACAGAATCACAAAGACCTTGCAAAGGCACGTCTCGAATGTGTTCAATTTAAAATGATGATCAATCGAATTATCGATTGCAACAATATTAAGATTAATGAAAACGACTTTCTTGATATTGGAATAAGCAGTGAATTGTTTGAGAATCTCGCAGAGTCAAAAACTTTTGACACTTCAACACATGAAACGTCATCAATGTTTGATAGTGGAGCACTCAACGAAAGCACAATTCAGTTGATCGGTGGACATGAACTTCTAGGACATGTCATCACAAAAGCAAATTCAAACATTATAGAAAGTCTGAAAGTTGAAGAAAATAAGGAAAATAAAGAAAACGTCGAAAATTTAAAGCCAGAAAAGAAAATCGTTTCGGAACATGTCAACGTCATCCAAGAAAAGGAAGAAGCAAAACCTGCAAAGGATTCAGAAAATGTTGATAAGAAATTTATTAACAAAACTCTTGATGAATTTAAGGAATCAAAACTTCCACGAAAACGAAATGGTGTCACCATCAAGCGAATTGTCATTCCATCAAAAAATTCACAAAAATCATGAAGAAGTTCACTGTTGAATGTTAAACAAATAAATTTTATATCAAAGTAAAAATTATAAGAGGTTTTAAAATAAAAATTTGTCTTTCAAAAAAGTTATTTTTTATTTCATTTATTTCATCTAATTCCCTACATTTGTGTTTTTTTTATCATCTTTTTCTTTCATTCTTTAATTAAATAATTTATAGATTTATTTATCATCTCTTTTAACCTTAACTGCTTATAGTTAAGGTGAAGGTTGTTTCATTTTTCTTTCTTTTATTTTCACATTTCACTTATAATCTTAGGTTTCTTATGAGCCCCAGTCAAAGAATAATTAAATATTTTCTAACAATGTTAATATGTTTGTTTTTTCCTTTCATTTGAAAGATCAAGAAAGAAATACGTAACATAAGTTCTACAATCTTATCGTCCTTAAAAAAGTTTTCCAATGAATCTTTAAATTATAATAACTTTTGATTCACCAGTTGAAAATTTCATTCTTTTAATTATAAGTTTAACTAAATCTTCATTTTTCACCTAATTGCTTGGTTTTCATCTTTGCAAGGTTTGATTTAAATTTTATGTACAACAATTACTTATGATTTCATCAATAAAATTACATACAAATTGTAAAAACTTGTCACGTAAGTATCTAATGATGCTCGATAGTTTTTTACTTACCTACACCGACTTGAAAAGTTCTTTCGCTTTCAAATTTCCTGATGTAAGTTTTACTTTATTAGTTTCTTTTTGTGGTCCTAAGATAAGTTACGGTTCATTTGATTTATCATAATTTCATCTCACTTGCCACTGGCCATCAATCGTTTTTTTCTTTATTTGAGTTGTATAAAATATATTTTAACTCGATTGATGATGAGTAGCAGCTATGAGTGTGCTTATTTTCAACATTTTAGAATAAAGAAAGATGAATCATATCGACTTCGACATACGAATTGTAGAATTCATAAATTTGAAATGAAATTTGAATATCTAAGAAAAACAAACATTTACGAGCTTCTTTCGTTCTTTACTTTTTTTATCAGAAAATTAAAGAAGTCAAGTTCACAATCTTACAACTGTTGTGAAACGTAAAAAAAAAACAATTAAAAATTTTTAAAAAATTATCCTTTTTCTTCCATGCTTATTGTCATTTATCGAAGTGATTTCATTTCTTGTTTAATGTTGTGCTCATTATGGTTCTATGGATTTATCTGCACATAATCTGACTATTTTCATTTTCATTAAAATTCTCCTTCTTCGTTTTATACTAATAGTTCCATTGTTGAAAAAATATTTTTATTTGTTTAGTATTTTTAGAGGTTCTCACAGTCTTGTTTCGCGGTGAAGAGAATTTCACTTTAAGTTTTTTCCACTGATAAGTTTTCAAGCATTACATGAAATTCCATTAAATTGTTTCGTAGAAAAATTACTTAAAATTCATCGTGAGGTTCGTTGAAAACCACCGAAATGTAGCAATCAATTTTTGTTTTTATCTCATCAGTTTTATGAGTTTTTCAAAATTCATTTATTAATAAAAAGGAAAGTTTCGCCAATTTCATCTACATACGTTTAAAATGAAGCAGTCAGTGGATGAAAAAGAAATTAATTTTAAATCATAACGCAAATAAGTTTGTGTTTGACACAAATTGACATTTTCTACTTTTCCAATTTGAATCTATTTGAAGTAAAAAAAGCCAAATGCAAGAAAATTTGCGCGTGTTAAAGAAGAAACAACACAAAAAATAATAAACAAATAAATAATCCTGAATAACATAAAAAAATCTTTCTTGCTTTCAACTTCAGACCTCATGGGCTTCAAAAAGATATTCGAAAACAAAATAAAAGCTCAACAAATAGAGATAAAAAAAAACATTTTTTAGGCAGTTTTAAGTTTAAAAACAAGAAAAACATTTCGAAAATAATAATTAAAAAAAATTGAAATTAAATCACGCTACTAACAATCAATGCAATAAGAGCAATAAATTTAATTTAATTATTTAAAGAAAGCAAAGGAGGATTTTCTTATCTAATTTCTTTCCATCCAGAAATTAATCGACGACATGAGCTGTTGATGTTTCAGTTGAGTTTGGTGCATCCGATTGTTTCTCTCACCTGGATGAGGTGTGATGTTTTTTTGAAAACATTTCTTAATTAAGGAACTTCGAACACATTGACAAATGGCAAGAAATTGTCTCTACATATTGACATTACGACGAAGCTTTTGGATTCCAGCCTGCACGTATTTTACAACATTATTGAGACTACTATGAAGAGTTATTGGTCCGTTCTCGTGATCGAGCTCGATAAAAAAATCTAAGAAAAGAGGAAAATCGTGAGTGAGCCTTCTTTACAATTTTTTAATTATTTATTTTTACCGGTATGATTGCCTTTAGCAACTAGAATATCTGCTTGCTCCCATAAATCATGACAGCTTATTAAGTAAGTGAAGAACACTCCTTGACGTTGGTAAGCTTGATGAACCTGAATGAATAGATGAAGAAAGAAATTTTATTATTCACGATCACTTCCAAGTTCATATCAACAAAGCATACCTGAATCGGTGTCATATAACAAGGCGGATTAATTGTATTTTGTTGTCCAGAACTGTAACCAGAGCTCTGTTCAAAGAAAATTAAATTTTATTAAACGAAAATTGCATTAAAATGAACAATTCTTACCTGTGATCCCACAGATGTGGGTGATAAAGGCGACGGCGTGTTTCCATTTGTCATTTCCGTCATATTTGGCTTGTAGTCAGATATGATTCGTTGTAAATCTTTGATCTCATGACGACAGATTTTGTATAACTTCAAGTAAATGTGCGATTGACATCGAAGGCTAAAGAAGAATAAATTCATTAAATAAATATTTATTATTATTATTATTACAATTATTACCTTAGAATTGCGAGTTTACTATGAATGTTTCCTTGCACAGTTGCATGTTGTTGTTGACTTCGAAACTTTGAAGAAATGTATCTAAAAAAAGACACGAATACATTTCAAGATTTTTCTTTTATAAACAAATGTCTAAAATTACTCACTTGATTAACTCTAACGTATCTTTGTACATTGTGAAAGCGACTTTATCCTTTCCAGGTTCAGCGAGTATTGCGGCACCAGTAAGCAGGAAATAAAGCACAGCCTCGAGGTAGAGCATGGCTTGAGCGAGATCATCTTTCTCTTTATCTGCTGCATGTTTCAGTCGTTTTGCTTCACAAAGAAAATCATTTTGTCCTCTGAGAAGTTTACAAGAAATAAAATAAAAATAATTTCATAAAATAAGAAGATTTCAATTAAATTTTATTACCTTGCTTTCGCCTGTTCAATCTCATCATTTGTACGCTCAAAGTACGACACATAAACTCTCTTTATCACTTCTGGTTTCGTTTGTAACATCATATCACAACCATTTGCAAGTGACGTCATCGACATTCTCTCATAATTATTTGTTGTCAGTGGCAACGGAAGGCTATTATCATTTGTGACATCGAGACGTTTTCTTTTCTTATCCTTGTAAGATTGTGTATTGTTTGTCATACTCGATGCTCGCTTTCTCATCTCTTGTTGAACTTCATTATCATATTCATCTTTTATCTCTTGTTTTATTTTATTCTTAAAGTCATTTGTTGACTTTCCATCTTTAACTTGATTCGGAGAAAAGCTCGTCAAATCTTTCATATATGACGACGATGATGACGAATTTGGTTCACGTTTGATTTTTGGCAGTCGCGTGTCGACACTGCTTGGCGAATGATAAAAGTTGTTCATGTCTTTTGTTTTGTGATCGACATTATTGTTAATGCGATCATTGGTATAGTTTGTGGTGTAAGATGAGACGCGTGTTGCTGGATTCTCGATATGGTGATTATGATGATGAGGTTCCGATGATGTTGTTGATGATGAAGACGATGATGTAGCTGATGATGTTGAAGACACTGACAATTGATCAAAATTTTCAGTATTACTCGGATGACGTCGTCGTCGATCTTGCTCATCGTAATTTGAAATATTTCGACGTTTCTTCGATAACTTTCCTTGTTGCTGTGCTTGTTGTTGATGTTGGTCATCTTTATTATTGATATGCACTGCCGGACTTTTCGTTCTAATGACAGTATTGTTGAGTTTCTCGGCAGGTATCTGAAGTCTTGACAAGTCAATACATGCGAGATCAATTCGCACGACAACTGAAGGCGTAACAGTATTGAATGCACTTGATGGTGAAAGATATTTTGAAGCTTGTATGTTGTTTGTTGATGCAGTTGAGTCGTTTGATTTCGATTGATTTTGAGCTTCATCAGGTGTAATCACAACCACTTGACCTTTTCCTTTCGTAACCCCTTTTCCACCTTTACTAACTTCGCTCATCTTCTTTACATTAAAGAAAACATTGCGCAATGAATCTTTCTTGTTCTTGTCACTGACAATTTTAATTTTCTTGTTTTTCCTATCGGGGTCGGAACGACTCGAATCATCAGAATCAGAATTATCTGATGATGAACTACTGATCGGTACCATAGGTGACTGAAATGGTGAGGAATGCTTTGGACGTTGCTGCTGTTGCTGTGGTTGTTGCTGCTGAGTTTCATTTTCACTTGACGATGCCATTATTGGACTAACAATTTTTTCAGGAACTTTTTGTCGTTTTTTCGATGGGCGTTTTGTCGTTTGATGATTTGACGTCTCTTTGACTTTCACAGCGGACGATGTCGATATTTTCTTTTGTTTCCTCGCTTCATTCTCATCACTTGACCCATCTGATGATGGAATCATTTCTCGACTTTTCTTTTGTGAAACACTTTGACGTCTTCGATTTGCTGTTGTTGGTTTACGTGATTGTGGCTCTTTACGTGGTGATTTGTGAGCCTTCTTAGTCTTTCCACTTATACTATTATTGTCGCTACTGTTCGTTGCTTCATGCGACACTCTCCCAATTTTCGGTGTTAAGCTGTTGGTGTTGTTACTATTGCTGTTGTTATTTGAACGTCCACGTGATGGTTTCTTTTCATCCAACGATGACCGCCTGCGGCTCTCGGAGAATCGTGAACTTTCATCGGAACTTGAATTGCCGCCATCAATTTCCGGCCTTAAACGTTTCTTTGGACGTTTTTTCTTTGGTCGTTCAGCACCGTAAGTCGTTAAACTATCAACATTGTCATCGCTATCTGATATGCTCGAGATTGGCTGAATTGTGTGAAGACTTTTAATGAAACTTAATGCTGAATTAAGATCAGCATCGGGAGCTTTGTCAGGTGTATTCGATAGATTTTTAACTTTGGCTGGTGGTGGCATTGATTGATGTTCATCATGGTCATGACTAACATCGGATTTGTTATCAAGAACCGATGAATTACTGTTTTCATTTGGATATCGTTCTGAATGTGGCGTTCTTTGTATAATTTCACCATCTTCTTCTTCATCATCATCTTGATCATCATTTTTAGTATTCTCAGCTGGTTCATGCGATGAAGGCGCTTCATTTGGTGACTTTTGTATTCCACCGGGAAGAAATTCAGATAAATTCCATTTGACATTATTTTCAGGTTCAACTTTGACTTCAACGTCTGCTGGCGGATCATGATGTTCATCCTCGCCTTCGGAAGATGATTCACTTGAAGCGGATCCGTCTGATGATTCACTTGAAACATCATTCACAGGAGAAGTCCTAAAAATTAACAACAAGTGATTACTTTTTATATTCATCTTTGTTTTATTCAAAACAATGTTTAGATATGTATTAAAAAAGGTTTAGAACTGAAAACAAAATAACCATTTGACTCATTTCTGTCATATTTTTATGGTTGATAACATTACACTTCGAAACAAATGAACATGAATCACGAAAAGTAAATTCCAAACATGCTTTAAAGATTATTTTGTAAAATGAAACTTACGCTTCAGGCACAATTGGCTTGGATTTCTCGGAAGCATCATTATCACTATCCTCCGATACATCAAGGTCAGTTACACTTCTAGAATAATAAAATTTCCTGGTAAATCAATAACATCTAACATGATTCGAGAAATTAGGCTTACGGTTGTGGTTCAACAGTCGATGGAATTTGTAATTGTTGTACAATTGAAGGTGGCGGTTGTTGTGGTTGCTGTTGTGGTGGTGGCTGTGGCTGCACTTGAGATGACGGTTCAGCTTTTGATGGTTTTGCATTGTTGTTACTCGAAGTCAACATTTTTGGTGGCGATAACGGCCCTGGTAGACTCAGTGGATGATACTACAAAGAAGAAAAAGAAAATAAAATAATTTTAAATTTTACATACGAAGAGTTCAATGTCTTCCTACTTTATATTTGGATGGCAAGTGCATGTCAGACATATTAAACTTCTTTCCCATTTCATTATTTCTTGGCGTCGCACCAATGCCGTCTAGTGGAGATTCTGGGATGAGACCGCCGAGTACTTCTTTAAATATCTCATCAACTGATTTCTTATCCGTTGGCTTTCTCGAAGGTTCACGGCCATTCTGTGTTATTTTTGCAAAATATTAAGCAAATAAGTATCAGAAAAAAAGAAAAAAAGAGAGGGAAAATGCGATTAGTAAACTGTGAGTTATGTTCGATGATCCTTCAATAATATTGAATAAACAATTTTTTTAACCACAACCAAAAAAAGAGAAAAGTCGCCTTTGTTATGATTATATTAATTAGTCATTGACTTTTCAAAATTTCCACCAGATTCCTTTTTTTTCTCATTCTTTTGTTTCTATTGAGGGAAACCCCGCCAAACCAATGCCATGTATTCATGTTTGTGTTTAAGTTTTTGTAAATGTATTAAGTAAAAGATTTCTTGGTAGTTTGTGTGAAGGGAAGTATCGAAAATTTATTTTGTTAATTGTTTTTTATTTTCTTTTCCATTCACAACACAATGAAAAGGAAGAAAAAAGTTTAATTTCAATTATATTTCATTAATTAAGCGATCTTATGTCTTATAAAGGTGGATAACCGACCATCAACTATGAGTATAAATAAATTACAATGAAATTGACTTGAATGAGTTAAATTGAAACAGCGATTATTGTTTGGAGAAATTAACTGACTAATTTACTTCACCCTCACACACTACTGAGATTATCGGATAATCTTTAATTTAATTTTTTGCATCGTTATGATTCAATGTTATTTCATTCATTTATTTATTTGTCAACAACCCAATGACGTGATTTTTTTTGTTACACCAAAGAGATTAAAAAATTCCAGCTATTAATTTAACAGCTGAAACATCAAGCTTAAAATCGTTGATTTAATTGTTTGATAATGTTGAAAATAAAATAAAAATGTTAATTTTTCACCTATCCACTTTTAAATAATTACATGATAATATCAAGCAACAAAGCGTTTTTTTATTTAATTAGCGAGCAAGTTGTTAAATGTACCCAAAGTGAAGCAAAGCATTTAAAATGAAACCAGAATGTTTGTTTCATGGAAAATGGAAAATTGTTTGAATTGTAACAGCCTTAAACACTTACATCTGTTGCTAATCGAGGAATGTTATTTTTTGAATGTGACGAATTAGATGAAAAGTAACCACGTCCATTTGGTGGCATTAATTTTTGTGAGAGATATTTTGATTGTGATAATCCAGGAGTCTTCAAAGAGATGATAAATGTTTTTATTTATATTTTCCTAATTTTTTATGTTTTGTTTATGAGATTTTTTGGTTTTTATTTTATTCAAGAATTTAGAAGTAAAATAAAACAAAAATTATAAAATCAATTAAGCCTTAGATAATAAATACCTAAGCAAATACGTAAATTGAATAAGAAAGCAAACGATACATAAAAAATGCGTTGTGAGAAGGTCGACAGATATTTATAAAAAATATGATGCAGTTTCGTTTACTCTGTTATGAGTGTGACTATTGTTTGGTAGACTTCATAAGATTGTAAATGTGTCATGTTACATGACGGAGTTTGGCTTGATGTTGTTACTTAAGCGTAAGTGGAGATAACTCAACAAATTATTTATTGTTATCGTTACTTTTACGTGTATATGTATATAGGTATATGTGTGTTTGTATATACGTAAATGTTTATACTCAATCCCTATTTAATTTTTAGAGTAAACACTGACCGCAACATCAAATACCTACATCGTAAGTTTTGGGTTTCATAATAAATATGGAAACATAAATGAAGAACTTGAATTGCATCGAATAAAACAGAACAAAGAATATTACACTCGTTGCCTTTTAATAGTACTTTTGTATCTACTAAAATACTAAATCAAATAGTCAGAAGAGGTAACGAAAGAGACGAAAGCCAAATACATTAAATTCAAAATAATAATTTCATTTCTAAAATCAAAAAATACGGAAGGATATAAAAATTCACGTGAGGTTTTAATCACACGATTTTACGATTAAAGAATTTGTTCACTCGTTTGACAATCGACATTTCATTGAGCGGAATAAATGAATTAGGTCAGAGATAACCGGAAGCGACGCTTTTCTCTGCTTCTCTCTCATATTTCACTGAACTTCATTTTAATGTAATTAAAACATTAATCACGTTAAACACAATAATTTAACTTCATTGAGAGGAAAATAAATGCATTAATAAAGACAATCAATTAGAATTTCCCATCACTTAATTAACTATTCTTTGATCAATAAACAACACACGACAAAAGAGAAAATAAAGTAAAAATATAAAAGGGAAATTAAGAAAACAGTCAAATATCTCACCTCGTGTTTATTATTTGATTGCTGACCACTTGCGTAATTCGAACGTCCATTAATGAATGGCTTGTTATCAGACGGCCGCACGAACGTATTGTTGTTATTGTTGATGTTGTTATTCATTGATGTGATGCTACTGTTACTGCTACTGCTGTTTGTTACACGTGATTGCGGCGGTGGCGCCAAAATAAGAGACCTACTACTACTACTACTACTTGACGATGATAATGATAGCGGTTTTTGTTGATAACTATTTACATTGTTAATTGCTGTATTGCTATTGTTATTGTTATTTATCGTATTAATGTTATTATTAATATTAATATTATTGTTGTTGTTGTTGATGTTGTTATATGTCCGACTGCTACAGTTGATGGCTGATGATTGCGAGGATGTTAATCCGTTGTTGTTGAAAGCCATTGACGATTGTTGTTTGTTCGGCTGTGGATAGGCTAATGGAGGCATCTGTCGGTTGGCGATAGGCGTTGTTGGAAATGTTGTGATACCAATAAACTGTTTGGTGTCAGTTCCAAAAAGTGGTGCTGCATCGTTGAAGTTTCCCAAAGTGAGATCTATCGAATGATCAACTTCTGCTGAACTCAACTGAAATTAATACGAAAAAGAAAGATGAAAAATTTGTTTCCTTTTTGCGGTTTATAATCAATTTATGCTCGTCAATGATCTCAACACAGCATAACAGAAACGGTAATTGAGATCAAATATAGGAAATTTATTTACGAGACACGAATGTCTTGAGCGAGCTGACAGATAGCACGAGAGACATCAATAACAACAATATCAACAGCTACCGTCTTTTTATATTTTATTATTTAAGTTTATGCTTCTTCGCCATTCTTTTTACTCTTCACTTCACATGTGTCATCATATGAGCGACTAAAAGAATTTCAACAATAAAATTTTAGTTTCTTCTAGTTTTTATTATTACAGTTGCTTTCTACTATTTCATTTTTCTACCATCGCTTTTTTATTTTCCTTATTCTCTCTTAAAGATGACATGAACACTTAAATAACATTCCGACATCGCAATGAGTTGATAAAGAATTATGACGATTATCATTCATTACTCTTTCCATCTCGTTTCTTTTTGATGATTTGTTTAGCTCGCGCGAGCTAATATGTCATCGTAAATCTATTGCTTGGCATCCTTCATCACACCAACATTTAAAATAGTTTTCAATTGAGATTGAATAATTTTACATAACTCAAAGCAAAAAATTTATCATCTTCTCATAACTTTCACTTAAAAAACCACGGAAAGATGGACATAAGTATTTCCATGATTGACTTGTGCAACTTTGCATTTGCTTCAATAATAATTTTCTATCATTTTTGTACGAGTTTTGTTGTTAACAAGTATAGAATCACAAAACTCATTAATGTTATTTTATTTGGAAGATTAAAATTGGAAGAAAAAAATCAAAATCTAATAAATTGCATCAATTTACTTAAGAATTTTAGGAATTTGCGACATCAGATTGCATCGAAATTCCCGGAAAGACTTTAACAGTCTGGTAACTTGTTACTTCCCATAAACTAAGCACATTCATTTATTTTTGTTTGTTTCGTGACTTATGTGCATAAACTTTGCATAAAGTTTATCACGCTCCGACATTGCATATAACAATATCGAAAACAATGATGGTGGTTACTTTATTCAGTAGGATTCTTATCGCGACGTCAAACCTGTCGTCACACTTGTCACAAAAAGTAATGTTGAACAAAAACTTCATGTCATTTTTTTGTATGGAGAAAATTTAAAATAACTTTTAAAACATTTCATTGTTTTACTTCATTTCTTTGGTTTTTTCAAATCATTTCACTTCTTTAACGCGGAAAATTAAGAAAACTAAAGCCGCCATGGAAACATGTCTGATTTGCTTACCCTAACTTGTTATATTTTGTGTTTTGTTCACTCAGATGTTGCGTAGATGCAAATTAGTTCTATAAATAATGTTTTGTCGACAAAAAATCAACAAAAAAAGTCACCGAGAAGGCAATTTAGTCTATCAAAGCAATTTCAAAAATTTTAATGTCGATCTATTTTAGTTTTTCTTACGAGAATCGTGAGCGATAAGCAACTTTTAATGAATAATTTGAACGATCATGTTGATGGTTATGTCGCCAAAATCAATTAAGCGCTTCTCAAATTTACTCTTTCACAATATTGCGTTGAATTAAACTAAGTTTTATTTAATGAAAGTCTTTGCTAATCTCAAGTTTCAAGTCACAAGAAACAATTGAAAAAAGTATCAAAGCAACGAATTTCTTTCTGTTATCTTCGTGACACTTCTTAGAATGGAAGAAGGAATAAATATTTTTAACACTTAAAGTAATTCTCATTTTGAACCAATATAATTATATTTTTCATTTTATAAATAGTTTCGTAGATATGTAAAAAAAAGTAAGTTTCAGGTGTGTGCTTATTTGTTGCGTGTTCGTGTAAGTTGATACTTACAATGATATAAGTAAGCAAACGCAATCATTCAAATTTTCTTTCATTTACATATGTATATTAAGATTTTTAAACCCATCACTCAAAAAAAACTTGGTAGGAAGCAACATTTGAAGCATGCTTTTTATTTTCATCTAAATAGGTAAATAGAATTTCATTCTCTTCCTAAATATATTTTTGTGTCTTCACATTGAGTAAACTTTTTCTTTCTTTTTTGCTTTCATTCATTCACCAACAGGTTGCCTATTGAAACGCACTTACACATGCCAGATTGCTTGCTTTTCTGCCTTCATGCACGAAGAAAAGAATTCCGAACAAGATAGAAAAAGAAAAATATGAAATAAAATTGAAACATTTCGTACGATTGGTGAGATACTCATCGAAGTGGAATGTGAGTTCTGTCTTTAGCATTGATCGTAACAATTGATAAGTAAACACGACCAACAATTGGTTTTCAATCCCGTGACTTCAACTCATGAACTTCCTGATAATAAGCTTTCGTATTAAAGTTTACAACTAGTTTGAGATTTTCCACGTTTTACGTGATGCGATAAACTTTTATTCCTTTACTATTTACTGTTTTTTGTTCTTGATATTGAAGTTTTTCTCAATACAACTTCATTAATTAAATTCCTAAAAAAAATCTACAACATTTAAGCATTTATTCTAAAATAACGATGTGTAAATATGAATTCTTTCATTTTGAACCGCGCGAAGATGTAAATAAATATGCTAGCAATGAGATCAACAGTAACCATGACCTGCTTTCTACTGTTGTTCAGTGAGGTTTTTTGTATTTTTGTTTCAGAACTGTTATTTCATCGGTCGTTTTATCCTGATGACAATCACACAAGAGAGTTGAAACAAATCTTTTAATTAAGTATTTTCACTTCTTCAATTTATTTACAGAATACAACTGCTAAGTATGTGAGTATGAAGAGCGTAAGTGTAAATAGCGGATAAAGTCAATTAGACAAACGTGAGGATTAAAAATGTTTAAGTGGCTAATCCACAATTAAATTTACATGTTTTTGAAGTAATTTTAGAAACAATTGTCGCGTTGAGTTGATGTTATTGATGTCTAACATTTCCGCGTTTAGTATCAACTCACCTTTTTAGGGACACCAAACAATGGCATTTGTGGTGCGTCGTTATCATTTTGCTGTGATAACCTTTGCATCTGCTGCATTTGTTGCTTCTGCTGCTGTTTTGCCTGCTCACGTCGATCTCGATCCATTCGTTCATTTTCTTCTAACCTGGAAATTAAAATAAAAATCTTATTAAGTTATGTGTAGATATTAAAGTTATTTGTCTAACAATTTAAATTTTAAACACATCGGTAAGTTCATGTTTGCATACAAGATTCTTATGCATAATTTTCTACGACAATGTCATTCAAGTATTTACGCAATTTTTAATATTAAATTTAAAAAGAAAATTCATCTGAATCATTGTTTTTCTTACAGAAGTATCTCGAATTGCGTCATAAGCAATTTAAATTGATCTTCAAGAACAATCATCGCTCTAGTTTGATGTTAAAAGCTTTCTATAAACTTATTTTCTAAATTAGTTTTTGGAATTTTTTCTGTTTTAACAAGTCAAATGGAAATCAAATAAAAGAATTTCAAAATTAAACTTTTACAGAAAGAAAAAATTATTAAGATAAAATGTAATTGTGACGATGAACATGATGACATAATCGGAATCAAAACAATAATGGACGATCAAGAGTATTCACATCAACAATGAATCATAAACGGGAACAACGACGGCAGTGAATAGGGAGGAATGAATCTCAATTTATCATCCATTGATTAACGACTCAATGAAGTATCGATCAGCTTACGTAACGCTTAAATGCCGTCAAATCCATACAACTCATTGACATTTAGTCGAGAACAAATCTCTTGAGATGCAATAAGTCTCCAGATTGCTATGAGAAAAAACACATAAAGACGTTTTTCAATCGTTGTTTGCTGGTAAACAGACAAGCTCACATCTGCATCTGTAAATGTTTTATTTGTATAGACTTCCACCGACGTCGCTCTCCTTTAAAGAAACTATTAAGGAGCAACAAACGAAGCACGACATTTTAATCCAAATATAAGATATACATGTAAAGATACATTTCTCACACACTCTCCTTTCTCTCATTCATACAGATTTTGTTTTTTGTTTATTCTCATCTTACAATAGAATATTTCCAACAAACAAACAAACGACTACGATGAGAGTTAAACAAGAAGAAGTGAACTGAAAAAATGAAGCTGCTATAGATAATTATAAGACTTATGAGTCGAGTTATGGGCACCTATAATATCATAATAACATTCACTGTATTGTGTAAAGAATCAACAAACACACTCACAACTGAAAAATGGTTTTTTTTCGCTTTCGTCGTCGTCTTTTCTGCTGTACGTTCAATGACGTGCGCATTGAGCGTTTTTCGAAAAAAAAAAGTTTTATAAATGAAACACCAGCATGAAGATGATGAGAACATGAGCAACAACAAAATTGAGACGGGAAAAACAAAACACGATATTTAGAGGTTTATGAACAACGAATATTTCCTCCCAGCCAATTGTTTCGTTCATGGATTCGCGCGCTTAACTATTCATTGAGTTTTTTATTTTGATTATCCGAAAATTTGAAAACGAGTTTCAAATGTGTGAAACTAAACAGACAGAATTTTATATAATTCTTTATAAATCTCGCTACAATCGAAAAAATTATCGTCTATTAGAGCGGAACAAAAAAAAACTTTAAATGACAACTATTGCGGCACTCGCCGATATCAAATTGTTGAAAGTTTTCCTTGTCGTTTATTCATTACTTTTGAGTTCAATTGATCCAAAGACCGGAAAGACACGAATTGACGTTTACTGACGAGTCTAAATAGTTTAAAAGTAGTGATCCGTCGATTTAATCTACGTAGACTAACAGAATATAAGCTGAGTAAATGCTGCGTTTACATAGAGTCGATCTACCTAGAACACATATAAATTATTTGGCTTTTTAAGATAAAATATAATTAAGCAAATTTATATTTTTAATGTAATTATTTTACAAATTTTTAATTTTGTTTTCAAGATTATACGAAACTTTAACCGGTATTCGTAGAATGTACATTTAGTCTACATAGACCAATTCCATAGTTTATATACACTCTACGTATACCGCCGAGCCCTATTTAGAAGTGTGAAGTGTGGGTGTATGCGAGGATAAAACAGATGGGAAACAAGAAAGTCTGAAGTATGTTAAATAAAACTGTGGCAACATCCTTAAGATGATCGAACTCTGCATTATTTTAGAGCGACATATTCCAAGAGACTATTTACAAAAACTTGTGTATTTATAATGAAGCGAGATTTATTTTGTGAAAAAAAAATACACAGAAAAAAAATGAAGTTACACATTCACCTCGAGAACTCACTCAAAAGGATTCGTAAAAAGAAAAAGCAGAAGGAATGAAAAAAAGAAAACAATGTTGCTAGAGGTACTTGAACTTGAGAATGAATCTTCAACTGTTTAGTATCTGTCTGCACCAACGAACCAATTCAAGCGAGAATTGTAATGAAAAGACGTGTCATAGATAAATGGGAAGATTGCTATTCGTTTGCTTGCTTACTTTCTTCTTCATCGACGTCTTCTTTTTTGTCGTCGACGTTTTTCTTTCTGCCCCAAAAACAGTTCTTTCGCATCGCACCGCATACGTTCCGCTTCCTTCCACTTCTTCTTTCTTTTGTTCTAATACAAAAGCTATGTGTTGGTTAATTTTCAACTTATATTTACAGCTATATTTAGCGCCCTGTCAGTATAAATATTGAGAACTTCTTTTCTTCTTTTCCTTCCACTTTTGGCCATACGCTGTTCGAATAACTTTTTACTTCTCTTTCTGTATTTTGAGGTTTGCACGATAGAAGCTTCGCTCGATTCAAAATGAAATTAATTTAATGACAAAAATGTTTTCGAGCATAAAATCTCTCGTATGTCCTTGTAAGCTTCGCCTAAAAATGCGTTTGGAAACTAGGACGATATCCAAATATTAATTTGTCTCAAAACACACACAAACATAAAATAAAAATGTTAGTGGCAATTAATCGATGATCACGATGTGAATAAACGATCTGTCATGTTTATTTTTCTATCTACTTTTCATTTTAATCGACGAGAAGACTTAAAATTTTGACTTACTGGCAATGGATTAAAAAGGATTTCAACAATTTCCTTTATCATGAAAAAAGCCGGAAATCTTTTATAACGAAAACCTAAGAAAGGATTCTTTGATTTATGGAATGAAGTCAGAAATGTTTTGCACAATCATCACCTGCGTACAGTGTCAAAGAAAATTTCGATCCATTTTAGCAGCCCGAAATTATTTTTTCATTTGTAACTTTACGACCCTCTTATCTTTCATGAAAGAAACCATTAAGTGAAAACTTCCATCTATGAAACATGCAAGCACCAGAAGAATCATCACGCAAACCCCAATCAGATTCAGATTAATTTAAATTATTTTTTATTCAAGTCTTTACGATGCTCAATCACACGCAAATTGATAACGAAAAAGTCTCTTTGGTTGAAGCGTGTATTCGTTCAACATTTAAAAACATCATTGCTAATTAGCTTTTGAATGTGTTCGACATTGATCGTCACATTCTTTTTCAAATATGACTTTGTAATGTTATCGCCATTTAAGCTTTTTTTTTGCTGCTCAAAGAGTGAGATTATGAAACTTTTTGATTGTGTCGCTATTTTTTTTTATTATTTTCTGCCAACACGAGCAACAGTGGCAGAAATATCAGAGACTCAAGAGAAAATACAAAGTAAATAATTTTAATATTCGTGATAGAAACAACACATTTATAAAAAGAATACAATCAAAATAAAAAAACTAGCAGTTCAAGGCTTACAATTTCTATGCTTTACACGATTTTATGAACTGCAAGTTTTTTAAGTTTTTTGTTTCAAGAAGAATGAATTTGATGAATATTTTTAAATTGAAACTGAAAATCCACCAAATCGTTGTTTACTTTCACTCACTTAATTTTAATCCCAATAACAAAACTGCAACAGAAAAATATTTCGTTGATGTTGATGAAGTTTAAAAATAGAAACATAAGCGCTTAGATAAATATTTCTCGCGATGTTTTCTTTTTCGGATTTAACGCCTTCATCAGAAAGAAGTAGTGAAAGAAATTAAATAGAAAACTCGTTTTCATAGGAAATCGCCTTCTTCAAATAATGTTTTCGATTCACGTCTGCTTCAAATCATTATCATTGCAAAATGTAAGATAAATTAACGATTCGTCATGCAATTGAAACTTGAGGTTTAAAATAACCAAAAATTTATTTAAATTGTGACTCTGCGAAAATTGAAATTTATTTTAATTCAAATATCGAATATCTTAAGAGCTGCAAGACTTCCTATCCTAGCTGTTCATTACTATAGAATATTTAAATAATTAAAAAATCACAAAACATTTGTATTACAATATTTTTTTCTTCCGACTTGTTTACATATTTTGTCATCGAAATGAACAGATTTGTGAATGGTTCTGTTCGTCTACATAAATTTGCAAAACATTCAGAAATCATGATTATGTCGGTGAATCTCTGTTTATGTCGATATTTACTTATATCCGATTCATTAAACACATACACTAGAAATCATTCTTCTTGTTCTGCTTTGCAACGATTTGCTGTTTGTGTGAAGGGAATCAAAAAGAAAAGAAAAAGGGAGCAACAACCCTTTTCCCATTTTTTTTCTTGATTCTATTCAACCCCAATTTTCACCGTCGACAACTCTTCGTATTTGCATGCGTCTGTGTGTGTAGGGGATGAAAGTGAAGCAACAAAGAGAAATTCCATTCATTTACATTATTCACAAACATGCTGCTTATGCTTACTAACTGATGTCATATACAATATTAGAATGTAGTTGGTTTCAATAGAAAGAGAGAATTTAGAACTCGGTTTGAGATGAAAGTAAATTGGGTTATAAAAGGGATGTAGGAAGGAAAAATGGCAAACTGAATCGTAATGATAAAACAAGAAAAGATATAAAAATACTGTCTAATCATACGTTTATGCTTCGGATAGGAAATTCATTCTTATTTTCTCTTTTTGATATCAAAACAACAGTTTTAAGATGGTTTGAACTTAGATATCTGTATGAGTGAATATGGTTAAGGAAGGATATCATTCTATGGACATACATTTATATCATAAAGAGATATCGCTTTACCGCAAACTCAATGATTTCTTCAATGGCTCACATGAGAATCATGAATAAGAGATTACACTGTGACTTTTGCAACATTTTCTGTCTACATATTTTCACAAATCGATTTATTAACGATTATAATAGAAAAATTAAGTAACTGAAGTTTTTCCTGACCCTTCGATATCTTTTATAGTTCATTCACCATTTCTTGATACACAATGAGAACAATAAGGGATGATGGAAGTCGTGTAATTGTATGTTATGATCCATTTATTTGTTAATCTGTTGCTTGTTTTCTTTTTGTATTTTTTCCTTTTCATTTTCATCTCTGAACAGCGACACATGATATGAGAAAACTTATCGATTTTCTTTTAAAATTTGGATTTCCTCTCCGGAATGGCGGTTGGTGAAGGTGTAGCATAAAAAGTAGAAGCATATAGAAACTTTGAAAGAAACCGATACTCAAGTTAATACTGTTCTACCGTTGTTGCCATTTGGAATGAATTTAACTTATTGTAATCCGACAAATAAATATAATTTATCTTTTAATGACACACATGGGCTTGTATGAGTTTGATTGTAAAAGCGAAACCATTCGCGAAAATTTTCTCAAAAGCATGGCAACTTTTCATTTCATTTCATTTGAAACAAAGTAATAAAAAATATTGTAGGGAAATTAATTATCTGAAAGCGCTTATCGCGCAACCAAAAGCAGAAGTTTTATGATTTTATAGGTCACCGCATTACTGTCAACAACGTTGATGTTTTTCATTTCGAACTTCTTTATGTCGACATTTATTGTATTTTGCGACGATGTCAATTACTATGAACGAAATTCGAATATTTAAGTAATGAAATATTCAACTATAAAATCTTTCGACGCATTGATAAATGCAAACGCATTTCTTCTTTGATGTTTTGTACTTTCATCACGATAAAGCAGCGACTTGAACAGCGATGAATTGAAAAAATTATCTGTAGACAATTAAGATCTTTCTCTTTCACGATGAATAGAAACATAGTTTTCTCAAGACTTGTATTTCATTGTCGAACACAATTTAGAAATGCATTTCTTTCTTTTGATAATTAATTAAAAAAAATTTCACTTTATTTCCTCATAGGAAATTTACAATTTTTTCGTTTACAATTCAATGTTTTTTAATTTTTATTGTACAAAGCATCTTCCATAACATTCCAATGCTTGTCACCCACAAGGCAAAATAAAAACGAAAAAAATAAAGAGAAAAGCAAAAAAACAAAAACTTGATTCCATTTTCACAAGAAATTGAGTCATTGAGTGGAATGTGGTTGACAAGTGTGTGTGTGTGTATCGCTGTGTGTGGGTAAGTCTGATCTTGGATCTATGTGTTAGTAAAGGAAAATGTTAAGAGCATTTTGTTACTTATTTTATGGTTCCGCTGCTTGATAGAGTTTGTCAAACTGCACAATTAGTCAACATAAGTGTTGACATTTTTTTCCCTTTTCCATCTTTACGAAATTTCTTTAAATTCATAGCCAATGGTGGTCACTTATCTTATCTAATCTTTATGGATTATTCACTTTTTATTGCAGAACGAAATGAAAATAAAATCATTTACAAATGAGTCAACAATTTTTATCACAATAGATTTTGTCTGAGCAAAGATGCTGAAAATAGATTGAAAAAATGTTTTTCTGTCGAAATACTTTATCGTTTATATTCAATTCTTGATTTCTTTACACATAAAAATCTATTGAAACAATTTGTTTAAAGCGAACAAATAATATTTTAATTTTAATTTCAATATTGCATCAATTTGTTTTGTTGTGAATTTTTAATCTGATTTGTCTTGAACAGTCGCAAATTTTTGATCAGTAAGTATTTTTATTAAAATGAAAATATTTATCTCAATTGCATACTCAATTTGCTTCGTTATGCGTAGGTAAATGACGAACCATCTTAGAAAATATTTTCGTCAATTCATTGAATTTTCTATCCTCGCACGTGTCAGAAACTACGATTCACGTTACAATCTTTACAATTGCATTTCATTTTCCGTCACCTTTCCTGTGCATCCGTTGATCGCACACTTTGTAATAAATAAATGTGTAAGTAAGGTCAATTAGATGTTCAAACACTTTTTTGTCATTAAGGAAATAAAAAATTTAATGGTAGCTCAGTGTTATTAAAAAAATCTAAAAGGGGAGTTGTTGAAATTGTCAAGGACACAACAATGCTTAATCATGAGATCTTGAATGACTTTAACATCGTCAAATGCACTATTTCAACACTGTTTCTGTTTTTTAAGTACAAGTAAACGTTGAGAGTGTTTTTGCCACTGATTTTTTGTTCATGGTGTCGCTACGCTGCATTTGTTCGTTAGCCAACGTCTCTTAATTTTTTTCTTTCTCTTTTTCGCTTCAAAAGACGGAAAAGAAATTTTATAGCACACAAAGTATTGTTAATCAATGAGGAAGAAAACTGATGAGAAACAGGCCTAAGTCAATAAACAATCAATAAATAAAACAATAAAGATAAACGTTGTGCATTTTCCAACATCAAAGTTGAATTTAAAACTGAGACATATACAACCTTGAACTAGTTTATAGACTACTAATGCAGTCAATTTGGAGTTGGGCAAGTGGCCGCGAATCTTTTGCAATAAGAAACCATTTCATAATCATCGTCATATCATAGTTTTTTTTTATTATTTGTAGGTGCTTCTCTTAACAACATAATATCCTCATGATTGCATGAAATTCATTGGTGTAATTGAGCAACAAGAAAAATGTAAAATTTTATAAAAAGTTCCACTTTCGACTTCAAACAGTTTATGAACATAGAAAAAACCGGAAACAAATCAATTTGGCATACGGTGTCGGAACAGAGGCGAACAAAATTTCATTTTAGTTTATAAAAACATGTAAAAGCTTACGATGCAAAAGAGGTTTCTTTACGAACAACAAATTTATTATTATTCAATGCTTTTTTAACTTTTCTTCTATTTTTGAAGTCGCGTTTAGCTCATTTTTGAAATTATTTCTGTTAACTTTTTCTTCTAAGAGTTGATTGTGCTTCACTAACTGTTTTTGTTGAGAAATAAATACTTTTTTACATCCATTTCATTCCATTCTAGGGTTGAAGACCGTCATGGAATGTCTTCATCGTGTCTTCATTCTAGCAGCGACGAGTTGTTCTGCTTTACGTTTATCGCTTTTGGCAAATCAATGTCGGTAATCAGATTTCTAACCCTAAGTAGGCGAGAGTTTAAAGATATCCAATAACCGTTGTTTACTTTTATATGAAGCAAGAAGCACTTTAAGTGTGTGTGTATTTGAGAGTAAAATGCTTTCGCTTTTTAGTTCGTTTGAACACTTTGTTTCTTTTTTTTTCGAATGCAAAATGTGTTTAAATTAAATTTAAATATCTTGAGAAGTTGACTGGAATTTGGAAAGTAACTTTAAAAGATCAAGATTTTGATGGTCAATGTTTGTTGGCTAGAGTGTTTTGGAAACAGAATATATAATATAAATGACCTTTAATGCTTAATACTTAATTTTATTTTAGGTATTAATTTTTCCTATTTGATTTATGCCACAGGGTCATTCGTTATTTGATCGAAGTCCACGAATCAAAATGTTGTTGAACGAGTAAACATTATTTTACTGACGATGTCACTCATTATCTAAACCGGAAATTTAGAAGGTAATGAAGTGCTTGGAATTAAGATAAATGATGAAAAGTAATATTCAAGAATTAAAAATAAAAAAATCAATCAACAAGTTCAAATGGAATGATGGGGAAAGCATCAACATTGATCATGACTCGTAATATTTTTGGCATCGTGAATATTTAACACTAGTGTTCAATAAACCGGATACAACTCAATTAAGACCGAAAAAAAACAAAAGTAAGAGAGAAGGAGAGAGATGAAAAGGATTAATTACAAGAAATGAAATGACGTCACGTAAAATAATTTTCAATTTAAAATATTTCCGAAGTTCTTGTGAAATTTTCTTTTCAAAATTTTATTTCTCGTAACTCGTTTTACTAATTGCACAATAATTTTCGCTGAACACCGTTTAATAAATCTTCATACTTATCATCTGCTCATCCAAACACATTCACTTGTATATACATACACACATATAATTATCTCACAACTACATATTTAGAAAAGTGTGCAAAAATGTGACGACGGAACACATCGTCATCGTAAGAAGCAGAAAAAAATGCCCGATTATATGAGTAAAACATATATAAAGCTTGATACAGTGATGAGGGGAGAAACACTGGCCTCCCATTAAGTGTTATACCGAAAAAAATAATATAGAAACCAGCATGGGAGAATGAATCGAATGTGTGAGAGAACTCGCTTAACTGATTTGAATATGAACAACAAAAAAAGAAAAAAAAAATCTACAGACCTTGGTTTTTGTTGTGGTTTTTTCATTTCAATATCGGGGTAAAATTTGCTATTCTTTTTCATTCTGCTACATTCTTGGTACAGCTTGATGTGTTGTGATTGATGACTGAACGATTAGCAATCATCCTTAAATTGTTTCAATAATCCAATAATTATGTTTTTATTTGTGGCAGCACTTTTCTCACATACACAGATTTGTTTTATTCATTTACAGCTAAGAATTAATTCACTTCTTTGTTGATTTAAACACCTCAACAATTCAATATTGAAATTCCTTTCTTTCCTTTTTTACTATATAATTAAATTAACTTTCAACTTTAATCAATTTTTGATTAGAAATTTTCATTCATTGAATTTTTTTTTTTACAATTTTCTTTCACTTATATATTTGCACCAAAGCTATAAAACTATTATTTTCCTTTCTTTCTTTTTTGTTGAAAATTTAATCCACATGAAAGAGACAATGGACTGGGAATATTTGATTATTTATATTGTTTTGTAGAATGCACGGTACCTGTAATAATAAAAGAAAGATGACTGTTATAAAAGGAAATTCCATTGAGTTACAAATGCATTTTTTGTGGGAAAAACCATTGGAATATAAGAAACATACACAACAATCTTATTAAATTAGGAATATTATAAAATCAATGCTTTGCTTTCTTTCTTTTAATTTTCTTCCTTCTTGAATATTTTTTGTTGCTGTTAAATATCATTTAAGTATACAACTCATTTTCCCTAAATAATATTCACAAATTGGTTTTATAATTGCAAGTGATTTATGAAATTTAAAAAAAAATCTAAATTTTTCTAATCAATTACAATCTTATCCGTTTCCTTTTGTATCTTTGTATTCGATTGACAAATTATTGTATTGCCGTGACTTTATTCACGTTTACATCCTTTTCAGGTCTATCGTCGTCATATTTATCTATCAACATCATATTAAAAAATTTCATGTTTTGTAATAAATAAGAACGCATAGATGATGAGAAAATTGATTTTATTTTCTCCCTAATTTTATCTCACTCACTAATTTTCTTTCTCTGTTTCTCTTTCTTCTTGAATTTACCAGATGTACTGGCCAGATGTATTGATGTGTGCGACTATGTCATGGTTTTTCCATAACATCAAGAAAATATTTCTTTACCGGAATAATATTAAATTAAGTGTTTCATTTGTTTCTTTGTTTTAATTTATTTACAATTTTCCCCATCGATCGACTCAAATCGTAATAAAAATAAAATAATTTTTGTTTTTATTTCGGATCGTTTGTCCTCCATAATCACGCGCGACACTGCATGTGTCCTTCATCAGTTCACATTGCTCTTCCAACTGATATCATCACGTCATTGCAACAAACTTGGTATTAATAAAGTAGTTAAGCGGTACGATTTAGGTTTTCCATATTTTTAAGGGAAAGTTAATTTGGAAAAATTGAAATTAAAATAAATTCGAGGAAAGAGAAAAAGAGAGAAAAAACGAGTCAGGCAGCTGTGAAGAATATAATAAGAAGTTGTACATGTAATTTTTTATATATTTTTTTTTCTTTTTAATGTCTTGAATGTGTGTTACTTTTTAATATGAAAAAATGAAAAACTGCGACGAAAGGTTTCTCTAAATATATTATAACTACAAAATACAACTTATTCCATCCTTAATGTATTTGAATATTGATAATATGAAACTTTTATATTTAAAGCAAATAATTTTATAATATAAAAAGCCACTCTATAATCCACTAAGCAGTTTCAAAATTTTCCTTCTTTGAATTTCTATTTTTTTCTTACTTTTTCTTCTCTTTTGATTTGCACTCCAAAACAGTTTTTCGATGAATTCTACTTATAAATGATGTGTTTTTGATTATCCTTTATAACTACGCGGTAGGTGAGATGTTACACTAGAAATTGAAGTAATTTTTGAACTTGAAAAAGGACTTTTTCATGATAATATTCGCGAAACTGAGAAAATCAGAAATTTGGTAAAGAGTAACACTCATAACTGAAGCAAAAGACGAGAGAATGAAGCGAAACTGAAGCAAAATGATTTCTTTTGATCCGATTGGACGATATTGATCCGTCACATTCACTAGTTGAACCGTTTAAACACTTCTTTGAGACGTTAAAACATTCAAATGAACCGTTTCAGAGAATCGTCGCACAGTTTTATAACCCACACACAACTTTAAAACTTGTGTCGTCATTTGCTTTCCTCCTTACGGACATTATCAAAATTGGAAGCGTCGTCGTTTTTGAAAAGTCTTGAAAAATTTGATTTAAGGAAAAATATTTGATTTCTTTATTATGGCTGCTAAAAATAAAGTGTACAGCTTCAATCTAGGAGATTTGGTTTGGTAGGGAAATGAATTTGTCTGCGTCTTATATTATTAATTTTGAATTTAACCTGAATTGAAATTCCGCTTTAAGACATGGAAAGTAAACAAATATAACTAAATTTTCAGGGCGAAAATGCCATCGTACTGTTTCTGGCCAGGACGAATTGTTGAACCAAATTCTCCTCAATTGGCTAAAATGAAAAAGAGTCCAACGCAAAATTGTATTTTCTTTTTCGGAAGCAATAACTAGTATGTATCGGGATCGGTCTAGAAGACTTTATTTATATTAAAAATATTATTTCCTTTAGCGCTTGGATTGAAGAAAAGATGCTTCGACCTTACCTTGAATGCCGTGATGAGATGAAGTCAAGAGGAAAGCCAAAAGACCAATTTCAACAAGCCATGATAGATATTGAATCCTTCATTGAAAATCCCAACAATTTTTCAGCACTTTTTGATCAGAAAACGGTTTACCAAAGGAAAAAAGTGTCACCAAAACCAAAAAAACAGGATCCAGAATTCGATTTTGACAGTTTGAAATCCGACTCGAGTGTTCCATCCTCACCAAACGTTTCCAAAACTCCACAGTCTACGCCGGTCTCCTTAAAACGCTCAACATCAGCTCGATCAAATGAAAAGCCTAAAGTGGCTGAAAAAACTCCAAAAGTGCCTGCAGCAAAACGTAAAGTAACAAATGATTTGGAACCAACAGACGCAACTGAAACAGAAGATTTACCGACAAAAAAGCCTCGTAAATCCTCCATCACTCCAGTTGTTGCGCAACCTTATCGCAACATTGATCTAATAACTCCAGACTCACATTTTCGTAGTGGTGCAAACGAAACTACGAAAATCAAATCGCCTCTTGCTAAAGTTGAAGCGTCCCCAACAATCTTCGGATTCATCGGATTGGGCATTATGGGCAGAAGCGTTTTATGCAATTTACTTGAATCTGGACATTCTGTTGTCATTCATAATAGAACAATGTCACGATGTGATGAGTTTCTAGAACGGTACAGTGATCGCTGTTCTCAAGCTCTTTCACCAAAAGATGTCTTCGAACAAGCTCAAATAACTTTTGTTTGCGTTTCCGATTCATATGCTGTAAAAGAAACAATCATGGATGGACAACAAGGAGTTTTTGCTGCAGATAATGTCACAGTTGACAAAGGTCTTGTCATGTTGAGTTCAATCGACTGTGAAACATCTCGTGATATTGCTAACGCTATGATGATGAAACCTGTGCGTTATCTTGAAGCACAAATCCAAGGCTCGCGTAATCAAGCGAAAGAAGGTTCGTTAATCATCATTGCAGCTGGTGACAAGTCACTCTTCGATGATTGCTATTCATGTTTCAAATCTATTGCTAAAGATACAAATTATCTTGGTGAAGAAATCGAATCTGCAGTAAAAATGAATTTGGTTCTTCAAACAATGGCTGGTGTTCAACTTGCTGCTGTATCTGAAGCTTTTGCCTTGGCGAACACGTTTGATTTGCAACTACAAGATATATTAGAAATCATTGATATCAGCAATTTGAACTCTCCATTCATTATGGAGAAAGGAAATGTAATTATCAGTGAAAATTACCGAGATCCAAGCATGAAAGTAATTTCTGTTAAATTTTTCAATGAAATCCCATATAAACATGTTTTTCTTATAGGTTGAGACAATGCAAAAAGATTTGAAAATGGCTATTGATTTTGGGGATTCTCTTGAACATCCATTGCCACTTGCAACAGCAGCAAATGAAATATTAAAAACAGCAAAACGTTTAGGCTTAAGACAAGATGACATTGCTTCAATCTTCATTGCATCAAATTTTCATGCAAACCCTGAAAGTAATGGAATTTAATATGATTTAAAATATGAAAATTGGTACATATGAGAATCGGTACAAAGGCTACATCCTTGAATTCCAAAGACAAGGAATCAACACTTTAAAGTAGATTTTTTTTTTGTTTAATTTAATAATTCAGTGATTCAATAAGTCATTCTTACATTTATATTATGTAAAACATAAAAACTGTGCTGCGTTTTATCAAAGAATGGTTCTTAGTCGGTCCAGTTTTTTTTCTTTTCGTCACGATGCAACCCCAAGACAGACAGCAAGATAAAATTCAAAAACAAAATGCTAATGTAATTTTCAATCTATATTTTAGTTCCAAGTTATCTGTCAAAACATTTTTTTTACATGATGTACACTTAGTTTTAAGCATTCATACTAAAAAATAAAAGTTTATGAACATATAAATTTGTAAATATTTTATAACGTATTTTTTAAATTAATTATTGCAGGGTTCGTATTTCGTCATTAATAAACCCTGCACTCTCAAACCCCTGTTGTATAAATTTGGCGTTCGATTTCTAATTTTACATTATTTACAAAAGTAGCAAGCTTCTAAGGACATCTACAAAACGCTAAAGGGATAAAATAGCTCACATTGGTGATAAAAATTCAAAGAAAGTACGAAATGGAAGGTTTAAATGTTGGAGATTTTGTTTGGTATGTAAAAATGAAAACAAAACAAGCTTCTTCGCTTTAAAACAGCCAATCACTATAATTTCACTTGATAAAATAGTGATAAAATAATGGTATATTTGTTATATAAATGTTGTACAATCTTTTTTGAAGCAGAAAATTGCATTTTATATAAATTTCATTCTGAAAACAATTTAGGCGGTTTAACCTAACAGCTTTGCAATGTTTTCTTTTAAAGTTTCCTTAACTGGAGACTCCCGCGATACAATATTTACAATAATAAATGACGAATTTCTTTAATCAAATATTTTATTTATTTTAGGGCAAAAATGAAAGGTTTTCCAGCCTGGCCAGGACGAGTGAGTACTTAAATATTTTTTTTTCATTAAAATTTTATCTTTAATGCCTCTTATAATTAATTACAGGTTGTTGAGCCAAATGACTCTTTACAGAAACTTCAAAAAGCAGAGAAATCGAAGTGTATTTACTTTTTTGGATCCCATAACCAGTAAGTTTAACTTACACTTATTTATATTCACTTTTTGATTTGTTTTGAAATTTCTCAGCGCTTGGATTGAAGACAGTAACATCAAACCATATAATGAGTCGAAAGATCAAATGCTGAAATTGGGAAAAGGAAAAGCTTCATTTGCAAAGGCAATCAAGGAAATTGAAGATTTCATGAAAGATCCAAATGTATGATTAATTTTTATTTAGAATTCTTATCAGCTTTAAAGAAAAATATTTTTGTAGGCGAGTCAAATAATAACAACCCCAGCACGACAAGCAACAACACCGAAAATCAGAAAATCAGTTCCGAATGAAGTCCATAATGCTGATGTAGCTAATGAAAGCTTAATTGATGACAATGAAACTAACAATTCACCGAAAAAAAACCTCAACAGTAAATTGCCTGTCACAAAGCGTTCCACGGTAAGGAAATTTATTTTTATTTATGAAGAAATTAAATAACTTTTTGATGCTTCTTAAAGCAAAAGAAGGCAAGACCAGCAACGCCGAAATCAAACGACGAAACTGAAGCCACTCCTGAAAAGCGTTCACGTTCAAGTGCATCAAGTCCGACTGTAAATCGTTCAAATCATAACAACAACAATATTGATAATCCATCAGAAGTTGTCCCAAAAGCAAATTATATTTCCACACCAGTTCCACGAGCGCGTGCTGCACGTGCTGTTATTGATCGTCCTGAAATATTATCGCAACCAGAAAAAGAAGATCTTGATGTATCGACAATTACACAAACTTTACTTTCAAAAAACATTAAAGCATCGGATAAAAAGTTTGGTTTTATTGGTCTAGGAAACATGGGAAGTGGAATTGTTAAAAATTTGTTGCACTCTGGACATTTAGTTTATGTTTGGAACCGCTCGGAAGCTAAAGCAAAAAAGTTTGAAATTGTTGGTGCGAAACGTATGCTGACACCGAGTGATGTTATTGAACATTCTGACATCACTTTTTCTTGTGTATCTGATCCAATTGCTTTGCAAAATGTAAGACAATAATAGTGAAAACAATTAAATATTCATTCACTCCTTTTTCTATTCGTTCTTTTAGACAATATTTGGACAGTATGGAGTAAGTTCAGCACAACGAGATCCTGATCCAAAGAAGAAAAAAGGCTACGTTGAGATGACAACCATCGACACATCAACGTCAAAGGATATTGAAAGTGCTTTGAATGGGATTGGCATCAGCTATTTGGAAGCACAAATTCAGGGAACAAAAGCACAAGCACAAGAAGGAAAATTGATTTTGTTAGCTGCTGGTGATAAGGATCTCTTCGATAATTGTCAAACATGCTTTGAAGCTATGGGTCGTAATTCATTTTTCGTCGGTGAAACTGGAAATGCTACAAAAATGAATCTTGTGCTTCAAACCATCACTGGTGTTCAAATTGCAGGACTTTCAGATTCAATTGCTTTAGGTGAGTAGCTTTTAACTAAATTTATTAACATGTTTAATTCGTAAATGTTTAATTAATTAAGCCGAACGAGCTGGAATTGCTACAGACAAGTTTATGGATATCTTATCAAAAACTGATATGCGGTCAGATTTATTAATGGAAAAAGGAACTGGTAAGTTTGTTGCATGCTTAATTTCATGAAAAGGAAAAGAATTTTGTGCAATCTTTCATTCAATTTTACTTAGCAATGGTTAATCGACGCTATAATGACGTGAATCTTCCATTGATGCACATGCAGAAAGATCTTCGTTTGGCAATCAATATGGCTGATGGATTAGATCTTCCAATGCCACTTACAGCAATAGCAAATGAAGTTTATAAGAATGCACGTCGTTCAGGGCTTGCTGAAGGAGATGCTAGTGCAATTTGTTATCGTGCTCGTCACTAACAAGAGATGAAAACAGATGACTCTAAAAAGTGGATGACAAAAAAGATCGTTAAAGGACCACAAGACCATCTTTAAGAAAAACTAAAAGATAGAAAATAATTAAAACAAATGATCATATCTTTACATTATTATTGTCTTCGAACTCTTCGAAGGCATTATTTCAATTTTATTTCATTATTTTTTCTTAAGAATAGGCAAAAATTCTTTGGATTATTTAAACCTTAAGGTTTACTATTAAAAATCAGTTTCCGTTTTTGTCTGCAAATATTAAATTGTGAGGAGGTCACAATAAATTTAAGTAAAACATAATTTAAAGAAACTTTCAAAAATAATAACAAGAATTTTAACAAGATGATTAAAATGTTAAATTAATTAAAATTCCAAATGTTGTATCCTCATTCTACAAAGCCTCTCTTCTGTCATTCGAAGAAATTCGATGAAATGAATATAAACACAAAATTAATTTTTTTATGATGAGATAGAAGGGATATCTGAAAAGTTAAAGCAAAATGAAAAATTATTAATATTAAACTTAGCATATTTTAAAAAAAAAGTAATGTACTGGCGAGTTGTAGAAAAAAGGGTTCATTATGAATGCATGTCACCTCACAAAGAACTTAAATATTTTTCTAGTGTATAATGATCAAGATGAAGTTTCATGTAATCCCCAAGACTATTAGTTATTGAAAGATTAAATAAAAAAGAAAATGGAAAAAGAAAATTTTCCTAAAAAACATTTTTTTTAATTTAAGTAGAGAAGAATTTAACCGGCATCGTTTATTTATCCTTGACAATGACAATGGAGCATGCCCAGTGAACTTTCCTCTCTTCAACATAAAAAAAGGAAATTTTCATTCATATTTTTTATATTTGTTTTTTGTTTATGGAGAGAAAAAATGTTGATAACAACCTACAAGGATGTTTTCCCGTCTGGGAACTGCACATCATCATTGAACAGCTCGCTTCGTTTGAGAAAAGTTTCAGAACGAGAGAAAATTGAGCGCTGGGAGAGCAAAGCCCAGAATTATGTTTCCTTTTTGTTACTGTTGTTGTTGCGATTTTCATCCATTTTCCAGATAGACATCCAAGGAAAAAAGGACGAGAAGCAAGCAAAAATAATTTCACATCGCAACCAGAAGGAAATTTTTCTTCTCATTTAGTTTTCGGATTTACTGATAGCAAGTTGTGTTTTTCTGTTGTTCTGTAAGTAGTGAAAGGTGGAGAAGAAAATAGAAAAAAGAACTTTTCTTTGTTAATTACTTCAATGTTTATTGATTGGGTGGTGATGTAAAGAAATTAGATGATCACTTAATGGAACATACATGATTTGTGTCCTTGGAGATATTAATTAGTGGAATGTGAACTGTTGCTGATTTTTTCGCTAGAATTTCCGGGATAATTTATTTCACTTATTGTTTCTCACGATTCTCCTTCCAATCTAGGAACTTAATATAAAAGAGAAATAAAAATCCTTTTAAATTATAAAATAATATAATCAAAAGCAACAGAAGAACTTTCAAACAGATCCATTGAGGTAAAATAGGTCACGAAACGAATTACCTTTGTTGCTTTTGAATTCTACACTTCCTGTAGCACACTTTTTTAGAAAAGCCATATTTCCACTGCCTTTATTCACATGAAAATTCCTGACAAGGTGTGTTCAGCATACACTTTGCTTTTCTTTTCATTCCGAATTGCTTGCTAGCTTGGTTGCTTCTCCACACAAAGCTGCTTTTTTCACCGTCAAAAAAGAAGAAATAAAAGGATAATGATGAGAACATACATCGAAAGAAAAAGGATATGAATGTAAAATATTCCACTCCTTTTCAATGCGAAAATGTGATGGAATTTAATGTCATTTTTGTTGCCTTGTGAGTGGCTCAATTCGCAAGAGCGACAGACGGAGGAAGAATTTAAGAAAAAAAATCAGAATAATTTGCCCTCATTTGTGAACTAATTTTGAAGCTTTTTTCTCCCTACGTTTTGTGATTGCTTCGTGAAATTTATTTAATTGTTTTATTCTCAATGCTTAATTGAGCTGAAATTGTGATGCTGATTTTTTGTAATTTTTCACGAGAGCATAAATTCTATTTTTTGTTTAATAATGCAATAAATATTGTGCACAAAAAAATGCTTCAAAAACTCGATAATGGAATTTATAAGTGAACTAATAACCGATAAAAAGGAGTTATCATTTATTCCAACACTGATATTATTAATTACAATTAAGAAAAACAAAATGTTAAACAGTTTTAATATTAATATTGATGGTGAATAACTTTTTTTATCATATCAGCTTCTAAATCAAGCTGAACTTCTTCAAATGTTACAGTGTGTTTAAAGTGATTGCCTGGATTTATAAAAATAAATTTTCTATAAAATTACAAATAGAACCAGAACATCTTGACAATTTTTAGAGCATAATTGAATTAAGAACGATTTGAGAGTAAATAATATAAACTTAAAATAACAAAATGCCTTGGTTATCGATTATCTGTGCCGGGTTAGCTGTTTCGTTGAATTTTTTCTCTTGCTCCCTTACAATTCTCGAATGAACCCTCGCCAATTCAGCAAAAAAAGGAAGAAGAAAGCGATGAATAGGAAAAGAGAGCAAAACATAAATATTTTCATATAAAACATGGTTTCTAAAACGTCTTATCTCATCCTCCCTTGAACTTCTTCTTTTCTTGCTTTCGTCGTTTCCTTTTCTTCATTTTTCTCCAACATAAGATTCTCAAGACATCAAATGAACGACATGAGAAAGGCACAAATAACATAATTTCTTTTCCTTCTATCCTTCTATGATTCTACTCCAATAGGAAACTTCTCTTATTGTTAATTTCTCTTTGAGATGATGATGATGATGATGACGATGGAGGAAAATCTTTATTATTTCATGGAAGGAAAATTGCCATCTTTAAGATGCATCCTTCTCTCTTTCTGTGTCTAACACCTTTTTCATCCATATCAATAAGCTCTCCTTTCATAAATCATAAATTTAAGACGATTCACTTTTTCTTAATACCTTCAGATCTTTTCAAATACCCCGAAAAAGCCTTCAGCGACTGATTGTTCACTTTAGTGCTTAACATTTGTTTTCATTTCATTCAATATTCAGTCCCTACCTTTGATTTTTCACAAAAAGTTTTTCACCAGTTAAACATATGAAATTGTCAGAAATTATAACGTCATACAAAAGAAAATTAGTGAATCGTTCCCAAGAAAATTTTATCTTCGAAAACGCTCTTCTTCACGTTTTAATCGTTAGTCAAGTGGAAATTATTTATGACATAACGGGACTCAACATTTTCATCTTGTTCAACGAAAAATAATCATTGAAAGCCATGATTGAAGTTGGAAACTTCTTTTCCACCTCAATTAGACGAGATATTTCTTAAAGAAATTTGTTCTGAGTCGATGCAATGTAAGGAAATCTCCTTAAAAATATGAAAATTTATTTAGGGATTTTCCTGTCGTGTTTTGTTAAGGATTTAATTAGATTTATTCTTCCTTAACTCGAGATGCAGAATTTGAAAGATGACGACAAGAAAGGTGAAAAAGAAGAGAAAGACTTCAGCTTGCTTTCTTTTATCATCATCATAATCTAATTTATTTTCGTCTCGAATCATTTTCCCGGATAAAAGGAACGATGACTGTACATTTTCAATACATTTCTATTTAATTAATCTATTAGAACAAAATTTGGAAGATTTTTTTCGGCGTTTCTTCCTAAGGACTGGGAATTTTTTTTATTTTTTCATGTGTATATCACAAATTTTCTTGTGAAAATATTTCGTTACAAATTAATTATTTAACAATTTTCCTTGATTTACAACTCATAAATCATAGTGCTTTATCAGTAATCAAGAACTTTCTTGACGATGAATAAAAATTTTGAACAATAAATATTTTAATAATCTATTAAAACCATAAAAATAGTTTTAAAAAATCTACAATTGAATAATTGCTAGCCAAAATTAGCCTAATTAATTCTTTATCCATTTGCTTCATACAACAACAAATCATTTGAAAACGGATTTTCCTTTGAATATTTTACATTTTACCGCAGCGTTTAAAACCCCCAAGGGTTTTATGTCTGGCTAATAACACAACATCGATGATGATAGTGATGGTGTTGCTCTGTAGCAGTTTCCGCATCTTTTGCATTAAAATTCAGTGTTATGTCACAAACATCCAATGCCGTTCATTTCACTTTATCTACAACGTGTCTGGGACTCGTCTCAGTCTGAGAAAAATAATTTTTCTCAACCCATTTCAAACTTTTCCATACAGCTTTTCAATCAGATTATAATTTTTTCATTTTGCTTTTTTTGACAGGACCATCAGGCACAAAACATCATCAATTTCTTCGGAAAATATATTCCTAACTCATTACGCAAGGATTCTATCCTCCACTTCCTTTGGAAACTCGATATATTTGTTCGCAGGTGAAGACATAATTAGTAAAGTGTTTCTTTAAGAGTTGAAAAGAGTCCTTTTATTTAACTTTAGCTTAGCACCGCACAACAAAATAAAAAAAAACGAAGTAAACAAAACCTAAGTAAAATTTAAAAATCAAAAAAACATATCTCGCGTTCGAGCGACTCTAACGTTTTGTGATTTGTGACAAAAGAATTGACTGGTAAAAGTCGATCGCTTAAGAATACTGACTTTAGTAAAGATTATCACGATAAATTAGTGAAAGACGTGAGCGTTCAAAAAGCAAAAACAGGAACAGTGAAACGCCGTAACTTCCGCCCTTAGCTATTAGCGACACCGTCACCATCAAGATTGATATTCAGTTTGAAGGTGAGTGTAAACAGTTTTTATTCGTCATAGAAATTTTCAACGTAGTTACGAAACGAATCGAAGCTTTGACACTTCAGACCATTCACATGTCAGTTGAGGAAATAAAAAAATGAACAAAGTCTAAGATAAAGAAACATTTAATCTATTTTATTCGTCATATTTTAATAACATACGAAAATTCATCTTTTAGCTTTTACTGATTACAAGAAAATTTCCTCTATAAATGAGCTAGCAATAAATATCAAAGGCGAGAAAAATTTATAGAATGATAAAAAAGAAAAGAAAATGAAAAAAATATTTTGTCAACATTAAATTTTCCAATTTCTTTCTACACAAAAAAGGAACGGAAAAAGAATTTCTAAATTGCATTCCAAAGATCCAAAAAAAAATTCTTAAGCTTATTTTTGAAAGGATTGTCATCGATGGAGTATTTTATAAGCTGCCAATGAAAACACAATGGAAAACTCATTTCAATTTTCTCGTTTAAAAATACTTAAATTATCCATATCTAAATAAAAGACGAAGAGGAATTAACAAAAAAATCAAGGCTGCAAAAATAACGGCTTGGAAAAAAATTCATTTGCACTTTGAATACAAATTGTGAATTAATATTAAGCAAAATTCAACATCAATGATATAAATTAAATGTTAATCTGTTATTAAACAGAAAACTTCAGTTTCCCGCTTTCAAGGGCTTCCTTAAGAGATTCAAATGCAAAATCCTGATAAAAACTCTTCGGAATCACATTATTAAGTATTATTATAATCAGTCGAATCATAAATCAGCAGAAATGAGTGAGAGCTTGATGATCGGGATGATTAAAAGAAAAAAAAAACAGTAAATTTGTTTAATTATTTTATTTATCTGCGTTCATAATACAACAGAAAATTCCTCAATTTTATATTCAAGTTAACGATTTAAAACTTATGAAATCATTTTCTTGATAACTTCTCAGACTTGCGATAAGATTATAATTAAATACTAGCAATAATATTTCCAAATCTGTCAAACACTCTCAAGTTTCCGGTAAATTCCAACGATATTTGTCTCACTTCTGGAACTGTTCCATCAAAATTATTAAAGCATGTTTGCAGTGAATTGTTCACATCCATCCAATCCAACTCATCAACAATTGTGAAGACACGATCAACGCAATCAATTGATCTCATATTCAAATATCTTAACCTTTGTCTCTGATTAGCTGCAAAATTGGGGTGAACTTCTCTGATTGGATTTCCACTAAAGTAAATTGTTGAAAGATTTATATTTTCAGCTAACAATTCTTGAGGTATGCTTGTTAAAAAATTAGCTTCCAAGTCTAAAACTAGAAGAGCAGTTAATGGTGCAAAGGTTCTCACACTAAGTTCGGTAATCTGATTGTCCCAAAGTACAAGACCAGCGAGTCTAGAAAGGCCTTCAAAAGCATTTTCATCTACTGTTTGAACGTTACAATCATATAATTCCAAATAAAAGAGTAATGGTTGATTGCTGAACATTCCACTCTCAATTGTTGAAATGTTGTTTCGGATGAGATTTAACCACTCGAGCCTTGCACTGTCAGGAATATTAATGGATTGAAGGTTGCTGTCATAATATTCAAGTTCATAAATGTTGGGGAATGTTGTGAAAACTTCTTGAATCATGAAGGGTGTATTCGATGAACTGATCCTAACGAATAATACATCACTGTCTGTATAGCCTTCTAAATGTTCGCCAGTTATCTCTACACTAGATGTTGGATCTAACACTTCCACTCCTTGTAATGAGCATGCATATTCTCCATAAACCGTTCTCCCGAAGGTACATGTCAATGTGATTACTTCTTGTGCTTCTAACGATGCAGAAATAGCAAACAGTAAAATAAGCGAAAGCTTCCTATTAACAAAAATTTGTTAGAAAAAAATTATTAGATGTTTATTAACTTTGTATTCTTTAACTTAAACTAACCACATTGTAAATGACCAAAATAAGTACTGAAGAGTAGGAAATATTTTCTGCACTTTTTATATTCAGAATGACATCAGACTTATCAATGCTTTAAGCCGTATTTTTCCACTTGAAGATTATCAAATTTTTAATTACTTACATGCTTCATACTCAATAAAAAGTCATCAGTATCAGACTTTAATCAGACCTCTTCAGTTTAGTTCAGACAATTAAGAATCAAGTATTTATGTCCGTTGTCAAGGGGCAATTCACGAACAGTTGCTGACGTTAATCACTCTTCGTTTACTCAATTAAACAACATTTTTGATTGAAAACAAACAAATGTATTTCTTATTTTTTCTGACGAGAATCGAACCCACGTATTCTATCTTTCCGAACAGAGGCTTTTACTTACTGAGCTACAGAGACACTCATCAAGCGATAACATTTTCTTTATCTTGTACTAAGCTTGAGTGATTTTTCACGTAACAACTTCATTTTCATGAATCCCCCCTTGTCCGTTCTGATGATTTGTACGCATTTAGATCTCTATAAAAAGTTAATCTGCACTCAGTGTTGAAAACTAATCTACAAAAGAAATCTAAAATTGATTTAATTTTAAGAATAAAAATTAATTATCAATTCTTGTTATATCAAACATGGTGATTTACTTTTTTTACTCATAAAGCAAAACTGATAAGAAAGGAATTCATTTGAGGTTTCATAGACGTGAATATGAAACTGTAAAAAGTTTTTAATTTCGAATTCAGATAAAATTTTCTTCAAAACTTCACAAATTTTCTTATTCATTCTTTTTCGTCTCAAACAGTTCAAATTCTCATCACAATTTTTTGTATTTCATTTTCTCAATCTTCGAGGAAGACTTCCCAATTTCATTTTCCCACTGCTGAGCTACCCTTAGGAGGCTGCCAACTACTGCCATACACTTTACCTCGTAGACTTTTAAAATATTACGGAAATTACATAAAACAGCTTTATGCTAAAAAGCTCAAACCGAGCGGATGTTAGGAACTTAAGCGTTTCCCTTACGGAACAAGGGTGCTACCAGCCAAGCTGAATACAACTTAAAGCAAACATGAAACAGAAAAACCAACAGATTCATGAATTTTTAAGTTATATTTAAAAATATTTTTATACTTTCTTTTCTCGGAGCTTTATCATTTTATGCGCTTGCTTGTTATTTAAGCTTTCTATTCTCTTCTCTCACAACCACCCTCCTCGAAGTTATTTTTCCGTGCATTTAAACAGAAATAAATATAATTCCTCCAGAGTATGAATTTTTGCAGATAAAATTCACGACTCAAGAATTATGAGAAAAGTTTTCAAAAGAAATTTTATGTATTGTCTTCTTAGATATGCTGTTTCGTTTTTATTCAACTGAAGTCACACCTTTTGCGTTTTTTAAAACTTTCTAAAGTTTTCTTGTGATTTCTTAATTATTCATATTCTGATTCATATGTTTATGTGATTTGCGATATTAAGTACGATATATGTAAGGATTTTATATCATAACTTTCTCTTCCATTTTCACAAAAGAAATTTATATTTAAGGCCACGTGGTGCTTCACTGTATTGAATTTTCTGCTTTGAAATAACAAAATCATGAATTTATAAGTATTGTAGAAAGAAAATTATGCGCTTGGGCATATCTATAACGCTAAAATGTCTACCACTTCAACATTTTAGATCAAGAATGCAGTAAATTAGCTACTCAATTCAAAACCAAAATGTTTTTGAAGTTTCTGTAGTTGAAGTCGAACAGCCATTGATAAAATAAAAATAAAGCACAGGCCAAAAACAACATGTGTTTGAATGGTTCGGAATATCACTCCCTAAAGTCCCATTTCGGATTGAAATGCAATTACACCGTTGTTTCGAGCTGTTGGACGATGAGAAAAGAAGAAAACTTAAAAAGAGATGAACAAGAATGGAAGCAACAACCGATGGAGGAGTGTTCGAAATGAAATAAATTATTATTGATTTCTCTCACCTGAACTACCGATCTTTAATGCATTGCTTGATCTATTTCCCTATGTTTCGTGTTTGAGATGCAAGGGTTTCTGAAAATGCAATGTTTTCATTTCCTTTATTGAATAAGTTGAAGCTATGAATGCAAATTTTACAGCTTTCGTATGCACCAAGCATCCTTTCCAGAAATTGTTCTTACACTCTGTTGGATGTTATTCAACTATTTTTCCCATTTTAACTCTCCTCGATAAAAGCATATTTTGCCTTCTGAAATGGATTAAAAATTGAAAGTTAAAACAAGAAGGGAAATGAAAACTAATAAGTTACAAAGGACAAGAAAAACTTTGAAATACTAAATAAAAGCAAAAGGTAAATCAGGAGCCTTTTAGTTTGAAACTTTGAACTATATAACAATTTCGTTTTCCGTAGCTTTAATTAGCTGTAAAAACATAACATTGATATTCAAAGTTTGATAGGGAAATTAAATCTTGGGATTTATTGCAAAGTTTAGCTCGTTATATTTTAATCGGTAATCGATAGAAGGAAAATACCAAAGCATAAAAAATTATTTTTTCTCGTATACTTTAAAGAATAAAGTTATAAAGTATACAATTTCTTCTCAAATATTTTTCAATATCCTTTTTATGCTTTTAGTTTTATGAAAGACTTTAACTTGAGCTGATAATCTTTTAAATAGTTTTATTTCCTTAAGATTCGCGAGAATTTTTAAAGCAAGTTATGATTGATGATTGGATACTTCCGATGACAAATTTCATCTTAATTCATTAATGTCTGTTGTATATGAAATCAAATATGATTATTGTTCTATATTAAAGTGGTCAAATATCATCGATCAATTCTTATATTTTCGAAATTCAGCAGAAAAATTCTGATCAAATATCATGGTTTCAGTTTACAGTATGGTTTTCTTTATATCAAAAATAATTTTTAAAGCTGATATGTAAGTCGTTATTGGAACTTATTAAATCGTTATTGGATCTTGCTATCAGAGATTTCTATGACTGCATTCAGATGAATAAAGTCCTGAGCTTAAATTTCATGCCAAAGTATATTTTATGTAATAATTTATTACGCCAAAATATATTATCTAATTGTTCTGAAGATGTTTATTTTTTTTGTTCTCTATCGTTTAAACTTCTTGTCATTAATTTAATCTTTTTCTAATTAAATTCATTTCTATAAATTTTTGAAAATTTTTTGCACATAGAATTCATCTTCAAGGAATTTTTCCATGAATTCTGTATCCTTAAATTCAGGAAAATATTTTCTAATAGTTTAAATTTCAAGGGGTGATTACAGAAGAAAATTGTGAAACTTTTTTTTCTTGCAAACATTTTTTAAATTAAAAAAATTAATTTTCTATTTCTCAAAATTTTCCATATATTTAAATATTTCTTTATTCACTTTAATAAATTGTTATTGTAACTGTAATTGGTGTTTGTAACTTATTTGCAATATTTTTTATTATTTCCCTACAAACCAGTTTTTCCTGTTTTAATTTATCACATCATTCTGATCTGCATTGATTTTATGTTTTTCCTAAAAACGTCTATTTTCATTTCATTAGTTTCAACATGAAATCCCAATTAGGATTCCATTCGAGTGAAATCTCTCGCTTTGCCGGTCATCAAATTTGGAATGACAACACATAAGAAGATTCACAAGAAGAAACTAAATAGGAAAAAATTGCTTAAAGAAAAGTATTCAAAGATTTCTGAGTAAACACAAGTATCAGTTATCTGTTCTCATTTAATGCTGATGGATTTCATACATCTCAATACCAAACAGCAAGTATAAGGATTACATAATTTATGGAAGATTAGCAACGTACAAATATTTAATCCTTTGAATTATGTTTTGACAAATATTGACCGACCCTACGACAAGTCGCTCATGTTATATTGTATTCTATAATCAACCGTTTTGAAATCATTAAATTTTTAAAATGAAAACTGTGATCGTGCACATGTGCGTATTTTACAAAAATTTTCATGATGAGTCGAATGACTAGTAGAGTGATAGCGATGCAACCCTTCCATGGAACAGTTTCCTTCAACATTCAATGTTTTTGGTTTATTTCCATCCCTTTTTGCTTACTTATACTTTATGACCTACCCTAAAACTTGTCAAAACGAAATGCCTTCTATTCTATTTGTTTGGCAACACAACATACGTCATATTGTCTTGGGAAATTTCGAATGACATTTCATAGAGTAAAGGTTTAATAAAGCGCATTCTTTTCATATGAAATAAAAATGCGCGCTCCACTGAGTGTTTCCTTCTATCCATTAGCATAGGCAATCAACAATTAAAAAATTTATTCAATTATCAACATGAAGAAGTAAATAATCAATAAGTTTGTAGTTGCTGATATAAGAAAATCATTATGATGAAAATTAAAACTTATTGTTTTAAGCGTTGATATCCAGGCGAGTGATTGATGAGATAACTAGGGGTTCACTAGAAACACTGCTAATTCATACGTGTTTGTGTATATGCTACTTTTTATAGTGCATATTCATGAGAAAAAGAAATAACTTAATTTATTTTTTCCAGATCTGACATGAGGGTTCTGAATTTATATGAGACACGTTCTGTATATGTGGTTCAAATTCAATATGCAAATATAAAATAATTGATACTTCCATGAATGACAAAACTGGGGCTTTGTTTAAAAACCTGATTAGAAAATTTCATTAAATAGATTTTAGGTGAGGAATGAGAATTGAGATTGCTGTGATAAATGAGTGGAAATAATGAAATATTTATATGTATCTAATGATATGTAAATAAAGTTTCCATTTATTGTATTCTTTAAAGAATTAAATAATTTATAATTTTTCATTAAGTGTCGTTGATAATATCGACGTTACGAAGTTTTTAATCATTGATAACAGTTCGATTACGATTTCTTCATCACCATAGGTTGATTGCAGCAGAAGATAAAATATCTGATTGTTCTGCTTATACAAGTCATTCACCAAAACTCATGTTTTATATATTTCTAGGTATAGATATCTAAAGTATAAAATAAAAAAATGTTTTGTCAGCGTTTTAATACCGATGATCTAGAAAAAAATTAAAATATCTTTTAGAAAAGATAAAGTTAATCATGAAGAGAGTGCTTTTGAACCTTCAATGTTAACTGACATTTCTAATACTTTCTGAATAAATTTTCACTTCACCATCCAAACTTGTTAAATGATATGTAAAAGTTTTGACTCAAAACTTTTGAGGCAATTACAATTTTAAATCAGTTTCAAATTCAAATCATGAACTGCCCTCCAAATGAATTTAAACATTGTTATTTTTCCTCGACATATGTGAATGGCTTTCTATTTGCTTTATTCTTCGGAACGAAAGTTAATTTTTCCTTTTTCCATGAACAAAAGCTTTGCGATGCAATGATTTTTTACCACAGAAGAACACTGATGCGAATTTTTATTTTTTTTCTTTCTTCTGTTATTAAATAAATGGTCGACAACTTTTTAAGTCTCGATGATTTTGATTTGATCAAACTACTACGATATTGAACGGGGAAAAGAAACCCGAAAGGATTACATTTCAAGCGTCTCAAATGTCCTTTTTTTCTCTCACCCTAAACGCAAAACACTATTTAAACAAACGCTTCTTCTTTTGTTATTATTAGCTTTCAAATGCTGTTTGTGACAGGAGAAAGCAGAGCAAATTGTCATTAACACAGCATCGATAAGAAATTATTAACTTTTTATAGCTACGAAAACTCTTTAAGCCGACACAGTTTACGATCGTCAATTCTTTGATTATTATTTCATACAATAGACGTGTTAATATTTTGAAATCTTGCAACATTAGTTACTGCAACTTAGTACTGAATATTTACTGATACTTTTTACAACAAATCAGAATTTGAATATTACAAGATAATTCCGCAATCTAATCATAATTTAAATTCTCAAAACCCAAACTTAGTTTCAAATGTTAATTAGCAACTTTTTCATCAATTCAAGAATGAATTTTGTTTTCAGATTCGTAGAAAAATGAAACTTTTTTTGGCAATAGTGTTGTTTGCCGTGGTTGATAGACCAACAGAGAATGCAGAGCTATGATCATCCAATATAAGCATTAAAAAAAACATTTATTTTATTTCCGTTTCTCATTCTGTTATCAATCTGAAAGCCATAATCGATAAAGAATGATTTTCGTATTTTATACTCCTCCCCATCACTCAGCTCGCAAAAAAAATCATAAAACTGGTAGCGATAAAACAGAAAGTCATAAATTATCGTTATTTGAGTAACAAAACTACTTTTCATTAATTTTTTTGTCTCCAAATCGATAAAAGAAATGATACGAAAAGTCTGTTTCATCACGAAATCGAATAGAACTTTTGACAAGAGAATGAAACACTACTGGTAGGAAATTGTCAGTTGATCTGTTGACATCATTTGATAATCTTAAGCATACAACAAAGTTAACATTTTTACTGATTCAAAAGACAAATAATTATCGAAATTAAGATGATTATTACTTTTCACAAAATCAGTTTTTCTCACAACACGCAAGTGGCTGATACAATCAGAAGTAAACAACGAAAACTTCTCTCACACTGAGTGAAAAATGTTGCAGAACGTTGAAAAATCTCTTGACTTCTAAAAATAAACTGCACTTAAAACATATTAAAAATATCTATTAATATTCTTTTTTTCTTCTTCGAGTTATTATAACTTTGGAGAATTGAAAATTAGTATAAAATTATATGTTGATGACGTAATAATATATTTTAAACTCGAAATCCTTTTTAAATAAGCCAAGCTATCATTACTGTTAAATGATTATTGATGACAATATTTAGAAGAAAACTATCATGAATGAATTTTAACTAAGTAGGACCTTGACACGTTTTGTGTTTGTTTCAAGTTAAATCATAAGAACTTTGCAAGTCGAGTCAAATAACAAAGTGGAGTCAGAACAAATCATCAAGTCGTTTGATTTGATTCAAATCTTATTTTATTATCAGTTTATTTAAAGTTCTTTAATGTTTTTGAAAATCTTTCAGGCATAAGAACCTACCTATTTATTGTAATAGAGTTTATTCAATTGCAGAATAATCTCATTCATGTCACTCAACCCTTAAAATTTTTATTTTGTGTTTTCACATGTGTTGTGTGTACTTGTGTAAGTGAGTGAACATATGACGATGAGAGGAAGGGGAAGAATATATTTTATAGAGTTTAATATACAAAGAATACTCTCGGGCATTCCTCAGGTTTCTCCGATATATTTATAAAAAATAGTAACGAAGCACATGAACAGTGGTAACCGCTTTTAGACAATCCCGAAATGCCCGTCTGTAATCCTTAAAAGTGTGTGTGACGTTAAATATGTTTATTCACGGATACTCGGCTAGTTTTTCTCTCGCGCCGCTCTGTGTATATAAGAACGAGGAGCGAACTGTTAAGCTTCTTCAATTTCGTTTAGTATTTCAAAGTGAAAATACAGAAAACTCTTTGGGCCGCGCTAGTGCAATTTCAACTTTTTTGTTTTAATTTTCATTTATTTTTCGTCTTCTTTTGAGTTTCTTGTTTTCTTCGAGTCTCTCGTTCTTCATTTTTCATCCCTTCTCACCTTGGTTTAGTTTCTATCTTAACGAGAAGTTGAAGTGAATAAACAGACTTTGAATAATTTTACGCGTTATAAATTCGTCTTGAGTTTGTGTTCAACGTGGAACTTTTCTGTTTATTTATTTTTTTACTTAATAATAAAAAAGAAGAAAAAGAACTTTCACGTAAATATCGATTTATCAAAACACAATTTATCATCTTTTATGAGGTATCTTGGAAAAGAAACGAAGTGAGACAGAAGCAAAAGTTCTAACAGTAATTAAGTTTCATTTTTGGATGTGATAAAAATTTCCAAGTAGCTGCGAGATTGAAAACACCTACAAAAATATTTTTGTTTTCCTGCAAAATAAACTGTACAAGAAAGTACCCACTGTAGTATTTCTTTCACTATGAAAATTTAATTATAGCAGGAGAATATTTTTATAAAAAAAAATAAGAAACACAAAATTTGTGTGAAAATTTCAAAGAATATTTTCGTATACTTTTCGAAAGCACATGCTTGTAAATAGAAATTCATACTGAGACAAACTAACTAGTCGAGGATACGGAGAAAAGTCTGTGACTTAACAAGATTATTGGCAAACGCTCTACATATCAAAGGCATCGATATAAAGCCTATCAAATTAAAAAAAAAATTAGGTGAGTTTAACTTCTCCTCTCATTTTTATTATTTACTTTCGATCCAAGTTTCGATCAGGAAAATTTTATTTGAATGGAAATCCTCTCTCAGTTCAGACAGAAGTAAGCGACATTTAAATTGGATTAAAATCTAAAGAATGAAAAACTTATTGATTTGCTATGGCAGCCAATCACGTTTTTCAAGCGTTACATCCGTAAGGTTTCGTGTATTTTTTTATCGCTATAATCGGGAATTCTCTATGATTGATCCACGTAATTCTCTACTGCTACAAATTAGAATAATTTCTAACAAAAAATCGTATTAAAAGACAATAAATTCAAAGCCGCGAGCTAATAAGTCTAAATCTAATAATCATCACTTTCATTTTCATGAAAAACTCAAAATCTTATCGCCTTTCATTAATGAACAAAAAATCTTTCTTCTGATTCTTGAATTGATTATATTTTCGATTTCTCTGTTTTGGATGGAGAAGAAAATCGTTCGCTCCCGTACGAGAGTTTTCCATTTAATTTAACGAGCTTGGTACGATATCAAGGCAAACAAATTGAAAGATGTTGAAATATTAATTTTCACACATAGATACTCGGTTCCATCCGTGAAAAATCACGGCCGGACATGGAAATATTTTCTTTTCATAACTTGAATAATGAGTTCGTTGAAAAGATGAAGAAAACATGAGCTAGAGAGTAAACAATTTTAAATTACCACATTGTTATTTTTATACGTCAAGATTCCGAAATCTACTTTCTAAAAAATATCCCACTTTATATGTGAGTTCCAAAAACTATTTCACAAAAGAATAAGTGAGCGTGGCGAGTCTATAAATAGCAAGGGCTTCATGTTGAGAATTATGTCGCATGCATCGGAGATCTGCTGCATAACGTCATTGCACTGAAGCAAGTAAAGACACGGAGGTCAATGCCCTCGAATGAAAGTCTCTTTTTAAAGGTCCCTGTTTAGAGCTATCATAAGCATATTGGAATATTAGATTACCCTTAAAAACATTTCGTGCACAAAACACTCCGGGATATGCCATATGTGTGTTCATCAGAGGGGTGAATGAATATAAAAGAAAAATTGTAAAAAAATGAGAATGAGAGTGACGACGACGACGACGACCAAATAAGTTGAGGATAAGACATTAATAATTTTCATGTTAAGAAAGGATCATGAATTGATTGTGATTGGCAACAATGAATCCATTGCGAATACTTAAATGGGAAATTCATTTGGGAACCTCTCAAATTTACGTGCAAAACCAAACATTTGCGTGAATGTCAAGAGCAGAAATTAAATTTTCTCAGAATATTAAAATAATCGTAAAATGAATTGTTGGCGCAGTTTTCATTCAGCTAAGTAAAATTAAGTGTCTGAGTGTTTATGAGTGTTTTTGAACAATATCTTCTCTTATATTAAAAAAGTTTAAAAATTACGGATTTATTGTTCGACTAACTCTTAGGTTGATATTTCAACATTTTATAATAATTATTTTAACAAAATCAAAGAAAATTTTATTTTTAAAGAAGAAAACTGAAAACTTTTGACATAAGTCATTCGAATTTTTTTTTATGAAACGCTTAGAAGCGACGACAAATATTTCAAACCATCTCACTTCAGCCACAAAACTCTCAAGTGGTTCCATCAAAATATTTCGCGAAATTTTTCTTTCACAAACTCATGTAATTTTTGTTAATATTTCTCATAAAAAAATCACTCTTACCGGATTCGAGACTAAAATTTAAAGCGAAACATTTTCTGCTATTTTTAGTTCGACATTTTTGAATTGGAGAAGCTGCGATGAAATGTTTTTGCTTCTTAATCTCATGATGATTCAATTATGGCGCGTAAAAATATTGGAAAATTTTAATTTTTATCCACATTAGCAATGTAGCAAGAGATCATGGATGAATTAAGCTCATATAAATGTAAGTAAAGTGCTGACTAAGAACACACTTTACCCGAATGAAGTGTTTGAAAGTGTATGATATTAAGCAATGAAAGGTTACTGTAAAGCAAGCAGAGTGGGTTAAGCGATTAAATGTCGCACAGGTGAAAATTGAAGGAAAATGTTCGAATCGTGAAGCCAGATGAATAGATAACTCAATATTTCCTGCTTCATCTACGTATTTACAAGTCTCTAACTCAGGCATACGAATGTAGATAAACATCATGCCTTATCTTATCTTTCGAAAGCTTTTGTTTTTTTTTATGCTGCGATTACTGATAAACTTTTTTAACCATTGTTGTGTTCGAATGAACAATAATTCATCCAGTATATCATTCAAACCCTACTCTTCCCTCTACTCGTCTTGTATACCAAACGTCGTTTGCGGAAAATGCAAATTTATTATCTGCTATTTACATAAATATTAACGTGTGCGATATTATGCGATACCAGAGTACAAAAGCTGACGAGAATTCGCTCTTTATGTGTTTTATGTAAATGCCATGATTCAATTCCTGTTTATATGTACAAATTTTATTCGTCGTCGTTTGCGTTGATCGTTTGCTATTGCATTCGTTCATGAACGATAAAAGCAGTGATAAAGCATTTCACATCATCGATTCATTTCCATAAATTTACGAAAAATAATTCATTTAATAAAACATTAATTTTATGCATAACAATGAAGAAGCGCTGTCATGTCGACGTCGCCAAAGGCACAGTTTTTGATGCTCTAAATAGTAACCCTACTCATATCGAAGATTTATATAAAATCTACCATAAAGCATTGTAACATCCCAAAAGAAAAAAATAACGAAACGCTTTTTAATGAAATTTTCGGCAATAGGAAATTTTCTGCAAGCACCTACACAAAAAGTTATTCAATTAAATTTCCTGTTCGTTTCCCTTTGATTTTTTGGTTTTTCTGCCGTTGCACCATGCAAAACACAAACCCTTTGTGTGTGTCAGATATCTTTCAACTCTGTTATTGGGGTTGGTAATGTTATGTTGTTTATATGAGTATCTCGTTCGCTTCAGGATGAATCTGTCAAACAATGAGTGAGAAAATTGCATACAAAAACGATTATAGCCAATAATGGCCGAAAAAAGTAAAACAGTTGCTTTATATACGTCAATACATGATGGAAATCGCGACTGAAAGCGGAGTTAAATACTTGAAAAATATTTTATGCTGCATATACTCGATGTGAAAAATATTTATTCAAGTCTGCAGATCGTATTTTATATTCTGCAGTCATGTTTTGTTTGGAGTACTTTCGAATCGAAAATTATTCTTTCAAGTTTTATGATTGAGAATTTAAAAAAAAGCATTAAAAGGATGGAAATATTTCATTTTCGAAGCTTTTCAAATTTTTGTGAGTGAAATCAAAAAATGACATTGACAGCATTGTTGAGCTGATTTTGAAAAATCGATGACCAATCACAAAAATAGCAAATGGAGATATGAAACAGTTCGATGGAATTTGATTTGTCGACACAAAATCCTTCAATTTCATAAATTACTTTCAGATGTGATGTTTTTGTCCTATTCAGCAATATTTTTTAATTTCATTTCCACTCTGATTCTGATCTACTATTTAAGTATTATTTATCACTAATAGATTTTGCGGACGTGGAATAAATACGTGCAGTTCAGTTGCAATTTTTGCACATTTTTTACAACCCTAGCAATATTCGTAATATCGTTCTGAGGGTGAAACCTTCGAATTTTAATTCAGATCCAATGCTTTTGTTATTTTATTAAATTTTATGGAAATTACCGAGGGTGATTTATCACAAAAGTTGCAATTGCAGACAATAAAAGTTTCTGTTTTTTATGTTTGGACTTTGAGGAATCCATCAACGCGAGTTGAAAAGAGAGAAACCCTTTTGCAATTAAGTTTTACTCTGTTTTATTTCAATTTTGATTTCACGAAACTGTTGTTATTTAGATATGAGCATACATGTGCATCTACATTTATACACAACTAAAGGCAATCCTTTGTTGCATTGAAATTATCTCATCCCAACTGTCTGGCTTGACCTCATAAAAAATCCATGATTAAAAAGAGATATCATTACTATATCAAATCCATTAATGGAAATCTACTGAATGTTTGAAAGGAAATTAATAGTAAAAACATGGAAAAAAATATTTGAATTATTTATAATATCTATTTAATATTTTCTGTCATAACAAATTCATCCCTGAATACTGTTGAGAAAACAACAATTTTTAATCTTATTCTATTCTATTTTGGTCCAAAGCATAAATACTTTGCTGTTTAATTATAATATCAATGGATTAAGAGAATTAATATTGAAGTATCCATTTAAAAACATAATTGCTCCTTTCATTTGTTAGTTGCATTAAAAGGGGAAGTTTTATGCACAAAGAAAAAGGGTGAGATTGAAAACATTGTCGATTTCATGTAGTTCATGAAACAAGTTGTTCATTGTTCCACAATTGTTCAAAATGTATTCAATTGTGATTCAAATATTTAAGTAGTTTCTTATCACTTCTGTTCCTTTTCTCACATTTTTGAAGATTTAGAAATTGCATAATGCAAGAAGTATTAAATTTAATAGAAGTAAAATAAACAAATTCATCACAAATTTTATTTTCTTCCGTTTATTATTGAGAAACGATTGAAAGTTTTTCGAAACCAAAATAAATTAGAACACAAATTGAAAAAATATCACTCACAAGGTCAGCCTGATATTACTTAATTGTCACATTGCAATTTACATCAACTAAACTAGAATATTAAATAAATTAATCTTTTCTTCTCTCCCATACAAAAATTTTCTAATCGAATTGTCGCGTAAAAAATTCTTCGCTTCGTTTCGGGTTTTTTTTTGTTCATTACATAATGGTTGAAAGTTTACTTATGCGGGTGGCTTTTCATCTTAAAGAATGAAATATTTATGATGTTTTCTTTTTCATTTCAGTTTAAAGCCTAATTTATGCGCATGAAATCGCTGGAAAATTAAACAACAATAACAAAAAAGAAGAAGCAGCAAACAAGAATCAGTATTAAAGGATATAACAAAAAAGAGAAACTTTTTATACATTTTAGAAGATTTACAAAGTAAAATTTAAGTTAAAAGAGAATAATAAAAGCAAAAGAAAAGTCATGACAAACGGAGGAAGTTCTATACCCGATGCGGGTCAAAATGGCAACGGTAATGGCAATAGCAACGACGAGTCAAAGACCAATTTGATCGTTAATTATTTGCCTCAAACAATGACGCAAGAAGAGATTCGTTCCTTATTTTCAAGCATTGGGGAACTGGAAAGCTGTAAGCTCATCAGGGATAAAATGACAGGTATGAATTAAAAAATTATAATAATTAAATTTTTATTACAAAACATTGAGTTGTAGAAAAAAATCTTTAATCTCAGACACAGCTAAGAGATATAAATTCACAAGAAATCATTTGTTATTTTAGGACAGAGTCTTGGGTACGGGTTTGTTAATTATCAAAAACAGGAGGATGCCGATAAAGCTATTAACACTCTCAATGGTCTTCGTTTACAGAATAAGACTATTAAAGTAAGTCATAACATTTAACTTGCCTTTAAAGATTTATTTAATCAATAACATTTTTTATGTTTATTTTTTAGGTTTCATTTGCTAGACCCAGTAGTGAATCAATCAAAGGTGCAAATTTGTATGTATCTGGTTTACCAAAGAACATTACGCAGCCGGACTTAGAAGCGATTTTCGACAGCTATGGCCGTATAATCACTTCTCGTATTCTTTCGGACAATCTTACAGGTAGTCATTACTAAAAATCTTTTCTCTAACTTCATTGCTTCAAAAGAGCTTTCAATGGAAAAAACGATTTTGAATTCCAATTTTCCACTGGAAAAGAATCGAAAGTTTAGGGCGTTGAAAGCTCTTTCGTTAAATTCCTTTTCAACAATGTCTGTGCCCAACGGTTCTGAATATTTCATGATTTCTGTTCTGTTGAAAAACGTTGACATACAAATTATTTTAATGTTTAATTTATTTAATTTTGATTTTCATATGTTTTGATTTTATGTTTCTTCATTTTCTTTTTTTATTTTCAAGTACAACAACAAGCTGAAGGTAATGAGACTGGTAAGAAGAATTCAAATTTCTTTAACACTTTTCATTTCACCACACAAAAAACGTGAAAAAATGTTTTATTGCTCAATGCTGTTGAATTTATTGCTTGTTAAATTGGAATTTTCACTAGCTAGTAAAAAGCTGATGGTATAAAAAAATTCATTTAGATAAATGTGTTTTTTTTTTCTTTACACGATTTACTTTTTTCGATTTAAATTAATCAGCTGAAAATTGTTTCAAGCTAGATCACTATTTTCTCGTCAGTTTTATCTGAGAAATATGAGACTCTGTTTCAGATATAATTTCATTACTTTAATTTCCTTATAATTAAAATTAAGAGTCCAGAAAGTGTCATGAAATATCCAAGACATTAATCTTTCTCTTAAAATTCAATTTGTTTCTGTGAATTATGTTTTTGTGTTCATTATAAAAGTATTTTATAAGGCATTATGTGATAATAAATTTTATCATTTCAGGATTATCGAAAGGCGTCGGTTTCATTCGTTTTGATCAACGTCATGAAGCTGAGCGTGCAATTAAAGAATTAAATGGCACAATACCAAAAGGTTACACCGAACCTATCACAGTTAAATTTGCTAACAATCCTAGCAACAATAAAGCTTTTCCACCGTTAGCTGCCTATTTAACGCCTCAGACTGCTGCAGCTGCACGTAGATTCGCTGGTCCTATTCATCATCCTACAACTGGACGTTTCAGGTTAGTAATTAATTTATTAAGCTATGCTTTATGTGGTCTTGTTAATTAACTTTCTTTAATATTTTGATTTTATGTTCCTTTCTTGTATATTAAAATGACTAACACAAATTATTGTTAAGTTTCTTCACTACCATTTCTTTATTCTTTCAACAGTTAATTTAGTTTTAATTTTAATTTCCTTTTCTTCAGTTTCTCTCAAGTGCACAAAAACTGTTTATTAATACTTGAACTGTAAGTGCATCAAGTAATTTATTTTAAAGGCCATGCTTTCGTTTCTTTTTTTCAATGTTTGGTATTTTTATATTTTAATTTCCGTTCTACATTGTTTAATTTTAATTTTTTACCTCCACAGCAAAGTTAAATAGCAAATTCTAAATGAAAAAATTCTTTATAGCCTTCTAAATGATTACAGATATTCGCCTTTAGCGGAGAATTTGTTGGCGAACACGATGATTCCTGGCAACACTATTAATGGTTCTGGTAAATATAAATATATGGTCTGATGGGTCATTTGTATCCTTAACTTTGATTTCCTTCCAGGCTGGTGTATTTTTGTATACAATCTTGCTCCTGAGACTGAAGAGAATGTGCTTTGGCAATTGTTTGGACCATTTGGTGCTGTTCAGTCAGTTAAGGTGGTGAATAACTTTCAATTATTCGTAATATGTCTTGAAGATATTTTCTCGTATTTCATATATTTATTAAACGAAAAAACGAAGCGAATATGGTAGTTAATATTTTTCCTTTCAGGTTATTCGGGACTTACAGACTAACAAGTGTAAAGGTTTCGGATTTGTTACCATGACCAATTATGACGAAGCTGTCGTTGCCATCCAGTCACTTAACGGGTATACACTTGGTAATCGCGTCTTACAAGTGAGCTTTAAAACCAATAAAACCAAGACTTCATAAATCGTCTTCAACAAGCATCACAACCAGCAAAGAAACGATTGTTACCAAAACAGTTCTGATGTTTTATTGACAACTCTGCGAAAGCTTTCTTTCAATTCTTCTTGAATTTTATAAGAAGGTTGTGTGAAAGCTTTAAAATTCGAGTCAGTCCCGATACAAATAAATTATACACTAAAACATTTGAATTCTTTCTTCATTTTCTAGTCTAATTTACAAGTTTTTTTGTCTTATTTTATGTGTTTAGCAATTTTCTCATATGCAATCTATATTTGTCTATTTTAATGAAACTTCATTTGTTTTCGCTTTTGAACCGAAGAAAAGAGGAATATTATTCTAGTCTAAATATTTTTTTAACTTAATAACATTTAAATCAATGGAAAAAATATTCAAAATTTTATTATGAAATTTTCCGCAAAAGCGATTATAGTTTTTAATTCAATTAACCTTGATTATGTTCTAGTTTTATGAGTGTTCTAATTTTCTTTCTTCGTTTTCATCTTAATATTATTTTATTTTATTTTCAATAAAAGAAATTGTATTAAAAATATAAATGAGCGAGTTTTACAGATAAATTAAAATTTTTCAGTGGCTGATTAAAAATATCTATCTAATTATGTTTATGTATTAATAACATTGAAATTTAAAACCAAAAATAATTTGCAAATGGTCAAGGAAATTTTTAAAGAAATTCACCCCATATAAATATTTAATTCAGAAATTATTATTTAAGAAATATTAAAGTGTCGTTTTTAAAGCCTCTGTTGCAAATTTAAGAAAATACCAAACAAGCAATGACGCTTATTATTCAATATAAGCTTAATCAAATTCAATAACTCGTCTTCGATGATTCAAAAAATGTCAAAAAATCAATAAAATATTGAGGTTGTGCAAATGAAAACTCAACGCACGAGTTTATATAATTAAACCGCTATCACTTTGCGATGTTGTTTTACAAATGAAGTGAATTGGAGAGACAAATATTATTTATAGCATAAAATAATATTAAGTCTTAGGTTGTAACAAACTAAGATACAAAGAGTCTTAAAAACCTACGACTAATTGCGTTCACAAATGCTTTTTCTTTATTATTTCATCTAAGAGACTTTTAGAACAAAGTGAGTCCTTTTGCACACACAAATGTAACTTCATGGAAATTTTCTCCTTCTGCACCATTATTTTCTACTTTAAAATACATTACGTGTCTATTATATATCAAGCATTTATTAATAGTTTCCGAGCCAAATTACAATTCATACTTATGTAGACAAAGATATTAATAGATAAATGTTTGGATGGAAAATTTCTTAAAAATTCGTTAAACAAAATAAAAGAGAAAACAGATTATTAATTTTCAAATTTCATAATATTTCAAGCTTTATTGAGATGCTTTTAAAAGAAGAAAAAAACCGATGAATCCCACCTAACACTATATTTTTCTTCTGACATCTCCTACATCTGTAGACGAGAGCCAGGACCAGTTTAATTGTAGAGTATAAATTTAAATGCTTACTTTATTCAATATTGAAGCCCCAAGAAAAAGGAAACTGCGAACGATGTTAACAAAAACATAAATTAAACATTATATTAGCTGAAAAGTTATAATACGATTAAAAACACTTTTAAATATTCATAAATAATAAATCTTAGACTACGAAAACAGACTGTTTACTCTTTAATATCGTGTATTTTGACAATGATAAAATGGTTTAAAATCAAGCAAAAAACTATTCAAAGCAAAATAGAAAAATCATAGAATTCCTTAAAGTTGAAAATAAAATCATTCATCTAAATATGTACTCAATGCTTCAAAAGCTCTCTGCATAGTTTCACAAAAGAAGTAAAGCAAACTTCCGTCAATATGTAGAACTAATCAAATGTATTATCTCTTTCAAAGATTAGCAAATATCACTTATTATACATGGAAATTAGTTTAAATCATACAAAAGAAGCAATACTAGATTTGACGAACAAAAAACAAATATACATATAGAAGTAATTTTTCAGAATAAAATGGAAACATTTTAAGGCAAATTACAAATTTCTCATTTAAGGAGGCTAATTTTTTATTATACATATAAATAGAGCTTTCCAGTAAAACTTTCATGAAAATATGTAGACCTAGTTGCTACAGAGAATCACAAACCAAAAATGGTTTCACATCGCACTGTCCATATGATTAAGCTAAGCTTCAATCTTAGAGAGATTTTAATGTGTTCGTTCTAATAAAACTTTTTTTTCATATTTCTATAGTTAAAACCTTAATCATTAACTGGATAATGTTTCTTTTACATATTTTTGCAATTTTTTATTTAATGTAAAATATGGAATCAACTAAAAAAGGAAAATGATTATGATGTTGCAGTATAATAATAAGGTGCAATAGGGCCTAAAAGTCACAAATTTACATGCTTTTATAGATCAAGGAAATTTTATAGGAAACGTATTTAAAAGAAAAGCTGAAAATGAATTACTCGAACACTAAAATATTACAACGACAATTCCATCTCAATGAGAAATATTTTCGTTGTCATACATTGCAAGTTGAGCAATTAGAAAGATTGACAGACCATGGAAAATAATATCAACATTAGAAGCGTATTTAAAACAGATTTTTTGTCAAATGAAAATAAAGGAAAAGAGAAATTTTTACATAAACCAATTCTCAATATCTAAATGTGAAGGTAGAATTTTTTTAGATAAGTTACCTAAAGATAAATAGACACCAATTTCTAGCATATGTAGGGATACGAACCAAGAAAGCGTAGAGAGGGCGAGAGTGAAAGAGCGGAAAAAATATTTTAAATGAAAGAAAACAAAAATTATTAAATGAAATTATATGTCTGAAGTGGATAAGATTGATCTATTAGGCAAAAATATACCTTGACAAGTGTAATAAATAGATTGGAGGATAAGTTATGGAAAATTAGACAAGCCATGTTTGATGACTAATTTATTGAATATTTGATGCTTTTTTTCGAATTTCTTCTCTCAATGTTCATTCATATTTACGTTTATTGCGGCCATTACGGCAGAATTAATAACTTAAATCGATGTTTAATGAAAAAAAGATCTTAAAAAATCAATTATGTTACTTATAAATATAATTAATCAAAATACTAATCAACGGAATTAGTTTATAGTTGCAAGATAAAAAATATTTTCATGAATATTGTAAGAGAATTTCTAGTTCGTCGATAATTAATAGTTTCAGCACTAGCTAAGTACGCTTCCTTTCAATTTAATGAAATGTCACATCGATATACACATAGCATCAGTTTTACATCAGCTTTGATTTTTTATGCAACTCATTGATTAGACTAGACAACAAACTATTCTCATTTTTCTTCGTATTAATAAACTTTGAAAAATTGTAAATAGTTTATAGAACTAAATGAAGTTATTATAAACATTTGGAAAATTTGTTGACATTCTTTTACTACAGCAAATATTTATGTAATTTCTCATTAAAGAAATAGGAGGAAAGGATGAATTGAATTTTAACTTAACGAAAAAGCTTAACAATATTTCTTGCCTCGAGATAATTTCCAAATTCAGTAAAATTATAAAAACACTTCATTATTTGCCGCATGATTTAATAACTTCGTACAATATTTAATGCTAAAAAAATCAAAATATCTTAAATAAAGTTTCTTTGCAGAAGATCGTTGATCTTCATCATAAATAATTGAATCGTGACATGAAAATCTTTCTGAAATTTCCATACGCTCAACAAGTTCTCTTGAAAGCGAAATAGAAAACTTGTTGATCTAATGGCAATGAATGGCAGAAACTTTTTCATGTCAATTCAATGTTTATCACATTTTTTTTATTCTTTTTAAATAAGCAATCGCGTTTTCCCGAAACTTTTATTTTGATGCAAGGATTTTCCTCGACGAGAATGTTTTCACTTTTTTAGGAATGAGAAAAAGAACAAGCAAGATGGAATATTGAAAAGAAATGAGGTTTATATATAAAATTCCTGCCAAATGTGATAAAAAAAGAACTAATAAAATTTTTAGTCATTTAAAAATTATTGAAAATAATAACTAAATAAAATATTTATATTTAAACAATCTTACATAATTGAAAATAAATGAAAAAAGAAAAGATCAAAAAGATAAAAATGAATGAAAATTAATTTGAACATTTAATATTTTAAAATGCATTTTGTAAAAGAACGTCTCATAAATACATATTTATATATAAATGAAGAGAAATACTTGAGGATAAAAGCGGAAATCAATTAATAAGTAATCGTTCCTATGATGCTTATTAAAGTAATTGAAATCGAGTGATTATGCTAATGAACTTGACAGAATAGCAAATACATAAATAAAAAATTAACACACAACTGAAATGGGCCAAATTTTATAAAGTTGTATTTTAAAAGATGATTAAAACAGAAAATATGAAAGACAAAAATATATTTAGAGATTTATAAATAGATAGATTGAGATCAATACA